TCTATTCTAGTAGACCTCAACAATTGAATTATGATCAGTGGAAATGGCCATGACATGGGCCCTTTAAAGAACGCACCCTTTAGGAAGGACTTTGCCAAAAAGCTAATAACTTTCATTGTTGCTTTCTAGAATAGCCTCAGGATTCAGCACTCACTTTCATCACAGACAGATAGTATTTAATCTGTTTTAATTGGAAGGTAATAACCTGCTCATGTGCCTCACATCCAATGCTATATTGGACTTACTCCATATTTAAAAAAAGCCTCAGATGATGAGCGCAGCAATGTGTGACGCAAAAAGCCCTGCAGGCCAGGGCCAGGCCAACAGCAGCACATCACGCTGCATGAAAGGCACATTGTGACAGCTGTGGCTTCGGCTCGCAGGGCGAGTTCAGCCTTTGATTTCCTTTGATGCTTCACTCCCTCTATTAAAGAGTAATTAATATGATGATGGACATCGTCTCTCTGTCCTGACACGTGATAAACATCCGTCAACTTCTCTGTACGGCTGCACCATCTGGCAGAAATAACTATTTAAATAGTGGGAGGCGTGTGGGGCAGTGGGTTGTGCGTTGGTGTTCGGATCAGGGGAGCACAGGTTCAAACCCCACTACAGTCAGCATGTCGTTGTGTCCCTGAGACACTTCACCCCAAATTGCTCCTGTGGGGATTGCCCACAGTATTGAGTATGTAAGTTGCTTTGGATAAAAGCGTCTAACAAGTGACATGTAATGTAAATATAGATCTTATCATCTTGATTTCATTATATATTCATTGTATGATGTTTTATATTTCAACGGGACTTTTTATGCTCATTTTCATATTTGTATTTTTTGGCTTCCGATACATTTTGACATGCTTTAATGTTCAAAAAGGTCTTTCTTTTTCTCATACTGTCTATGCAGGCCATTTACATGCACATACTGTACAAGTATATACCACACTACAAGAAAAGGAAACCCCCACAAAGGGTGTCTATTATCATCTGGCCGGGGACAACAGCTGGAAATTAGCAATGTTGGCTAAAGCTGCCCCATTTACTATTTTTTGCGACAGTTGATCAATGGGGACTGTCCACGACACTATACACACATAAACTAAACTCAAATCATTACATGTCAATATATTATTAAGTCTGTGGAATACGATTGTAGGATGGGATATCTCTACAGCTCCACAATACTTCATTTCAAATGGTATTTAACAAATATTGTGCTTCCTGCTATTTGAATATTGCACTAGTCTATATTGGACATCATATTGTATATCAAGCAGCCCTACTGCATTGAAGTCCATGGTCATACAAGGACAGGGTCTAATTGTACTCACTGATTCATTAACCCCAATACATATATCTGTTTTATTATGAAAGATGTCTGTTTATTCCTGAGGGTCAGCTCAGTGATAACAGCACTTGTTGAATGTAAAAGAGCTAGTCACACATCTAAAGAAAAGATAAGTATAATAAAGTCATTAGTAAGATAGAGAGACAATGCTAGGACAAATTGACAATAACAGAGCACACACAGTGACATGTGTTCTCTGCATTTAACCCATCCTAGTACCAGGAGTCTAGTACTAGGAGCTATTGTACAGCACCCAGGGAGCAATGGGAGTGAGGGGGGAAGGGGGATGTCCTGTGCCTTGCTCAAGGGCACCACGGCAGGGCAGAAGGTGAACTGGGACCTCTCCAAGTAGAAGTCCACACTCCATATTAAGGTCTGGTTGGGGACTTGAACCGGCGACCCTACGGCTCACAGTCCAAGCCCCTACTGACTGAGCCACTGCCGCACACTGATGACATAAGACATGTATAAACATGAGGATTGTGTGTTAAAGTTACAGTAATTGATGAGATATTAGTGAATGAAATGAGATGTATAGATAAATAAAATTGAAGCACCATAATCGAATATGAGAAAAGAGGATTGTGTTGATTCGATAGCAGTGAATGACATGTGGTGCTCACACACAGAATCATTTACACCTGTTTCTTAGGCTTCATGATGTAGATTACGATTGCTCTATGATGCACTAATGCAGATTTCTTTATTTTTCCAGGGACAACTATCATTGATGAACACTGTAAATGTGCCAGTGTAATTTTCAAATGTTGTCTGTTCACCCTTATTTTAAATAGGCCATCAAAGCAACAATTGAACCACACAGCATTATACAAGTAGAACAGGAACACGAACAGCTGAATGGAACAAAAAGCGAATAAGATTCAAGCACAAATGAGGGTTGAGCATGCATCATTGTCAGCTTTTCAACTTTGATTTACATCCGTGTATTTGGCAACATGATAGTGCTGTGTGTGTATGTGACTCTACTTCCTCATTACAGGTGAGTGGCAGCGATCCAACGGTAATACGCTGTGCTTCACACACAGCTTGGTTTTTTATGCCAATCAAAACATTTTTAGCTGATGGGTATCGGTTGTGTTGAGATATTGATTCAGTCCCATCTTTTTTTATTCCAGCTCGCATGCAACATCATTCAAACAAGCTGCCGACTGTTTATTTAAGATATTTACCTTGATATACCTTGAGTTTCCTGCTTTTAGTAGACATCTATGGACAGCTGTGAAAAGACACGATAATATATCAGTCCAATCTGTTAAAATGATATACGGCTACATTTCATTCAGGTTACTCGGGCAAAGGCTGCACAAACTGGAGGATCCTTTTAAAGGGAAAGAGACCTATTATGATGCTTTTTTGGGTTTTCCCTCTTCTGTAGTGTGTTCTATGTTTGTGTCTGAAAAGGCTATACGCTGTGTTTCTCTCCAAACACGCCTGCCTGACACGCCTCAATTGAACTCCTTTGTTTACTTACCATGACACAGAAATAATTATGTTTGAGTCAGTGTTTATTTCAGTTACCTGTCTGTCAAACTGCATGTGTACTCCTCTGTTTGAAAACATTTGTTTTGATAAGGAAGCAGACCAGACCACAACAATTTATTAAAAAAATGATCACTTTGGTCTGGATCCAATTAACCAAACTACAGGTGTGAAAGCACTATACTCTGATAACACACACACACGGGGAGCCTTCAAAAACTTGTTCATGAAACTTTATTGAAAACAAAACCCAGCTTACTGTGGATTCTGATTCTTAAAACAGATGTTGTTGTCACAGTTTGTTATTGGACTTTTTTATTTTTGCAAACTAAATTCACTTTTTAAAGGGCCCATGTCATGGCCATTTCCACTGATCATAATTCCATTGTTGAGGTCTACTAGAATAGATTTATATTGTGCAATTTTCCAAACTCACATTGGTTTCTCATACAGCATCTCTGTAAACTACGTGTATTCACTGAATTTCACTCTCTGCCTTTAACGGCTCGTTGTAGCTCCAATAGCTCCAGCCCCCACCCTCCCTGTGAGCACAGTGTGCTCTGATTGGTCGGGACGTTGTGAATCGTGCTGAGCTCTGTGGAGGTGTTGTTTCCTTGTTTAGGATACACAGCGAAACACAGCCAAACTCATCCTGAGCACACACAAACTCACATCCGAAGTAAAAACAATAAGTGTGGCTTGATATTGAGTAAGAAAAAGGTTGATAAACGCTGTGAGAATGGGTCTGCAGAGAGAATTTCGCCGCGATCCCAACTGTCTGTTATCAGCCTGCAGCCAGGGAGGAGAAATCAGCTGAGCTGCCTGCTCCCTGCACATAGAGTGTGTGTGTGAGGAAGTCCGTGGATCGGTCAATTTGAACCAATCAGCGGGGGCTTAACGTAACGGCTCCGCGGACGTAACGTAACGGCTCCACAGATTGGTCCATTTCGTTCCGGGTACGGCATGACATCATGCCGTACCCGGAACGAAATGGAAGACTCAAATGGCCAGTGACGTATCTCCAACGAGGCGTTTTGGGGAGGTATTTTCTGTGTTAGAGTTTTACTCGCGACAGGGTGTACTTTGAGGGTTTGTGACTCTGCAGACCGTTTACATGCATAAAAACCTTCATAACACACAAGGGGACGGGTAATAACCGGAAAAGCATGACATGGGACCTTTAACGGTTGGAGTGGAAGCAGAAATCTCCAAACTTGGCCGAATAACATCACCTGAATAGCTGGATTCTTTTGTTTTGTTTCTTTCCGTTAACTGTCAAGTGGGAAATAAGTATTTGTTGTGTTTCTCTTATTATCCTAAGATACCGTTACGTTTGGCTGTGAAAAATAAATATGAAGGACAGACCATCTATTTCTATTTTCTTTTTTGAAAGGGGCCGGTCATATAAGATGATTTTCTTCTCCCTGCTCAATGGTGTGTTAATAGAGACATGATTTGTTAACAATTATTATACATGAAGTTTTGCATACCATGAACGGAACAAATACAAATGAAATGAAGCTACCTGAGAAAATGTTTTCTTTCCTTTTTTACAATTGATATCACCTGAACTATTTTATTTTAAACAATACTATACTTTCTCAAGCTTTCTCAAATGTGAACAGATCAGTTTTCGTGTTCAAAAAGCAGGAAGTGAAATCAAGCCGAGGGACAGATGCATTAGATGCCGTGTATTTGTAAATTGCATTACATCCAAAAGGTAATTGGTCAGAGAGACTAAGAACAGCATACTTCTTTTCAGTTTAGAACTCAATTTGGGATTTCAAATTGGATTGGCACTGGGGTCTACTTCCTGCTCGGGATGGTGCAACGTGCGTGCGGTAAGAAATGAGTAAATGATGCGTGTTCCTCCCTCATCTCATAAATCTCTGCAGCAGACCAACAGGAACCCTGCAGGCATATTAACAGCAAACAGACAGCAGAACAATGAGTTGTAATCTCACTTTATTTAATAACCTAGACCCCCCCCTCCCCCCACCACCACCACCAAGGGTTATTGCATAAAAAGAAATAGTACAAAAATCAGCCACTCAGCGAAATGAGGAAAATAAACGTACAAACTGCATGTTTCCTCGTCCAAAGCTGTACCACATTTGATTGGATATTACACACATGTTTAACACTGACATGGCTCTGGTGTTTCAAAGTGAAAAACATATATGGTTTATTAGTGACATTTAAAAAGAATAGACAAGATAATGCACCGTACATTCAAAGCAAGTGGTTAACAAAGAGAACATAATCAATATAAATAACACTGGATACAAGTACACTGTATATATAAATCAGGGTTGAAAGGTCAATGCATAGCAAGGCTCCTTAGTACCACCGCTGTACTGCTAACGTACACTACTTTCCTTTAAATGGAGAATTGCACTGAGCAGAGGGGCGTCACACTTTAATTGTACTGTGACGCAAAAACAGGAACGTTATAGGAGCTCGAGAGGAAGACTGAATTCAATCGCTTTGTTCCGAGCGTGATCAATCAAACTTTGTTGACTTTTCCTCACAACCACAAGTGTGCTCACGACTTGAGTTCAAACAGAAGTGTTTACAATGTGGCTTCATAAATCATCTGGTACTCGGTTTTATCTTTCGGTAACAAGAGCAGGAGAGATTTATGATTTATGATTCGGCATCGCCTGGAGCAGCCGCAAATGACACGAGTAGCTGTCGATGGATGCACTATGGGGATGTCAATCTTTGGGTATTTCATGATTCAAAACAACAAATATTGATTCGGTTCAGACGGTAGAGGATTAGGGCCGCATGTGACATTTATTTTGAGAGTTGACAAAAGTACATTTTTCTCAGAACTCCAAAAAGATATTCACTTTTGTTCAGATCTCAAAGAAATGTCACATGTAGCATTAATCCTCTTCAGTATGTTAGTAACTTCAGTCTGCTGTGCAATGATACAAATGTGAACAATGATGGGATGAAAGCAGAGTTACGTGTTGAAGGTTATGGAGCTTTTACATTTGAAAAAGTTGTATCAAATAATCCTGATAATATCAACAGACAATGGCCAACATGCAGTATGTTTATGCTTAACTTGGACATATTCTACTCTATACGTTTTCTTAATTTTCCGTGACTTCAAGAGTAACTATTTCTGTCAAAAACACATATAATCTAATTCTGTCGGAAACACTTACTGTCACTTGTTCTTAGAAACAAAACCCTTTTAATAATCGATTATAGGAATATGTGATTCACGCAGTATCTTCAAAGACAAGCCTCTGGATTCTTACCCAAAATCGATTCATTCCAGCTCTCCTAACGCAGAGTCATTTTGATTTAGTGTGATCACAAGAATGAATGCTGGAGGAAGTGAATACTAAGGCTACTAAAAAACACTCACATGCGGAACAACCCAATGTTATCTTCTTGAAAAAAAATAGAAAAAGTGACTGCTGTGGAGCGGGATGAATGTGAAGATCTGTTTTCTGCAAATGTGCTGTGAAGATTCCTTCTGTAAAGTGGAAGGGACTTGAAAATGAGGAACACATGATGAGGCCTGATGCTGAGGATGAGCGTGCGTAATTGTGGACCGTCACATAAAATCAGTGTCTCCAAAAATCAGTGTCTCCAAAAATGATGTGTGTGTGGGGTAGAAGAGCAGAAAACACCTAAATATTTACTGTGGCTGTCATGTCTCAAATATGACAGCTGTGGAGATCAGAGGGCTAATGTGACAAAGGGAGTGAGATAATAGTCTTTTAGCTGCCATCACAATTACATTGAGTGGAAAGGCAGCTGTGAGGATTGATGATGTAGTGGCAGGAAGCGCAAGATCAATGCAGATTAGTTTTGTGCAAGAGAAAATACTCTGGGTGTTGATGCAGTGTTATTCTGAGGCACAGTTATCATCCTGCCGCGAGGAAATCTGGCAACGCGTCATTTCCTCGAATTGTTCGTGATACAATCATTCTGTTTTTAAAAACAATAACTCATAAGAGTGAGTCACATCTTAACAAAAAGAAAAATCCAGTGATAAACAATGACTACACGGAGAAAAACAACTCATATTTATAACTACGGCAGATCTAGGATATGTGGTATCACATTCAGATGAAGCACACACATTAGCATCTACGTCTGCTTTTAAATAGATGATCCCAAATTGTGCTTATTGTTACATAAGATGTGTGTGCAGATTTCCCTTCTTTACACGATTAGTGTCAAATCAAACATGCGGTGCAGCCTGCAAACGAGTGAGTAATTCAAAAAGGGAATAACATGACAATAAGGGTGGGAAATGCAGTCGTATCCCGGAGCCTCAAAGGAGCTCTATAAAAAGTAGTCCCAAATATAAATTACAACCGTGTCAATCACCACTTAATATGCGCTCAATCTCCTCCAGTCTCTTCAAGGCGGCTGCTCTTTTCCCCTCTATATCTGAAATCTCTTTAGTGGACTTACCCTTAGTCCGCTTGTCAGACTGGCTACTGTCCAGAGACTCTGATTGGTCAACGCCTACACCTCCGAGGCGTTCTGTGGAGGATTTCCGCACATTCTTCTCATTCCCAGCCCCCTTCCCTACAGCATCAGCACCCCTCCCTTCCTCCTCACCCTCAGACACTTCCTCCTCCCTGTCCTCAACTCCCTTAAGGGGCTTTTCCTCCTGAGCAGACGTGGTTTCTCCCCGTGCTGTAAGTGGCTGCCCTGCGGAGCTCATGGCGGCCATCTTACTGCGAACAATACTCAAGTGGCGTTTCACATACTCCTCGTTCGGTGCCAGAGCGAGCGTTTCCTCCAGGCAGCGTTCGGCACGCGGGAGGTCTCGCTCCTCGAAGTACACGACACACAAGTTGTGTTTGCCTTGCACGTTGGTGGGATCCACGCTTAGAATTCTCTCGAAGCAGGCTTTCGCGCCATTTGTGTCCTTCTTGTGGTTCATGAGGATGTCCCCCTTCAGGATGAGACCCTTGATGTGTTCAGGGTGGTGGCGCAGCAGCTCGTCCAGCGCTGGCAGCGCGTCTATCTCTCGTTTGGACTGAGAGTAAAGCAACGCCAGGTTAAACAGGGCGCTGCGGAAGCCGGCCTGTAAACCAATCGCTCTCTTCATCCACCGCTCAGCTGCCACGTTTTCGTTGGCGTCCATGGCCAGCATGCCGAGGTTGAAGTAGCCGTTGGCGTCTTCTGGCTCTTCCTCCACGTAGATCAGGAAGCGACGGTTCGCCTCAGGCCAGAACTTTGGCTCACCTGCCACAAAAAGCAGAGACATAATGATAAGGTGGCATTCATTAACAGAGATGGCAAAAGTACACACATCCTTTACTCGAGTAGAAGTACAGATACTCGTGTTTAAAAATACTCTGGTAAAAGTAGAAGTACTGACTAAACTTCTTTACTCAAGTAAAAGTAAAGAGGGCTTTGAAATGTACTTCAGTAAAAAGTACCCATAACTAGCAGCTGTTTTAAAGAGTACCTGACCTCCCTTTATATTAATAGAACAATAATGTCATTGTTAGCTAATGAATGTTTCCATGCTGAACAACGGCTACATGACAACGTTTTCATTGGTCCCTCTTCTTTAGAGAAGACCAGGAAATGATGGATACACGGATCGTGTTCAAATCAATAGGCACGCAATGACTCTAAATAATAATGATCACGCCACCAAACACACATTCAAACTAAAGGAACCAGCCTGTTTGGAAAATGTAAGAAGTAGAAAGTACAGGTATTTGGGTTCAACATGTAAGAAGTAGAAAGTACAGGTATTTGTGTTCAAAATGTAAGAAGTAGAAAGTACAGGTATTTGTGTTCAAAATGTAAGAAGTAGAAAGTACAGGTATTTGGGTTCAAAATGTAAGTAGAAGAAAGTTCAGGTATTTGTGTTCAAAATGTAAGAAGTAGAAAGTACAGGTATTTGTGTTCAACATGTAAGAAGTAGAAAGTACAGGTATTTGGGTTCAAAATGTAAGAAGTCAAAGTAAAAAGTCATCAGAAACATAAGAAGTGGAATAAAGTACTGATACCAGAAAAATGTACTTAAGTACAGTAACAAAGTATTTGTACTCCACTACTTCCCACCTCTGTTAATTAACTAGGTAATCCGGTAGTTCAATTCAACTACAAAGTCTACAGAATTTTAAAAGGCAGTGTGTTATATAGGTTTCTGTGCATGTAAATGGTCTGCAAAGGCTAAAATACCCAAAGTTCCTTCCAGAGGGAGTTTCTCTCCCACACACTCCCCCCCCTGCCTGAAACGCCTCCATTGGACTCCTTTGTTTTCTTCCGTGACATAATGACATCATTGTGTAGCTCTTCTATTGGCTAGCGCTCAAACACATTGTTCTTGACATCTCTAAGCGGTTGACCAATCACAACAGAGCCGGCCAGCTAACGAATCAGAGCAGACTGGGCTCTGGTTTCAGACAGAGGGGGAAAAGAGGTGCTGCAGCACAGACAGTATGAGAACAATAAAGAGCTTTTTGAACATTAAAGCATGGAGACACGTCACAGTAGAGACACTACATACTGATATACACCTGAACATCAGCAAGAGAGGACTCTTTAAAGTAGAGACACTACATACTGATATACACCTGAACATCAGCAGGAGAGGACTCTTTAAAGTAGAGACACTACATACTGATATACACCTGAACATCAGCAGGAGAGGACTCTTTAAAGTAGAGACACTACATACTGATATACACCTGAACATCAGCAGGAGAGGACTCTTTAAAGTAGAGACACTAAATACTGATATACACCTGAACATCAGCAGGAGAGGACTCTTTAAAGTAGAGACACTACATACTGATATACACCTGAACATCAGCAGGAGAGGACTCTTTAAAGTAGAGACACTACATACTGATATACACCTGAACATCAGCAGGAGAGGACTCTTTAAAGTAGAGACACTAAATACTGATATACACCTGAACATCAGCAGGAGAGGACTCTTTAAAGTAGAGACACTACATACTGATATACACCTGAACATCAGCAGGAGAGGACTCTTTAAAGTAGAGACACTACATACTGATATACACCTGAACATCAGCAGGAGAGGACTCTTTAAAGTAGAGACACTACATACTGATATACACCTGAACATCAGCAGGAGAGGACTCTTTAAAGTAGAGACACTACATACTGATATACACCTGAACATCAGCATAACATGTCCTCTTTAAGGCCCCGGCTCCACGGGAACGCATACGGCAAAACGCATCGGAGTAACGCAAACGCAACCGCAAAAAACCTTCCGCCCACACGCAATATACACCGGATTGTGTCAAGCTCCACGAGACGGCTCCGTTTACATCCAACCGCTGGAAAAGCTGCAGTACATATGCCGAACCTGTACGTGGCGCTGTAACTTCCTCCACAAAAGCAGCAACTTCCTCCACAAAAGCAGCGAAGAAGAATGGTTGTCATGGCTGCACTTCTGTTTATTCTCCTTGGTGGGGGCCGACGGAACCGGGCAGAGTTTTTCGCCGGTCAACGTGTGTTAAAGTTTAAATCTTCCGGACAAAATTATAAAAGTGCCGGTCAAAGGTCTTCATTGTTATTTATTGAGCTTTAAAACAAATGAATAACGACGATATAATGATATATAATCATCAAATACACAGAGCCTGTCTCTTTTCCCTCTCTTCTCACAGCGTCAGTGTCTGTCTCATGCAGCAGCTGATCCAGTAATGATGACTCGACAGTAAAAATAAACATATTTATAACTAGTTTAGGTAGTTTGAGAGGTAATTAAATAGCTAAGGGTGATGATCTGACTTGAAGTGTGTGTTTTGCTCCCGCTGCTTCACAGCGGGAGGAGCTGCGTGTCTCCGTCCTGTCAGATTAGACTTCACTCGCGTTTATGTCCATATCGAGATAAAGATAAATAATCTGAATTCAGTGTGCAGTGTACTTTTGCGGGGGTGAGCAGCAGAGGCGGGGAGAGGCGGGGCTATTGCGTCGTCATTATCAGAAACGGATGACCGTATAGGCGACCACACGGCCCCGTTGGACCCCCCAGAGCGCTCCGTTCCCAGATCTATCCACCTTTGGACCCGTTGTCTGTTTCTACGTTTCCGTTACGGCGTCGTCGAGCTTAAAGGGCTATACGCATGAGAAATATGCGGATTCAACCCGTTTTCGTTCCCGTGGAGCCTAGGCCTAAGTGTTGGTTACGGGTAATAAAAGTTAACAATCTTACAAATTAGAAAGTTTGTGCCAAAACATGCAAGAGAAGGTCTGACGATGCATAAACACCTAATTAAACTGTCAATAAAACATGTCAAAAGGATTGTTAAATACAGTTCCTGTTAATTACCAGCTCAGCCACTGCAATTTTCAATTCATTGATGGAAAGGCGATGATATAACATTTGACACCTGCTCTGAAATCCTATCAGAGGTCGACGGATTCACACAGTCACGCTAAGGTGAGTGTTACGCAAAGGAACTCAATATAAACATACATTTTTAATTTCATGATTTCCTTTTGTCACAACGTCAACGATGCATGACTTGATAGAAACTTGGCCAGGAACTCAAGCTTTGCCACAGAAAAGCCACTTATTCAGAACCTGGTTACACCCTCAAGGTGACATCAGGTTTTCTTTGTTTGATCATACCAGATGTGTTGAAAGATGTATTTACCCTTAAGGCCCGGACACACCAAGCCGATTTTGGCCGTCGATGGGCGTAAGGCCGACGATGAGCGTCGACACGCCCTACTCAGATTGGTGTGTACCGCACCGTCGTGTCTTTTCAGCCGTGCCGACACCTTTTCGGCAAAAATAAATCACTCTGATTGGCTGTTCAGCTAGCGAATCAGTGCATGAGAAGCGAAACGGAAGTGAGGGACCCAAACAAACTATTAAGAAGGCAAATCTGAGATTTCATTTAACTCCAGCTCTCGACACAGGTTCGGGAAAGCCCCACGAGCTTCTCGCTGTAGAGTGAAAATGGAACGCACACGCTATTTGTTGTTCGTTTATATCACGCAGTCTGTTCTTCTTCTCTCGGTTATCACGCAGTCTGTCTTCCGGTTGTTGCCTCTTTTGAATGACGAATACACACTACCGCCGCCTGCTGGTAAGGAGAGTTATTGCCACTCACGCATGCGCAGTTCGTACGTGCTTCTTGGCCGTCGGCTGAAGTCTTTGCGGTGTGTTCCAGTGCGACACATGGCCAAGACGCAGGAGACGTGAGGCGACGCAACAGTTCTTGATGTCAGCTTGGTGTGTCCGGGGCTTTAAGGCTCTCTACAGCGAGAAGCTCATGGGGCTTTCCCAAACCTGTGTCGAGAGCTGGAGTTAAATGAAATCTCAGATTTGCCTTTCTTAATAGTTTGTTTGGGTCCCTCACTTCTGTTTAGCTGCTCATGCACTGATTCGCTAGCTGAACAGCCAATCAGAGTGATTTATTTTGGAATCGGCGGGTTTTCGGCCGAAAAGGCGTTGGCACGGCTGAAAAGACACAACGGTGCGGGACACACCAATCTGAGTAGGGCGTGTCGACGCTCATCGTTCGGCCTGACGTCCACCGACGGCCAAAATCGTCTTGGTGTGTCCGGGCCTTTAGAGACGTTATCTCCTCACGGTACGGCTTTACTCAACTCAACGTACTTTTGGTTCAAGGTTACAGATTTTTGTTTTCAACCAAACAGAAAAAGGTCTGCACTGCATCAATTGTTACGAAGTTGTATGAAGTGGTTTTGCCGGCTGGGTTAAGTTAATTTGAAATTGAGGTTTAATAGTGTCTTTGCTATTTAAAATTGCATGTTTCGTGTTTGGAGTGAATATATTGAGATGTTCTTGTTGTTCTGAATGTGTGTCTTTATGGCTAATTTTGTAAATGTAATTAGTGGTCTGCATGGTTTTATTCTAACTTTTTATTATCAGCTACAAAGTGGTACTAACTTTTCCTAGAGGGCTTGGAACATTTCAATGGAAGTATATGATTACTGTTCCCATGCTCTATTGTGGTTGCAGGAATTCTTTGGGTTTATATCCTTTGTTACGCAGCTGTGGTGCCAAATGTATTTATTTGTTTACCTCTCCGTATCGATAAATACAAATCCATGTCCTCATTTGGTATAACATATTTTGACATTAGGTCATTTCTGCAAAAATCTGATTTTTCTGCGACTAGATGGCTCCTTATTGTCAATATTCATATTAAAAGCCATTCATCCTCTGAATGCCATAGGTCTATTTATGCTTATGAAGTTTCATGAAACTGTGACAATCACAGAGCTCAAAACTGCTCTAGGCTACTATCGGGACCAACATCAACACACATGACTACCTGTTGCTGTTCTACCTGAGAGACGCAAGAAAAAGACAAAGCGGGGATGCCGGGCCGGGTTGCTGGTCAGACTGAGGAAGCGAGAGAATCGGCCCCCTCTTCCGAGTATTCTTCTGGCTAATGTTCAATCCATTGAAAATAAGCTAGATGAACTCAGAAGCCGGATTGCTTTTCAACGGGACATTAAGAACTGTAACGTGTTAATTCTCACTGAGACTTGGCTCAACCCCGCTATCCCGGACTCCGCTATTGTCCCTGACGGATTCTCTATTTTTCGTCAGGACCGGACTGCTAACTCGGGGAAAAGTAAGGGAGGCGGTGTGTGTGTAATGACTAACAACAACTGGTGCTCAGATGTGAAGATTATTTCATCGGACTGTTCCGCACATCTCGAGCACCTCATGATCTCATGTCGGGCCTTCCATCTGCCGAGGGAATTCACATCTGTTGTGATAACAGCAGTGTATATCCCGCCGCAGCCACTCGCCGACAACAACACGGCACTCGATCAGCTGTTTGGGTTTATTGATAAAACCGAGACTTCACGGCCAGATGCGGCGTTCGTTGTGGCCGGAGATTTCAACACCGCCAATATGAAGAAGGTTTTGCCAAAATATTACCAACACATCAACTTCCCGACGCGCGGGGGAAACATACTGGACCATGTTTATTCCCCTTTCCGGAATGGATATAAGGCTCTCCCTCGCCCTCCCTTCGGCAAATCAGACCATATCTCACTACTGTTGTTGCCTGCGTACAAGCAGAAACTTAAAAGGGACAGACCGATAACAAGGACAGTACAGCGATGGAGCGAGGAGTCAGATTCAGCACTGCAGGATTGCTTTGCATCTACGGATTGGAGTGTGTTTGAGGACAATAACATCAACACACACACGGACACTGTCATCTGCTACATTGGGAAATGCATCGATGACGTGGTACCGAAGGTTTCTGTACGGACATTCCCAAATCAAAAGCCCTGGGTAAACGGTGAGGTGCGCGGCAAACTGAAAGCGCGCACTCTCGCGCACACAGCGGGAGATTTGGAGGAGTACAGGAAGTCTAGGTATGATCTCCGGAGAGCAATTCAAAATGCAAAGAGACAGTACAAAGACAAGGTGGAATCTGACTTCAAAGGCTGTAACACTAGGAATATGTGGGCGGGACTAAGGACAATGACTGACTACAAAGGAGCAGCGGGGGGTGCTGCGGGAGTGTCTGCGTGCGCATCTCTCCCAGATGAGCTAAACAGTTTTTTTGCACGCTTTGAGAGCAGCCAGGCTGTGGAGGTACAGAGGGACCAGGAGCTACACTGCCCTTTTGTTTTAAATAGGGCAGATGTGTGTAAATCCTTTAAAAGGGTTAACCCACACAAGGCTCCTGGACCTGATGGCATCCCTGGCCGTGTTCTCAGGGTGTGTGCAGTTCAGCTGGCAGAGGTGTTCACAGACATCTTCAACAGGTCCCTGCTGCAGTCTGTAGTCCCCACATGTTTTAAACACTCCACCATCATTCCTGTCCCCAAAAAGACAATCATCACCTGCCCCAACGACTACCGCCCAGTAGCACTCACCTCCATCATAATGAAGTGCTTTGAGCGGTTAGTCAAATTATTCATCACCTCCTCCCTCCCTGAATCTCTGGACCCCCTGCAGTTTGCCTACAGAGCAAACAGGTCCACAGACGACGCCATAGCCCTCACCCTCCACACTGCCCTCTCACACCTGGACCCGAAGAACAGGAACACATATGTGAGAATGCTGTTCATTGACTACAGTTCAGCATTCAACACCATTGTGCCCTCCAAGCTGGCCATCAAGCTCAGAGACCTCGGGCTCAACAGCGCCCTCTGTGACTGGATCCTGAACTTCCTGACGGGCAGACCCCAGGCAGTGCGGGTGGGAAATATCACATCCTCCACCCTGATTCTCAACACCGGTGCCCCTCAAGGCTGCGTGCTCAGCCCTCTCCTCTACTCCCTGTTCACCCACGACTGCGTGGCCACACACAGCTCCAACACCATCGTGAAGTTTGCTGATGACACGACCGTCATCGGCCAGATCACAGACGATGACGAGACGGCGTACAGAGAGGAGGTCGAAAACCTGACATCTTGGTGCCAGGATAACAACCTCCATCTCAACATCAGCAAAACAAAGGAGCTGATTGTGGACTACAGGAAGCAGCAGGGAGAGGGACACGCCCCCATCGCCATCAATGGGACTACGGTGGAGAGAGTCAAAAGCTTCAGGTTCCTTGGGGTCCACATCACTGAGGACCTGACATGGTCTCTTCACACCACCACCATCACCAAGAAAGCTCGACAGCGGCTCTTCTTCCTCCGCAGGTTGAGGAGGTTCAAAATGGATCCCAGGATACTCTGCAACTTCTACAGGTGCACGATAGAGAGTATCCTGACTGGCAGCATGACGGCCTGGTACGGCAGCTGCACCGACCTCGATCGTAAGGCTTTACAGAGGGTGGTGAAAACTGCACAGCACATCACCAGGACGGAGCTGCCATCCATGGAGGACCTTTACTCCCAGCGGCTCAGGAAGAAATCACTACGGATTATCAAAGACCCCCATCACCCCAGCCACAAACTGTTCTTTCTGTTGCCGTCTGGCAGACGTTACCGCAGCATCCTGGCAAGGACAAGAAGATTCGGAGACAGTTTCTTCCCGCGGGCAGTGAGACTGTTAAAAAATTGAACTGTTGAAAACATCAAACATTCAACTGCTACTCAGTAGTATGTATCTAATACCTAATATATATATATCATTCCAATAACTTGTATATAGACTCGTACTGCACTATTCCACATCATAACTTTATTTAATTTTTATAACTATTATTATTTTTGTATTGCTCATGCTCTTATTGTTATTATGTTATGTTATTATGTTGCATTGTTGGAGAAGCCTGTGACATAAGATTTTCAACTGCATAATTACTCTGTAGCTATGTCAGATTGACAATAAAGAACCTTGAACCTTGAACATGAAAACAATCAATCTAATTGGATCCACAAGAGTCTCAGCTTTCTATTTACCACCATTTTAAGACTGTTTAGGGACCCCAGCATGCAGAAATATTCAAATACACAATTCTTGAACTGCTGAAAATAACACATTTAAACTGCATGCAAAAACTGAATGGGATTGGCATAAAGCACCAGATATCGAAAGTTTAACGGACCCCTGTGAAGATAGCCATGCCAATTATCCCCCCCCTAAAATGTTGCCCAATGTTGGACTAGCACCAGTGCCAATGGATTGTCTTTTTTAGTCTCATTTAAACATATCATCCATTTACTGCCTCTTCAAGCCAGAAGGCCTGCACAATTTGTAAGAAAAACACAAATTCTGGTCAATTTTCGTGATTCTGCTATTTGCAAAGTAGTCATAATTGTCATTAAAAAACATATTAAATGACTATTATCTGATGTTTTGAGGAATATCTGTACCAAACAATTGTGTTCTTTGAAGCTCCACAGTACTCAATTACTGTATATAGACTATTCTGCACAGTTTCTATCATATTCTGTTTCTATTATATTCGATTTAATTGTATTTACTTGCACTATTTTATCTGTTGTATTGTGTTGCTCTGTTGGAGGAGCCTGTGACCTAAGATTTTCATTGTCATAACTACACTGTAGCTATGTACACATGACAATCAAAGCCTTGAAACTTGAAACACCTATTTAGCCTTCAACAAATATTATGCTTTTTGCAATTCTGATGTTGCACTTGTCCATCTTTCCATTTCAAATACATTTTCAATGAATTGTGCAACCCTAAGAGACAGTGAAGTCGTGCAGAGAAGACAATCCCACGAGTCTCACGGGGTTAACTCCGTGCATGCAGTGCTTGACAGTGCATGCAATACTTCACTCACCAGACTCTTGCATCAGAAGTGCCGAGTTGAAGAGTGCCAGTTTGTGGCGTGGGTTCAGCTCGAGTGCGTGATTGAAGTTCTTCAGAGCTTCCGATGGGTCTTTCATCTCGATGTTGACGATGGCCAGGTTGTACCACAGGTCAGCGTTTGTGCGATCCAGCTCCAAGGCTCGGAGGTAGGCGTCCCGCGCTTCGCTCAGCTTGTTCATCTTCAAAAGAAGCTCCCCTCTGAGATGAAAGAAAAGACAATAAATTAACAGCACACGAAAAGGAATCAAAACAGTGTGAGAATTCTATATTTTACATAATGGACAATTCACAGGGAAATATTCAATGTATATTTGTCCCCATTTTTCTGTATGTGGGTGTCCATTTGGTTATTGTTACAGATTGGATTGTAGGGACCATATGCCAAAAACAATCTGAAATAAAAGACTGATTGGTCAAATTCCCCAATGGCGCGCTCTGTGGGTAGAATGATCTTCGCTGATTGGCTGGGAGAAAACCACATGCTTGTCGACCTCACTGAGTCGCGGGCGGGACGCCATATTTGGTGTGTGCGGAAGTTACCAAATATGGTTCCTCGCCTGATAAATCTAATCTTGGAGTAATTTTTATCAAGATGAACATTATTACTTTAGTCAAACTAGGACATAACAGCCAACAGAACCTTACAAATGGCCCGATTTAGGTACAAATGCTACATAAGCTATCAGCTGTCAACTCTCAGTTCAGTGATGGAGGCCAATTCAAACAAACCTGAAAGGGAACGTTTTGAGTATGAATGGTAATGCATGTCAATGTCAACATTTAAGGTATTGAATCCCTGTTCCCTGTGGAAAGAATAACGGATGTTAATTCATGCTCAAAGACTGACATCTGATAGGAGCAAAGTGAAAACTCTTGCCTGCTGATGTAGGCTTGTTTGAAGTCTGGCCTCATGCTGATGGCCTGTCGGTAGAGCTGGTCGGCCTCTTCCAACCTCGATTCGTTTGCCCGTATCAGGTTAGCAAGGTTTATGTAAACGTTGAGATGGTTAGGGGCCACACGAGTCGCGTACTTCTTACCTGGAATAACCTGAGAATGGAGAGAAAATATATGAATGATGGATCCAAGGAGGTATGGAAAAGCCTGAGTGGTGAATGAAGAGGTTTTTAACATGTGTATGTGTGTATGTGTGTATGTATGTATGTATGTATGTATGTATGTATGTATGTATGTATGTATGTATGTATGTATGTATGTAGTATGTATGTATAGATAAGATAGATAGATAGATAGATAGATAGATAGATAGATAGATAGATAGATAGATAGATCGATATATAGATAGATAGAGGAGGATAGATGGATAGTAGATGGAGAGGATAATGAAGATAGATGGATAGATAGATGGATAGATAGATAGATAGATGGATAGATGGATAGATGGATAGATGGATAGATGGATAGATGGATAGATGGATAGATGGATAGATGGATACTGTAGATAGATGGATACTGTAGATAGATAGATAGATAGATAGATAGATAGATAGATAGATAGATAGATAGATAGATAGATAGATAGATAGATAGATAGATAGATAGATAGATAGATAGATAGATAGATAGATATATAGAAGGATAGATGGATAGATACTTTATTGATCCCAATTTGGGAAATGTTTGCGTTGCAGCAGCATAAAAAAAACAAGGCAATGTACATAAGAGAAATTAAGACACTAGAAATAAACAGTCCAAAATATTTCTGAAAAATAAATAAAATAGCATTAAAAAGTAAAAGTACAAATATATATACATGAGGAAAATATACATGTGGAAATACACATTTCCAGTAACAAATATAATGCAGGATATTATTGTGCAAGGATACCTGTGGCATGAGGGATTTGGCAACCAAGTACGCATCTTCTGCCTCTCTGGACTTGTTCAGGTTCTTGTAGGTTCTTCCAACATTCATGTGAGCCCCAATGTCATCTGCAGAAACATTGAATTGAGCATCAGAAAGCAGAGAACAGAGCAAAACAGTCACGCTTAAAGAGGTCATGTTCTGCTAATTTTATGGTTCATATTTGTATTTTGTGCCTCAAGGCAAGGCAAGTTTATTTATATAGCACCTTTCAACACAAGGCAATTCAAAGTGCTTTACAATAATGAAAAACATTAAGAAAATGGCATTCATAAACAGTCATTAAAAAGCATAAAAACATACTGTGACATGTTTACGTGAGTTCATGTTCAAAAAGAGATTTATTTTTCTCATACTGCCTTTTTAGCACCTCATTTCACCCTCTATCTACATCCCAAGTCTCTTTAGTTGCACCATATTTTCCTCACTTGCCTTTTTTCCAAGAAGAAGCTTACGTCTATTTATTTTATGAAGGGTCGTTAAAACCAAATTGAGAAAGAGGTAATGTAGCAATATTTATTCTTCAGACAGAGTGTTTTCCAGGTTACACCCACCTTAGCATGACTGTGTGAACTCTGATATGATTTCAGGTGTTAACGCCTTTTTAAATCACTTTTCCATCAATCAAAAATGTTTATAACTGATAACCATTTGACAGTGTTCTCTTGATTGATCCATTCAGTAATGTTTTTACTTTATAGTATTGCAAGAAACTGCTAAAACTTGCCAAAGTCCCAAAGAGTGCTTCCTTGATTCTGTGGATTTTCTTTTTAATGAATTTATCTCATTTTTAAAATTCAGTGGGATTTAAAACACAGCATTGTCCGTCTGTTAAGAAATGCTCAATGTGGATTACCATCACATATAGGACATTACACGTCCTGTACAATGTTATATGATTGTTCTATAGTCCATTGTTTACACTCAGCAAAGGGTCATTGCCAGTAAGCTGCAGCAGCACTATAGACTGTGTAGCCCTAACTGCCTGTAAAGATTTCTTTTATAAATACTTTTTCTTCTCAAGGTTCTTTTTGATTGCTCAAACTCCTACTTATGCCATGTTCACTTTTCTGAACGGCATCCAAGTGCCCTTTTGCAATTACGGAGGAAATCAGATTCAGGCTCTGAACAAAAGACAGACTCTCCCTAAACCTCCACTCTAGGTTTTTAAATGGCTCTGGCTGAGCTGGTGTTCAACAGGAAGCTGAGGAACTGTATTTTACATGTTGTATAGACGGTTAAACTAGATGTTTATGCATTGTCAGACCTGCCATTGCATGTTTTGGCAAGAAACTCTCATTTGTAACATTGAATACTTATATTTCCCGTAACCAAGACTTAAAGGAGTCCTCTCCTGCTGATGTTCAGGTGTATATCAGTATGTAGTGTCTCTACTTTAAAGAGTCCTCTCCTGCTGATGTTCAGGTGTATATCAGTATGTAGTGTCTCTACTTTAAAGAGTCCTCTCCTGCTGATGTTCAGGTGTATATCAGTATGTAGTGTCTCTACTTTAAAGAGTCCTCTCCTGCTGATGTTCAGGTGTATATTAGTATGTAGTGTCTCTACTTTAAAGAGTCCTCTCCTGCTGATGTTCAGGTGTATATCAGTATGTAGTGTCTCTACTTTAAAGAGTCCTCTCCTGCTGATGTTCAGGTGTATATCAGTATGTAGTGTCTCTACTTTAAAGAGTCCTCTCCTGCTGATGTTCAGGTGTATATCAGTATGTAGTGTCTCTACTTTAAAGAGTCCTCTCCTGCTGATGTTCAGGTGTATATCAGTATGTAGTGCCTCTACTTTAAAGAGTCCTCTCCTGCTGATGATCAGGTGTATATCAGTATGTAGTGTCTCTACTTGTGTTGGAGTGCTAGTGCTAGCCAATAGAAGTGCGAGTGCTATATAGTAATGTCACTGTGTTAGGGAAGTAAACAAAAGAGTCCAATGCAGGCGAGTGTTTTGGAGAGAAACTATCTCTGGATAGAACACAGGGATTTTAGCCTTTGTCGACCATTTACATGCACAAAAACCTATATAACACACTAGAGGAAAGGGACGGCCGCAAAAAGCATAACAGGGTCTCTGTCAAATGTTTTAGCCTCATTCGTTTTGAGAAGTAGCAACCCCCTTATGCAACCAACTGCATTGTCAGAAGCTATAACTGATACTGCCTTCCTTAGCCTGTTTCGAGAGTGTAATCACAATATTTAGTTTGCTGGGATCAAATCCTAAACTAAAAGAGGGAGGAAAGAAATCCCCTCAACACTTAGCAATACCACATCCCTGCAGGCAGAAATGCAGGCAGTTACAATCTGTCATCTTTAACTTACGTAAACTTCCCCGTGTTCCAGTTGACTGAGCACTGTTATTTTTACAGCTACGCATTAAGTGTAACTGACAGATGTCTCTACTTGCATGAAAACCAACATAACGAAAAAATGAAAACCTCATTGATAAAACAGCCAAAGTTTAATCAACATTAGCGCAGGGCTATTGCCTCGCAAGTGTTTTTGGTTGAGCTCCTCTGTGATCACCCGGTTTTCATTTATTTCAAAAGTATTGGAAGTACAAGTTATATCAGACAGTAAAAACAGAATGGTGTAACTGGTGATAAATGTAACATTATAGGTACACTGTGGGTTTACACTGAAAACAAAACACTATGAGAGATTTCACAATATCTCTTTTAGCCGGGGAAATACATCCTCATAAATCAAATCGAACAAGATCGGCAGATGTGTCGTACCATCGCTTCCGTCATCAATGTCAACACAATATCATGATTTATGAATATCAGATGTATTTGTCTTACCTGGCTGGACGCGTGTAGCCTGGAGAAAATACCGCAGAGCCGTGTCGTAATTGTTTTGGTTTTCCAGAGCGTGGCCAACGTTATTCCAAAGCTTGGCGTTGTTCTTGTTGACCTGAAAGTGAAGGTAATTTAACAAACACGATAATAGACTTGTTTTGGTTCATCTGTTAGAACACCATTTTTAATCACCTAGTTATTAAAGGGCCTTTTTAACAGGCCAACATTAGCATTAATTGTCCTTTCCGTCTTACCTTCAGGGCCGAAGTGAACAGAGTGTACTCAGACTCCCAGTCCCAATTCCTCTTAAACGTTTTCACTGCATGTGTGGCCAAAAGCAGCCCGATTACCAACCAGGAAATCTTCTTTAAGTACCTACAAAATAACATAAAGACTTTCAAATGATATTGCTTTGATCAAAGACTTTCAATTGCAAACATTTTAAATGGGCCCTTATTATTTTGTGAGTGGTACAGGGGTGCACTGTGTTCTTTATATTACATTACATTTTACATTACATGTCATTTGTTAGACGCTTTTATCCAAAGCGACTTACATACATTCAGTACTGTGTGGACAATCCCCACAGGAGCAGTTTGGGGTGAAGTGTCTCAGGGACACAACGACATGCCGACTGCAGTGGGACTCGAACCTGCTACCCCCTGATTCGAAGTCCAGCACTCTATCCACTTAGCCACAGCCTCCCTCATATCAGTAGACATGAATGTAATAAGGTTGGCAGTATTGTTGCACAATATATCCTTTCATCATCGATGCATAAATGTGTGCATGTGCAATATCAATGCCTTATCTTCAAAAAAGTCTGTATGAAAGGTTCACTCTTGATTTTGATCAAATCCTCAAACTACAACAGCAGACATTAAGAGTTACTGAACACAAGATAAACACTGAGGAGTAAGATTTTGTTTTGGTTTGGTTGTTAAACCCTAAAACATAACATCAGTTGTATGGAAATACTTCAGTTACAGAAACTAACCAATTACAGGCAATTTATCATCATCTGGTTGAAATTCCTGTATTTTTTATATAAACTTAACAGAAAAAGTAAGGCAATTTCTTTTGTTTTTATTTTGTAAAGCACTTTGAATTGTCGCGTGCTGAAAGGTGCTATATAAATACAATTGCCTTGCCTTGTGTTTGGTAGAGGATTTATATGTCGTAACGATGCTTTTTGGCAATACATCTTAAACCGTTGGCAAGCCTGTTTTCTTACCTTTCCAATGGTACCACATTTGTGAGGAACACGCATTTGTGGGATGAGCAGCAGAGCTGAGTATGAGGGGTGCGCCTATGAAAAATGTGACAAATCTCCTCTGCCAATTGGAAAGGTAAGTAAACAGGCTTTCCAACGGTATACGATTTATTGCCAAAAAGCATTGTTACAACATAGAAATCATCTACCAAACACAAATTGCCTTACTTTTTGTGTTAAGTTTATTTAAAGTGGACCTATCATGCTATATTTGAATAATATAGTGTAGGACCATACCTATATAAAGGCATATTTATACTTTTTTTTTTTCAAAATACCAAACAGATCATGCATTTTAGCCATGCCTCATTTTGCTCAATTTGAAATTTTTTAGCTCTGTGTTTGTAAGGGCTGATTCTGTGAGAACAGCACCACCTACAGGCCTGGCATATGTACTACAGCGTCTCCAGCGCTTTCGAACGGCAATGGCCGTGGCTGTCTCCTCCTGATTGGTGGAGTTGGCCCAATAGCCGTAGCGCCACCGTCCTGACGTCAGGACAGTGTTCAAATCTGGATCAGTTTTTATCAGATCCGTTGCAGCCCCTTTTTTAGAGATTTGGGTATGGAGGAAAATAGAGAGGGTTGTGTTTTCTGACACTTGGTGAGTTCCCTGGAACACCGGGGACACATATTCATGTATAAAAGACATACAAAAGTGCATTTTGCATGATAGGTCCCCTTTAAATATAAATGATTAGGGTTGGAATATTGCAATATTAAAACGATGCAATGTCAATTTTTGTTCCTAATATCAAGCAACCCTAGTCTGCATCTTATGTGCAGATAGAGGGTAGCCACTCAATGATGAGGTAACCCTTAACATGGTACTAACAGGTGTCTCTCAAGTGGTCACAACACACATAAATGATGTGTTCTGTTCTTCGTATTTCCCTAAGGCCCAATGGCATGAGCTAATGGAAGTGTTGGTCTTTTACTCGGATGGTTGGTTGTTCGATTCCAAGTCCTTGCTGTCAACATGTTGATGTGTCCTTGATGGATACTTAACCCCACATTTCTCACAATACAATGTGAATGTGTGAATGAGCAGACAACACGTTGTAGGGCAGAATGTGTGTGAATGCTGACTAGTAAAAGCACTTTGAGGAGTCATAAACAGGGGTGCACACAACTACCGACGTCAACGTTAACAGCAGCCCTGTCTGTGCACACGGAGACCGACTCTGTCGTCCGGTGATCTAACCGCCTTCTGGAAAAGCTTCACAAGTACGTCGGTACGCAAATGCGCTTTGTGACACAAGTGACGGTACGCATTTCAGATTGTTGCTGCGCATGCGTACCTGCGTACCAGTTATGTGCACCCCTGGTCATAAAGCTCTATATATTGGTATTAGTGATTATTATTATTAGCTCGGTGATAGTGAGGCCTTCACAGCGACAAAGAGGATGAAGACTTCAGTGGATAAATGCGAGTTATACACCGAAGCGACTTATATGTCCGGCAGTGTCCGGCAGTGGCTCAGTCAGTAGGGGCTTGGACTGGGAGCCGTAGGGTCGCTGGTTCAAGTCCCCGACCAGACCTAAATATGGAGTGTGGACTTCTACTTGGAGAGGTCCCAGTTCACCTCCTGCCCTGCCGTGGTGCCCTTGAGCAAGGCACCAGACACCCCCCTTCCCCCCCACTCCCATTGCTCCCCGGGCGCTGTACAATAGCTGCCCACTGCTCCTAGTACTAGACTCCTTGTACTAGGATGGGTTAAAAGCAGAGGCCAAATTTCACTGTGTGTGCTGTGTGCTCTGCATGTGTGACCATTAAAGAGGGTTTCATCCCTCCCTATTCTATCTATATGTTTTTTTTCTCTTAATGACGTTTTTTGACAAGAGCGACTTATACTCAGGTGTGACTTGTAGTCCGGAAAATACGGTACTTTGCAACTTATTTTTTTAGATTGTTTATGTCCGCACCACCAGATACCAAAACAAATTCTTTGTATGTGTAAACGTAACTGGCAATAAACTTGATTCTGTTTCTGATTATTACATTTGGTTACATGATTGCAGAAAAGCACTCGCCCTTTATGTGAGATGATCTTGAATCCATGAGCAACGAGAACACAGAAGCCCATGCTGGGCACATAGAGGACCCTCTCGGCCACCACGAAGCCCACAGGGAAGAAGAGGTTGGACGCAGGAATGAAAGGCAGGACGATGAAGGACAGGGCCTGAAGGAGAAAGACAAATAATTACTTCACCATATGAGCCATGTTAATTCAATGCATGTGTTTACTACATGGTAACGTTCAGAGATCTTGCTAAGAGGAATAATATGCATAACACATTTTCAGTATTCAATTGTAAAAGGACGATAGGTCATCACAGATTAGGGAAAACGTGCTAAATTAAAACAGGGTTCCTGCAGGTTTCACCAACTCAAATTTAAGACTTTTTAAGACCACTTTGAATAGAATTTAAGACCTATTTCACGGCAAGAAAGTATGAAGGAAAATTGCTATGAAAGAAGAAATACGTCCCATAATTATAATAAGTAAATGTATTCACGCTCAACATAAGAACGATGACTGAACATAACAGCATAACAGTACACAGAACTGTGTGTGTGTGTGTCTCTCTCTGTGTGCGTGTGTCTCTCTCTCTCTGTGTGTGCGTGTGTGTCTGTGTCTGTGTCTGTGTCTGTGTCTGTGTGTGTGTGTGTGCGCGTGTGAGTGACAAGAGCTATATTCAGAGCTCTGCTGCCTTGGCTACAATCTTTCATCGTTGCTGTTGTATGATTGGTGTTTAGCTACGGTATTTAGCGTCCACAGCACCTCCGCTTTTAGGGTTGACGCAAACGTCGCCCGGAGGTCCCCCGATGTTGTTGCGGGAGCTAACGCTACATTAGCAAAACAAACGCTATCTTTGTTTGCAAAAGGTGCAGCTGGCTTCAAACACGTTCCCTCCACTGGTTTCAACCAAGCACTAAATTCGTGTTAATGTTTTAACCAAATACGGTTGAATTTACACTTCCCCATATTTATTTGTAAGTAGATTCGAAGATACCTGAGTTTCTGACTGCCGCTAGCTGAAGCTTGGTTGCTAGGTTACTAGCTGGGTGTTCTCCGATAAGGGGCCGGGGGAAACAAAAGTTAGTGATTACTGGTTCCATGTTGATTTATTTCAATACAAATTGTTGGGGGGAACTGAAAGGCTCTTACCGTACTGGTTACTTTGCAGCCCGGACATTTCCCCCAAAACACATTTAGACGCGATCGCAACACAGAAGTACCTTTCAAATCCCATCATTTTTAAGACCTTCTAAATCATATTTAAGACCTTTCTTATTTTTTGGATCATATTTAAGACTTTTTTAAGGCCTTAAATTCTGATTATCAAATTTAAGACTTTTTATGACCCCGCGGGAACCCTGTAAAATGTGTGCTCTGCTTTGAAATGTCCATTATGATAAATGAATGAGTAAATTGGCGTGAAAACACAGCGTGCTGCAGCCATCGAGCCAGCAAACAAACAGGATCAAGAGACGTGAATTGGACCGAGCCCAACCCAAAGGCATGCCCAGAAATGTTGTAAAACACAACTACATATCGGAGATGTTTTTGAAAGAGACAGCTTAGGGCCTAATAGGATACTGAGATAGATATCCAGCTAATATTTATTTCCTTCTGAACATGTAAGCTTTAGCAAACTAATTCATAATGGCTCCTAGTAATTTAGGGATTAGTGTTACAATACATGTTAACATTTAGTTGAAATAATATATTTAAGTACTTGAGACTAAAAGCCAAAATACTTCAAGTGTAGAGTAATAGAGAGGTATTCAATGTTAAAAGTGGAGCTTTCAATTCTAATATAATGCTGGATAGTTTATTAAAGAGGCCCTTTTATGCTTTTTGGGTTTAACTTTCCTGTAGTATGTTATATAGGTTTTTGTGAATAGAATACTGAATACTGAATATTGTGATTACACTCTCGAAACAGGCTAACAAAGGCAGTATCACTAATAGCTTCTGCCAATGCAGTTGGATGCATAAGGGGCTTGTTACTTCTCAAAACTAATGAGACTTACATTTTTGAAAGAGCCCTTTTTGGGGTCGTCCCTTTCCTGTAGTGTGTTATAAAGGTTTTAGTGCATGTAAATGGTCTGCAAAGGCTAAAATCCCTGTGTTCCAGGGGGAGATTCTCTCCAAAACACTCGCCTGCATTGGACTCTTTTGTTTATTTCCGTAAGACAGTGACATCACTACGTAACACTCGCACTTCTATTGGCTAGCGCTCCAACACATTGTACGTGATAGGCTAAGGGGCGGGACATCTCTAATCGGTTGAGCAATAACAACAGAGCCGGCCAGCTAACCAATCAGAGCAGACTGGGCTCTGGTTTCAGACAGAGGGTGAAAAGAGGTGCTGCAGCACAGGCAGTATGAGAAAAATAAAGAGCTTTTTGAACATTAAAGCATTGAGACATGTCCCAGTAGAGACACAGAATACAGTTGAGGCCTACAATGAGTTAGAATAGTCACATCATTATATATTTGACCTTGTAATGAATCAAACTGCTTTGGGGCACCTTGAGTAGGCGTTCCTTGTGCTTGTTACCATGAACAACAATGCCTTTCACTGTTGTTTCTGATTAACCGCAACTATCTAACGGCAGTTTTTCCCAGGAAGCTACAGTGTTATGTGTGTAGTTTTCTTGAAAGATCAGTTTGCCACAAGCCGCAAGCAGAAATACCACTGGCTAAATATCAGCATGATTCAAACAGTCATGTATGGACTAGCTGTAAAAGGTGAACACGATCTGTTGATGAATCAATAACAAAAGTATTCAGTTTCTGTCCGTTATGACATTTCCCCAAAAAATAGCTACAATAAGCTGCTACCTGCAAAACAAAGGGATGTTTCAGATGTTGCATCAGTGATGAGCTACGTGCAGGCAGTAAGCTATCCGTCTCAGATCTGTTTATCCTAATAAATAAATGTCTATATACTGTACTGCTGCTCATCCTCCTGCACAGGCTGGAATAGTGTGAGTCAGTTGTTTTATATAGCATCAGTGCAATAAATATAAATAAAAATCCATATATTATGCAGTGATCTGATCTGGGATGTGGGAGTTACGTGGTGAATATATGGGATACTGGCAGGAGAGGTGGTTAGCACTGAAAATGACCCACATCCTAATAAATGCTAGAATACATAGTTATTTTATTACGTATATTTGAAATATATATATGGAACGGAGAGGGGGTTTAGTTGTCTCCCACTCCAACAAGAGAGAAAGATGCTTTTTTTTTACTGCATGTGATGCATGTGTACGTAAGGCTTAACACTGAATACTTTAGTATATAAAGTGTTCTTTAAATGAAGCAGTCAATAGATAATCTTTTAGAAAAACTAAATAACGAAAAAAGAGAGGAGGCTGGTGGCCAAGGAGACAAGGAGATGTTCTGATTCAGACGTTACTGATACTGTAAGTGCAGGCAGGAACAGACATTTCAGTCTCATAAACAATGCTGTACCAAAAACAAGCTGTGACGAAGTCACTAAAAAATGAAGACGGTAGTCCTGAATAACACTACTTCCCCTTAGGCATTGGCCCTATTCCAAATCGACCCCTACACACTCCGTCTGTAGTAACACTTACAACTATACATTTAAATATAATTTCAATCCACCTTTACTGACGTTTAGTGACAATTGTTTTCTTGTGAATTTGTTTTAATCTGATGTTTATGAGCTGCTTAGTTGTTGCAATGGTCTCTGTACATATACAAAACTACAATCAAATGAAATGGGCTACCGTTCTCTAGACTTGACACGGTATACGATCCTCAGTAAAAAAAAACAATGTAAATTAACATCAGTATGTAATCTCTTAATTTGCGCAGTTTAGGCTACTAGTTTATGTTTGCAATGAACCATTTGTAAACAGCATGTTTTATGGCGGACATAAACAATGTAGTGCAGGTTGTTAGTGTTTAACTTCCAACACGTGGTAGTTAAACACTTGGCGGACCCTCCACACGAAAAAGCACACAAAGTGAAAAGTGTGTAGGGGTCGGTTTGGAACGAATAACAAAACAATTTTTATATGATAGAAAAAGAAAACATAACCCCCAAAGACAAAACAAACTCAACGTGCTGCAGCCATTGAAGCGAGCAAACGGGATCCACAGAGATAACTTGGATTCTACCCAACCTAATAAGCCTTGGCATGCCCAGACATGTTGTAAAACACATCTAAGTAATGACGATGCTGCTGAAAGATGAAGACAGCGTAGAGCACATGTGTCAAACTCAAGGCCCGGGGGCCAAATCAGGCCCTTGGTGGATTTAATTTCGGCGCGCAGGATAATTTTTAATTACTATTCGATCTGAACTGAATGAAGGAAAAACAGAAGTAATGGTTTTTGGTAGCACTACTGGCACCACTTCTGTAGACCTGGGTTCCCTGGCTCAGTACACCAAGCCCACCATTACAAACCTTGGCATTAAAATGGACCCTGAACTAAAACTTGAGAGTCAGATTAAATCTGTGGTAAAAACAAGCTTTTATCACCTGAGGCAGCTAGCCAAAGTAAAAACCTGACAGCAGTTTGAGACAGTAATCCACGCCTTTGTCACCACTCGGCTGGATTACTGTAACTCTCTCTACATGGGGGTCAGTGGGTCCCCCCTCGCTCGTCTGCAGCGGGTGCAAAATGCCGCAGCAAGGCTTTTAACTGGCACACGGAAATATGACCACATTTCCCCCATTTTGGCTTCGCTCCACTGGCTGCCAATACATTTTAGGACTCATTTCAAAATCCTTTTGTTTACTTTTAAATCCCTAAATGGCATGACCCCACCATATCTTTCTGAGCTGCTACACCCCTACACGCCCAACCGCCCTCTCAGGTCAGCGGATCAACTGCTCCTGAATGTGCCCAGAACCAAGTCAAAGCTCAGAGGGGGCCGTTGCCTCTCTGTAGCAGCTCCCACACTGTGGAACGATCTGCCCCTGCACGTCAGACAGGTCCCCACACTGTGGAACGATCTGCCCCTGCACATCAGACAGGTCCCCACACTGTGGAACGATCTGCCCCTGCACGTCAGACAGGTCCCCACACTGTGGAACGATCTGCCCCTGCACATCAGACAGGTCCCCACACTGTGGAACGATCTGCCCCTGCACGTCAGACAGGTCCCCACACTGTGGAACGATCTGCCCCTGCACGTCAGACAGGTCCCCACACTGTGGAACGATCTGCCCCTGCACGTCAAACAGGTCCCCACACTGTGGAACGATCTGCCCCTGCACGTCAGACAGGTCCCCACACTGTGGAACGATCTGCCCCTGCACATCAGACAGGTCCCCACACTGTGGAACGATCTGCCCCTGCACATCAGACAGGTCCCCACACTGTGGAACGATCTGCCCCTGCACGTCAGACAGGTCCCCACACTGTGGAACGATCTGCCCCTGCACATCAGACAGGTCCCCACACTGTGGAACGATCTGCCCCTGCACGTCAGACAGGCCGCCACACTGCCTGCTTTTAAATCGCTTCTTAAAACCCACCTCTTCTCCTTAGCGTATTAACATCTTTTAGAGCGTTGCTTTTATTGCTTTTAAATTGTCTATTGTTTTTACTTGTACTTTTTATGGTGTGTGAGCTGAGCTGGACCTTTTTGTATGTTTTGTTTTGTTTATTTGCCTGTACAGCACTTTGGTCTGGAGGTTTAAAGTGCTCTATAAATAAAGCTGTATTGTATTGTAACTTGCACCCAAGATGAGATGCCAAGTATCTGGCTTGAACTAGCATCACAGCAGCACACTGAGTTTACATGGATGTTTCCTTCTGCACTTTCTTTCTTGAGACAACAGGGCATGTTTGGTTTGTTCTTTGAGGGAAATAGTTTTTTTGAAGCTGTTGTTGGCCTGTGGAAAAATGTAATCATAAGAAATGACTCTGGAAAAGCTCCAGATAGAGCCATAAGAAATGAATGCTACTGATTATTTAATGTTTAATGTTGTTTTTATAGGCAATAATTTAAGCTTTGTTAGTTCCAGGTTTAATATGTGCAATAAGTTCATTTCAATACATTTTTCAATAAACATTGAACCAGTCCTCGACTAGTACCCATTTTTTTATTTTGGCCCACTGTGTATTTGAGTTTGACACCCCTGTAGAGCATAAAAGGATTTAGGATTGATATGGTGTCGGCTAAACTCTTTCTGAACATGTGAGCATCAATCTTTAGTTTAGAAAAAATATATAAAACACATTATATAAGGAATTAATTCAAACTTAGTTTAATTTGACACATACAGACACTGTTGGGAGGAAAAAGCATTACAGAGCCGGTCCTCAAAGGATGACTGTCTTGAAGTATTTAACGCGTCTAATGCTCCATGTGAGGCAGCTGGCAGCCTCGCTCACGGATAAGTAGGTTGGTGTGGTATGATACTCTTATGCAACATATTCCAAATGCTCTTATAAAACCAGAGTAAACACTGCAAAGTTCAAAATTCAGTTTATTCTGTGTTGATTTGTTGTCAACTGTTCTAAAAGCAACACTGTTGGGACATGTTAGTGACCCTCATGAAAGGCAGCCTGTTGCAAAACCGACATTCATTTGTCTGAGTGCCACGATGAACAATTACTACGTGTTCAAGGGAGACATTTATGTGCCGTTTCTCTTAGGCTGATATTGCCTATTTTTGTCCCTTTGTTTGGAGTTGGACATAAAAACAACAACATCTCATTAGTTTATTGAATTATAAAGCTGCCAAGCATGTTCTGCAATCCTGATTTTATCTCTTTAAGTGATTTAACGATGTCTTGGTGCTTAAGTCATGTTAACCCATCAAAAACAGACGATGAAAAACAAAAGGTGGGAATCTTAACAATGGCACTTAAATTCAGACTATGGTAATAAAAACTATGTCTAGCAATCTTAAGCTTTTGCTAAATACTCAATAATGCCTTGGTGAACATGAGGAAGCACTTAAGCTGAGGCTTTGGTTAAGTCATCCCATAATCTTTTTTTAATGCACAAAAGGAACCCTTTCACTCCGAATTGGTAACAACCAATGAAGCGATTCAGCCAAATCTATCAGTTCAAAGTGAATATACCCACATTAGTAATGGAAGGAAAAAGGACCAGTCATGTGAGAGATCCAGAAATATCTACATAAAAACGTTTTTGATAATAACTTTACAAAAGCCTAATTGATTAAGTAACAACATTGGTCTTACAAAAGAGACACACTTTCAATGAGTTTTAAAATGTTTTGTTGATGCCTGCATGATTTGGAAAAAATCCTTTTGACCTATATTGCTATATGATTCACGATATTAGCGGGAAACATGTATTAAAATATAGGAATATATTAAAATACATTAAATTATGCTGTTTTTTGTAAAGCATTTGATCCAAAAAGTATGTTTTGTTACGATCTGTAGGTCACAAAATCTCTGAATCTACCAAGCATTACGCCCACTCCAATTTCAATATTGAACTAGTCCATACTGCAATTTTGATAACATCTGGATTAATTGTGCAGCCCTAGTTTTGTGAATGGGCATCTAAGCCATAAAGATCTATTTTTTTCCCCAGGCAATGAGTATAACATTTGACTTTGGCTGCCAAGTTTTCTACCTTCACCCGCACAAAGGAAATGTTTTAGTTCGGCTCTGTATCAATGCAGCGTGGGCGGTACATATAGATGCATGGAGGGAGGTGGGCGTCAGCATCAGCCCAAACTGCCAGGACCAGTTCCTCCAGGGGTTTAATCATGACCAAACATTATCAAACCAATCAAGGAAGTCGACTTAAACCACAGTGAACATTCTTTTTTCTCGCCAGAGAAACCTCAGCTTTCACTGGTGTGTCTTGTTGCTTTGTTTTTGCCTTGAAGCTAAACATGTCCTGGTATTTGTATTAGTTCGTTCTTTTTTTGATGGGTCTGTTTAATTGTATAAATGTCATGTTTTAAGAGTCATTTCTTTTTTACGTCTGTTTAGCTATTAGCTCAATCTGGAATATATGTTCTCTTCTCCTTTTGAAATTAACGTTTATCGATGTTCCTTTTTTAATAATATTAATAATACTAATAATAACAATAGGTCTTCGCACACTTCATGCTCAGGCCCTAATAAACAGATATAGCAGATGTTAAAGAAAATAAATCAATGAAAAATAAGAATTCAATGGTTTAATTTGTAAGTCTTTTCATAGATGGAAAGACAGAATGCATCTGTCCAAAGGTCTTTGATCCATTTAAAGGTCACCTATTATGCAAAATCCACTTTTTCATGTATTTTATACATCAACATGTGTCCCCTCTGTGTAAAGAGATTCTGAAAGTTTCAGGAAAAAAGATTCTCTCTCTTTTTGTCCTGATCCATGTATATAAAAACCTGTCTGAAAATGATCTGATCAGATTTTGGCCACTTTATGATGTCATAATGATGTTTTGGCTTGTGTAACCATTAGCCAATCACCAACCAAGGTAACCCCCCCCCCCACTTTATCACCTGAATCTCCTAGAGCACCATTGTGTTCTTTGTAGGGCTGTCAAGTTAACGCGTTAATAACGTGTTAACGCAAAAAAAAAAAACGCCACTAATTATTTTAACGCATGTGTATTTTTTGTCCTCGGCCTCCCCGTAGTTTCAGAGCGCATCGAGTGTAAAATACCATCGACAAGCTGATGCTGACAGCCCCGCTCCTGCCGCCCGCTTGTGGCAGACCACACTTCCACGCTCACTGGCAGGCCCGGACTGGCCATCGGGAGGACCGGGAAGGAGTGTGTATGTGTGGCGCGACTCGCGCGAGCGAGGCACACCTTACTTCTTGTTGTTGTTGTTGTTGTTGTTGTTGTTAGCATCTGGTGCTAGCTAGCTGCGCTAACGGATATAAGGAGCTGTTTCAATGACATTTCGCCGACAACTGCGCCGAGCACTTGACTTTATGCAGGTAGCCAGACAGTGGGACATTGTACGAAAAGTCAGCGCACTCAGCACGGATAGTACGCGCAACATGATTGCAGCGTCCAGGCAGCTCCCGTTCGAGCATATATGCCTTGAGCTGCACATAGCTCCAACGATCCATCACAGTGTCCACACACACACACACACACACACACACACACACACACACACACACACACACACACACACACACACACACACACACACACACACACACACACACACACACACACACACACACACACACACACACACACACACACACACACACACACACACACACACACACACACACACACACACACACACACACACACACACACACACACACACACACACACACACACACACACACACACACACACACACACACACACACACACACACACACACACACACACACACACACACACACACACACACACACACACACACACACACACACACACACACACTATTATTGTATGAGAGAGGTTCCAGGTTGATTTGAAGCGAATATTTGTAATGTTCAGAGGTTGTTGTGTTTAATATTCATGAGAATATTTGTCATTGTTCAAATGATAATAAACAAACATATAAAGCATATTTGTCCACTCATATGTTGATAAGAGTATTACAAACTTGAAAAATATCCCTCTAAGGTACATTTAGAACAGATAAAAAATGTGCGATTAATTTGCGATTAATCGCGATTAACTATGGACAATCATGCGATTAATCGCGATTAAATATTTTAATCGACTGACAGCCCTAGTTCTTTGTAACCAAATATCTCTCAGAGGGGCGTGGGGAGTGGCTCCTTATTTTCATCTAAAGTAACAGACAGAGAATCAGCACTTTTGAAACAGGGCTGAAACAGAGGGGATTATGGGATGCTGCAATGATCTGTTTGGTATTTCCAGCCAAACACTTCAGAGACATGTTTTGTATATATCTGAGACCTATAATATATTGATGCAAAACAGTATAATAGGGGACCTTTTAGAGATTGATCACTGTAACATGTATGAATGATCAAGTAAAACGTCCTCTCACCATGATGACGGTCTTCGAGGAGCTGTGGCTGTAGCGCAGGCTGTAGTAGGCCAGCAGGCCCAGAAAGGTGTAGAACAGCAGCGTGGCCAGGTTACGGAGGTCCAGGACTGACTCCACCAGAGGGATGGTGCCCATCGTCCAATCACAGCAGAGCTCAGAGGGGTTCAGCAGAAGCCAGGCATTCAAAGGAAGAAGGTAGTTGAAAGTCAGTTGTCTTGTGGGAATGACGCTGACAGCTGCCGGGTTATCAAATCTACAAGAGAGGACACAATAAAGAAGGGATTAGTTGACCAATAAAGCATGGAATGGGTAGAGAGGCGAGGGTCAACATGTGTGAATTTGTATACAGGCATGATTTGGGAGAAAATCAGTTTGGCCTAGCTTGAGCTACAGGATTTATATATCATCTACTATATATATATAAAAAGTTTACATTTCCTCAATAGTAATGCTAAAGGAAAGGCCATCTATAATGAACAGAGACTATTCTTCCCTTGAGAATACGAGTGCCCTTAGCAAATGCCATTGCGTTTTTTATATTCCATAATGAGATCCCTTATGTGGAAAGTTTTTTTTCAATAAATGGAGGATGGTTCAGAAAGTATCCGAAATGGAAAGAGGTCATCCCCTGGAGCGCAAGAATGTATTCATGCGTTACAACAAAAAGCTGATTTATATATATATATAGCACCCATTACATGTTGTAAAGTATCTTTCAGTTCAATTAAAACTCATTTGTATGATACCTACTGTAAGTCATACAATGGCAGTTTTAAATGCTCAAATGAGAGATCCATACAAAGAAAAAATAAATAGTCTCAAACATAAAAAGCATTTTTTTAATGAAAAAAACTGTACAACATTTTTTTCATGATAAGCTTTTAAAAGTTGAAGTCCACAGGCAAACTGTAATCACTGAATGCCATATAATCGGACTGAAAATGGCTATAGGCACATAGGGGAGATTTCCACCTTGTTACCGAAAGCATCTGATGGGGTTATAAAATGAAAGAATCCCTAAGAAAAAAAACGTGTGTCCATCATCTGGGGACCATGAGGTTGTCCATGGCACATTTTAATGGACATTTTGTGGTATTTTTCTATTTAACTTGGTCATGGAAGAAATTGCTGATCAAGGGTATGGTTGGCCAGTTGGTAGTGGTACACAAAAGATCATTTAAATCAGTACGATCTTCCAGATGTAAAATAAATATTGTATTTTTTCAAGCATTTCGCCCTCTGTACCATCAATAATGCCACAAATGCCATAGTGTCTTCAATAAAGCCCAGATGTGGGTAGGATTGTTGGCACGTTAAAGAGAACTTGTTTTGGAAAAGTACACATTTATGCCAATTTCTTGTTGTTCAATATGTGATTAACAATAATTCAAGATTCCAGTCTAGCACAATAGTAATCCATTTCGTATCTGGCAAAGCTTTATCACCAGTCTTTGGACTATCAAAGTCCTGGCTTTCTGGTCTGCAGCTGTTGTGATTCACTCAACACCAGTTTGGGATGAGCATCAACCAGCCATCCTCGTTACTAGTAAGCAAAAACACATTTCACTACAAAAGCAATTGTTATAATTTGGACTAGAATGGCACTCTCAATTGATGTATCATTTCCTGAACTGGGACCTCGTTATTTTATAGGTGAGTTCATGAGCTTAAAGTCGTAATGATGGAATCTGGATCGTACAAAGATGTGTTGTGTTTAATTGTTGGCATTCATGCTAATCTTCCTTAACTGGAACACATTTTTTTGGGATTAGTCGGACATCCCATGCAAACAGCACAAATACCTGATCTTGTAAAGGTTACAAAAGTGAAGCATAATTTGTGTATCTGACTCAAATCTGTTTCAAAATGAGGTCCTTCCTTTGCCTGTACTATGCCCTTACGCCAAGTATCATTACAGTTCAAGACTGAAAGGCTTTATTGTCACTTCAAAAATCCTGGCAAACGGAATTGTTCTTAATCCTGTTGATAATCCTGCTTTGGCGGACGTTAATATGTAACCTGTAATGGTGGTTGTCCTGCGGTCACAGTAGACATGTTTTGTTTATACGACTTCCAGCTAAATTTCCACCTTCTTATCTCTCTTTGGTTTTTATGGAAAACAGACCTCCAGCCTGGATTTATCTGGACTGGGAAGTCCTAACTTGTTTAAGAGGTTTTGATCAACTAGTCACAACTAGGAGAGTTACAATCTAAATATGAAGTATTGTTTTGGCTTCAACAAACACATACTTTCAGACGGTCTGGAGACATTTTGAGGATTAGGGCTAGAGTATTAGCTATTTTAGGCTATTTGACTGGCATTTTATCTTGGCGATTAAATGCCATTTGGTTGAGTCTGCAAATTGATATTGGTTTTATTCTCTTTTCTTTGTTAATTTTAGTCAGTAAAGGTTTGCTCAGCATTTGACAGAGGCCACACACACAGTGTAAATAATGCAAATTAATGTGAGAAATAGTTTCTTACTTAAAGGGGACCTATCATGCAAAATGCACTTTTTGATGTCTTTTATACATAAATATGTGTCCCCGGTGTGTCGGGGAACTCACGCAGCGTCAGAAAATAAAACCCTCTCTCTTTTCCTCCGTACCCAAATCTCTAAAAACGGGATTACAACGGAGCTGATCCAGATTTGCGGCGATTTGACGTAATACCGGCGGCGGACCCACAGCACTATCAACGTTGCCATCAGAAACAATGCCCGACTGTTTTGGACGTAATATGGTGCATGTTTACATTAGCATCGCTAACACTCAGAGCTAACCTGTACTGGAGAGCATGTGTGTGAAGAAGCAGGAAATAAAAAGGAACTCACCTTGTGGTATAACCGGCAAGAGAGAAAGCCTTTGAGCTCCATACTGTTATTATATTTCTTTTTTTTTTTTCAGTAAAAAAAAAAAAAAAAACTTTATTTATTTTTTGCCTTTATTTATACAGGTGAAAATCTCATTGAGACACAGGTCTCACTCTCAAGAGAGACCTGTTTATACCCAGAATCAGCACTTTTGAAACAGGAAGTGAAATAGAGGGATATGAGGCATGAGCCGCTTTGAGGCATGAGCCGCTTTCACACCAAGTACTTTGCCGTACTTAGTGCCAGCACTTAGTACCCCATGGAACTAAGTACAGATCGCGTTCACACCGGAATAAGTTCCCTGAGGGAAGATTACGCAAATGAAGCCGCTGACGTCACTTCTTCTTCTTCTGCTTTGGGTTTACTGGCAGGCCGCAAACCACTTCACGTGTATACGGCCACCCAAAGTCCCCGGCCGGAAGTCCCCGGAGTTGGGGACTGGCTTCAGTAGAAGCTGCTGGGACTCCCAGCAGCTTCTACTGAAGCCTTCCGAGTAAATCGCCAGAACGCCGACACCTCCTCATCTCCACCGCTCCCATGTTTTTGTGTTGCCATAAGTTATTTTCTCTCCGTTGGTGCGCGGGGCTAATGCTAATGCTAATAATGCTAATGCCAGCAAATACAATGGCGGCTTCACAAAACTTTTCAGAGTTTTACAGGGCGTGGTTTGCAATTCGCCCAGCCAATCAGAAATTGGTACTTTTTTCTCCCCAGGATAGTACCACCTCTCTAGCAGGGACTACAAATGGGGGTAAAAGTTTTTTGGTGTGAACGCAAAATTCCAGGCACTATCGGAACTAAATGGGAAAAGTATGGGGAAAAGTACGGTGTGAACGCGCCTTTGGCTAGAATGGGTGATCTGTTTGGTATTTTGAGCAAAACACTTCATAGACATGTTTTTTATATTTTTTTATATATCTGAGACCTATGCTATTGCCTAACAATAGCATGATAGGTGACCTTTAACGGAGCTTACACACCGCGGCGTGCGTTGAAGCTTCAACGCTTCTGCCCATTCACTTTGAATGGGGTGACGTCACGCTTCGCCGAACTGCATTGTGGGAGCAAAGCGTAGCTTTTGCTCGCGTTGTTCGCTTCAAAAGTAGAGCAATGTTCTACTTTTGAAGCTTCGACGGAAGCGTCAGTCAATCGACTCATATGCCAGTACAAGCTCTAGCCAATCAAACCGCTGCTTGTGTGTCCGGGGCGGGAGATTCATGTGATTGAACAAATTTCCTTACGGGGACAATAAAGTATATCGTATCGTATCGATTGGTTGTTGGTCTAGCTTCAGACATGCCCGCCGGCAAGCATCAACGCACGCCGCCGTGTGTAAGCTCCGTAAATTTAATGAAGCAAGGTTTTTTTTTTTTTTTTTTTTACAATGGTGGAATAAATACTGTTCTTTCTTGTCATAAAGTAGGTGTTTAGTGATATCGTAAAAAAAAAAAGCTGGTCGTCCTGTTTGTGAAACTAAAATTGAACAATAAAACGTGTCTCAATGAGAATACCATAAAGACAAATTGCAGGGTTGGCAACAAACTCAGATTTCTTGCTGAAGGATACTTAAGACTTTTGGACTTTAGACGTCTGAAAGTTTAATGAGTCCTTTAAATGTTACCTATAATACACATATTCTTTGAGAGTTAATAAAGAATACATGAATATACAACACAAGAATATTCACTACAATGCTCAAATTAAGAAGGGAATATTAGTATAGTGCTATGATTAGTTATACTAAGTCGTAACCTAACGCATGTATTTCACAAAGACGTCTAAACCAGGGGTTGGTTTAAAGGGTCTTTATTCTGCTCATTTTCAGGTTCATATTTGTATTTTGTGCTTCTACTGTCACATGTTTACCTTTTCAAAAAGTGCTGTATTTAAATGTTACCCTCTGTCTGAAACCAGAGCCCGGTCTGCTCTGATTGGTCCGCTGGCCGGCTCTATTGTGATTGCTCAATATATATCCTTTATTTAACTAGGTAAAAGTCTCATTAGCCGCTTTCACACCAAGTACTTTGCCATACTTAGTGCCCAGCACTTAGTGCCAGCACTTAGTACCCCCATGGAACTAAGTACAGATCGCGTTCACACCGGAATAAGTTCCCTGAGGGAAGATTACGCAAATGAAGCCGCTGACGTCACTTTTTCTTCTTCTGCTTTGGGTTTACTGGCAGGCCGCAAACCACTTCACGGCGTATACTGCCACCCGAAGTCCCCGGCCGGAAGTCCCCGGAGTTGGGGACTGGCTTCAGTAGAAGCTGCTGGGACTCCCAGCAGCTTCTACTGAAGCCTTCCGAGTAAATCGCCAGAACGCCGACACCTCCTCATCACTCCACCGCTTCCATGTATTTTTTTGTGTTGCCATAAGTTATTCTCTCTCCGTTGGTGCGCTGAGCTAATGCTAATGCTAATAATGCTAATGCCAGCAAATACAATGGCGGCTTCACAAAACTTTTCAGAGTTTTACGGGGCGTGGTTTGCAATTCGCCCAGCCAATCGAAATTGGTACTTTTTTCTCCCCAGGATAGTCCCACCTCTCTAGCAGGCACTAACAATGGGGGTAAAAGTTTTCGGAACTAAGTACTCTTTTTGGTGTGAACGCAAAATTCCAGGCACTATCGGAACTAAACGGGAAAAGTACGGGTAAAAGTACTCCGGTGTGAACGCGGCTATTGAGATTTAAATCTCTTTTCCAAGAGCGACCTGGCCAAGAGGGCAGCATGAACAAAGTTACAACAGATAAAACACAGACAATACAGGCCGACGAATACAGCTGTAAAACACAAATAACATGGCACATTAACCAGTCAATATGCAAATAAAAGAAACTATTATAAAACATTAAAAACTGGCACTTAGAGATGTCCCGCCTCTTACCCTATCACGTTCAATGTGTTGTAGCACTAGCCAATATAAGTGCAAGTGTTACATAGTGATATCATTTTGTTGCAGAAGTAAACAAAGGAGTCCAACCGGGGCAGTTTACACACACGCAGCTGCTACATGCAGCAACACACACACACACACGGAGGAGACAGCGGAGAAAGCGCTCCGAGGTGTGGTTAAACTTTACCCGTCTCGATGTGGACAATGCTTGTTACCAAAAGTGCGGGGGCGGTAACACGAGCAATTTGTCTAAACATCTAGCAAAAGTGCACCACATTCAGACGGAGGAATGCACCGGGTTCGACTGTCTTTCTAGTAGCGCTGTAGCCCCATCCACGAGTAACGTTTTCCACGTCAGGTGTTATGTATGCTAGCAGCAACACACGGAGTTAACAAAATGATTCAAACATGGGTTAATGATTAGAGGTAACTGAGTTATTTATTTTGTTAAAGTTTCAGCTATTCTGTTTACAGTTCTGTCATCAGATTATTTAATAGGGTTTGTTAAAACGTTGTTGTTTCTTTTGATGTGAAATATTATGTATTTAATTTAAATAAAAAGCAATGTTAGTTTTGTTCACAATTTGTTTAGTTAGTTTACCTTATTTTCTTCTCCAAAAGAACCGATAAAAGTACCGTTAAAGGACCGGACCGATAAGCGGTATCGATAAAAGTAGTAGTACCGTTAAAACCTTAACGATACCCATCCCTATGGAGTGTGTGGGAGAGAAACTCCCACACACTCCATTGTGAAAAAAAGGGATTTTAGCCTTTGCAGACCATTTACATGCACATACATTTATATAACACACTACAGGAAAGGGAAACCCCCGCAAACCTCTTTAACTGAATATTTACCGTCATTGATTGACTGTTTTCTGATAACGGAAACATTTGAAGGCTGTTCGTCACAGATTAAAACACAGGGGGCCATCTACCGTATTTTTAAGTAATTTCACAGAGCTCTAGAAAGCTACGTACTTTTGTCCTGTCTGTGAAAAGCATGCTGCTGGATTTCATTCCTGTTGACCTCCGTGTTTTCAGGATCAGGAAATTAAATCCCAGGTTCAGACAGACTTCTGATCAATTCCCTGGCACAAATGTTCCCTACTTCAAAACTTTGGCTTGACCAGTTTTCTAATTCAGTCTCTGTTGTAGCATCAGACGCTGCATGTTGAGCCCCCGTAACGACATTTAAACACTCACAAGAAGTCGTCTGTCCGAGGAAAAGACACAACAAAACGGTTTTCAAATTGAATTTTGGGCATTATTTCTTGGGCACAATGTCCGCCGTGTTTTTGGTGGCCTCTGCTGTCACTGCAGAACACAATTAGTCATCTGCTTTTTGTCTCTTGACATGAAAAGTGGCAGCAAGATCTGTCTTTATTTCTTCTCTACGTGCACTTATAATGTTTGTTTCATATTCGAATGGTTGAAAATGAAAAGTAGAAGCTGTTAAATATGCACCTTTATCAGAAACGATGCACAGGGTGTGCGTGTTGAGCTCCATGATACGTACAGCAGATACTTTGTCAATGTCGATAGGTGTCATGGGCGAGAGGAGATCCCATAAGGTATGTGCACCTGTCATGTTGTGATCAAATTCCCCTGCAGTGATAACAATCTCTACGTTATCGCTACCATAAATATCCTATTATAGCATAAATATCGCATTCCACATAAAATTGCTTTCGATGGTTATCAGCATGTTTTAAGAGGGACATGTTAGGAAACTCGTAACTTAGTGGAATAATAAAAACACTGCGTTCTCTTTTTCCATGCACCGTCATGTAAGAGGATTAAAGGGAATATTTTTCAGTTGGTTTCAGGTTGCTGTGACTTCGACCTTTTAAACTCTTCACATTTGACAGCTTTCAACATCTGAGATGAAAGGAATTAGAGCGACATGTTCAATGCAAATGAATGAGTTATTTATTTGTATACAGAACATCAATCAGCAGCAGGAAGACAGAAGCCATGGGAAGATTTTCTACTTCAATCAAACAAAAATAAAACATTATGTAAACTATTACGTCATCGAAAAAAGAGAACCAGTCTCGTATAATGCGTTTACATAATCCTGCATCCATCGTGAGTTTTAATGTGTTCCACTGCCCTTTAGTATCTGCACATGTATTTTCCTTTTGTGCACAAAAGAGCTATATATTTTTTTAAGAACGCCAAACTATGAAAGAAAATTACCTCAATGCATTAATATAAGCCATATTCTATTGACATGTATATAGACTTTTTGCACTACTTTTTATTTTGTATTTTATTATATATGTTGCATTGTTGGAGGAGCTCAGGTCAGAAGAATTCATTGCCATTTCTACACTGTAGCTTTGTGCATATGACAATAAAACCTTTGAATTTGAATTGAATTTGGATTGAAATGTCATACAAATATTTCATCATCCTATAGCAATATAAAAAGACAGTGAAAGTACGATTTTCATCTATTGAGTATAATACAAACTGGGAGAAATAGCTTTATAGGGTGTAAAGTGTAGCTGCTGATAGGATAATGCTGCGTACCTTGTGAAGACAGGAAGCTGCGACTGGATGATCTGGACCCTGACGATGACGAGCAGCAGGGTGCTGATGACGAGGACGATGAGCTTCAGCAGAGTCTGCAGGAGAGCGTAGGGGAAACCGTCTTTACCCTGCAACACCTGCCGAAGCGTGTCCAACAGCATGGGCAAGGAAAACTGAGAGAAAGAGGAAGGAATTGGTCAACAACAGAACATTATATTTTACAGGCTTTCAGAATGAAGTCCCTTTTCCTTTAGCTGTGAGCGACTCTTCAGCTCTATCTGTCTGTAGTTTCACAAACGTTTTCCCACCTCATTTGGCTGATTTTAGCGACTTACAGTAAATGCAATAAACCATGAAGATATTAACTCAGAACAGCCAGAAACATGCAGGTACATTTGCTGTAAGTATGCCATACCATTGGAAGTGCTGGTGCATTAGCTTAAAAAAGGCTAAATCTTGTTATACATTTGTTGGTTTAATGATTTAAAGCGCATGTGTCACAGATGTTTTTTTATTCTGCTACAGAGGATTCGAAGACTTTCTGTTGTTCGTTCCACTAGGGCTGTGCGATTATGGCAAAAATCATAATCACGATTATTTTGGTCAATAATTGATATCACGATTATTAAATACGATTATTCATCGACTTTGAAAACATCCATTTATTGAACTTTAAAACAAATACAAATAATAATTTGAACAGTATCTTATAACTGTTGATTACCCTGAACGTATAATTCAACTGAAAAACTTTAAATAAATAATATCAAAATAATAAATACCAATAAACAAGATCAACAAATATTTTGGAGCACACTTCCAAAAGCTACTTATCATATATAAATATGATAAATACAAATAAATTAGACCAAAATAAATTAGATCAAATATGTTCTAGTTCACTGTCACAACCTAGCAAAGCAAAATAATTGTTTTATTCGATTATGTTGTTTTCGTAATTGTGGCAGGCCAAAATCGTAATTGCGATTAAAATACGATTAATTGCACAGCCCTACAGTACGTTCCACCATTTTGGAGCCAAGATAGCAGCGTTGACACTTGGCATGCCTACGCTGGATTTCTGCTCTATCTGGTGTTTCTCAGATAAATATTAGACAGTTACAGCAGCTCGTGTTCTGACAGAAACCTGAGTCTGATGTGACAGAGACCCTACTACAATCTGAGAAATATTTTCATTGAATACCTGCCTGTCACATAAATCATTTTAAATCCTTTATCGGTTTTTAGATCCCTTAATGGCTTAGTTTTTACTATCCGACATGGTTCAGATGTATGTGACTGCTAGGTCTCTTACTCCAACCTCCTGATTGTTTAATAGGCACCATAGATCAACGTTAAAATTGCCCGTCAACGTGTCCGGGAAGATTTCAATGTCTCGTACAAATTAAACTCAAAGCTTTTCTGCAGGGAGAATCCTGTCTCTGTGGCCTTTAGACCACCCTGGATGGATTTCGCTAAAATCACCTATGAGGACTTTGCAGACTGCTGAGAAATTCAAGCCTCCATAACCCTGGAGTGCTGTCATCCCAGCGATGGTATCTTGTTGCGCTGATGTGGCATCGATAAGAAGGACTGGTGCTGACTCGTTTATTCAGCCTATTTCTTTTTTTTTTATAGATATTTTTGGGCAACTTCCGTGTGCTCGGGAGTCCAACCCGTGTACTTGGCAGTTCATTGCATATTGCCCACCAGGTCTCACCTCTGAGCTATTTGGTGGCAGAAATGTGCCTATTTTTTTTGTTAGCCGGTGGGACTAATTGGAACAAAGAGTGAAAAAGTTGCTGAGGCTTACCCCTTGAGCCACAAACACTTCATGGACACAGCAGATGCCGACCACAGTGATTCCCTGCTCCTTGCATAGTGTTGCTGCAGCCACTAGAATAACTGTCAGAGCGATGGGAGCCCACACTGAAGAAAGAAGGAACACAAATAATAGACAATTTATGCAAAAGCTAATACAGTGGTTACCAGATGTGGGAAGTAGTGGAGTACAAATACTTTGTTACTGTACTTAAGTACATCTTTCTGGTATCAGTACTTTACTCCACTACTTATTTTTAGACAACTTTTTACTTTGACTTCTTACCTTTTGAACACAAATACCTGTACTTTCTACTTCTTACATTTTGAACACAAATACCTGAACTTTCTACTTCTTACATGTTGAACCCAAATACCTGTACTTTCTACTTCTTACATGTTGAACACAAATACCTGAACTTTCTACTTCTTACATTTTGAACTCAAATACCTGTACTTTCTACTTCTTACATGTTGAACACAAATACCTGTACTTTCTACTTCTTACATGTTGAACACAAATACCTGTACTTTCTACTTCTCACATTTTCCAAACAGGCTGGTTCCTTTAGTTTGAATGTGTGTTTGGTGGCGTGATCATTATTATTTAGAGTCATTGCGTGCCTATTGATTTGAACACGATCCGTGTATCCATCATTTCCTGGTCTTCTCTAAAGAAGAGGGACCAATGAAAACGTTGTCATGTTGCCGTTGTTCAGCATGGAAACATTCATTAGCTAACAATGACATTATTGTTCTATTAATATAAAGGGAGGTCAGGTACTCTTTAAAACAGCTGCTAGTTATGGGTACTTTTTACTTAAGTACATTTCAAAGCCCTCTTTACTTTTACTTGAGTAAACAAGTTTAGTCAGTACTTCTACTTTTACCAGAGTATTTTTAAACACGAGTATCTGTACTTCTACTTGAGGAAAGGATGTGTGTACTTTTGCCATCTCTGCAAATAATAGATAATTTATGCAAAAGCTAATACAGTGGTTACATTACATTACATTACATGTCACTTGTTAGACGCTTTTATCCAAAGCGACTAACATACTCAATACTGTGGAGAATCCCCACAGGAGCAATTTGGGGTGAAGTGTCTCAGGGACACAACGACATGCTGACTGCAGTGGGGTTTGAACCTGTGACCCCCTGATCAGAACACCAACGCACAAACCACTACACCACACGCCTCCGGTTACATCTCTAATCCCCAAATATCGCTGATTCTCTGTACAGATGACGTTCAGGGCAGTTTTATCATCCGCAGCCCACATGTCTGCAGCCCTGCATATCCCATGCCAGTTTGAAATGTTTCCAGTCAGGATACTTTGATATTGCTGCACTTTAAAAGTTAACGATATCTTGGCTGGGGAATTAAACTCTCTTATGTTTTCTAACAGATGCAGCTGTTTTTGAGCCTCTTTCACCAAGATGGAGATGTGCGATTGACCACGTCATTTTGTTTGTTGTTTGTGCTGACGACTTGAAGCTAGTGCTGGGCAACGATTACTTTTTTTTGTCGCGATTAAAGGAGGAAAACACTCATTTTATATCTCTTTTGTTATAGAAAAACAAGTAACCCAGTCCAGTGATAAGAACATTCAAATGTACAGTGGTTACAAATAACTCTGGTTCTATCAACTCCGCGGTCTGGAAGAGATTTAAAATGTACATCTAAGAGTCCGGTACCTTTCTCAATCTTTATGTCCTCGCCAGTTATTTTCTGTTCTTGTTCATGTGAGCGCTGCAGCAGTCTTAGGCCCGCCCAAAATGTTCTCATCGGTTGAGACGCGTGATGACACCCTTCTCTTGCACTATTTTATCTGTTTTATTTGTTCTATGTCCTATATATATATATATATATATATGTTCATGTTGCACTGTTGGAGGAGCCTGTGACTTATGTTATCTACACTGTAATGTGCACATGACACATGACAATAAAGACTTGAATCTTGAATCCCAAGCTGATCGCCCATCCCAGAGCCATAAAGGAAATTGTTAATGCACGATAATAACTCACCCTTTCTTAAAACGGTTTACTTGCTCTACCACAGCTCCACTGATATACACAGGTGTGTGTGTGTGTTTTATTCATTATAGATTCTTATTGCGTGTTGTACTTATAACATTATTTTTGTAATATCACAGATGTGTTGCGGTATCTCATTTCCTCAGGACACGATTATAGAAACAAATTACACATATGTATTTAATTGCGGAAAATATCCCCCCAATTTAAATTACAACCCACATAAGAAACACAGCAAATACAGGCATGCATGTGGTGTAACAACAATGAACCCCTAACAACAAAGTCATAATTAGAGTAGACCTCGAGGAACTGGTATTCAACTAAATGACATAGGATATTTAGTTTTAATTAACAGACCAATCATGTTAAGTGTTGCCATGACTTTCTGTGACATAAAAACATTCCTTCGAGCCAGGTGTTTAGTTCTACCCTTATAACTTTGATCCTAGTTGCCTACACAAGCCTTTGACTGTGGATTATTACTGCGAATGAATGAAGGAAGGAGGACTGTATAACATTGCCAGAAGCCTTCTAGATCACGTGAGAATGTTGGTTTTGGTTTTCTGCCTCTGTCTTAAATGTTTGCAGTACTGTCTTAATGAAAGGGCATAAGGAAAATAAGAATTTCTCGAAATGAGAGCAGTGCTATTGGAGGGGAGACATCAAGAAGTTATGTTAGACTTACCAATGGAGTGGTCTCTCCCTGTTGATTTTGTATAGGCCAGGAAAGCGGCCAGGAGAAAGATGGAGGAAAGAAGTTCTGCTCGGCCAACCACACCTGTGACCTGATGATAAAAAGTGGAAACAGTAAGTACTGCAACACATCCATCCGTTCATTTTAACTACAGATAACACTGTAAATTAAAGAGGCTAGTGCTCCAACACAATGTACGTGATAGGCTAAGAGGCGGGACATCTCCAAGTGGTTGACCAATCACAACAGAGCCGGCCAGTTAACCAATCAGAGCAGACTGGGCTCTGGTTTCAGACAGAGGGTGAAAAGAGGTGCTGCAGCACAGGCAGTATGAGAAAAATAAATGTATTATTAATAAAGCATTTAACAGTATTAGCACAAAATACAAATATGAACCTAAACATTTGAATAATAGGGCCCCTTTAAGGCTAAGAAATAATGGCGTGTTTCCACTACAGCGCGGAGCACGGTTTAAGAGGGCTGTGACGTCAGCGGCCCGTTTTTGGTTGCGTTTCCACTTGGCCTAGTACCGGCCGGCGGGTCCTAATTCAGTTTTTCTGGCCTCATAAAATCGTGGGTCTAGGGCCAGAGACAACGAGGCTGAGTCGGGCTGAGTATGCTAAACTAGAGAGAGAATCGCTGGCAAGGGGGCTACAACTACAACAAGATGGACATATTTGACCGTGATTTAATTGTAATACACGTTTCAAAATGATGCCGAAGTAACAACATACTGATACCGGTTAGTAAAAACCATGAATTAATGCTTTGACAAGTCTGCAGACAGACGGCAGGCGAAAAACCTTTTAAAATGCGTGTTTTCTAAATGGAGATTGGCTAAGCTAACGCAGTATATGCTCCGACCGTCCACACTCACAACAACGGCCTATACAGACATAAATAAAGCAGCGACTGTATTCACCATGACACAGGCAGTCTGTGGTTTGTACTTGTTTAACTTTTGTCTAGTTTCTGAACATATATGAGGAGCTGTGAGCTCTGAGTGCTAACAGCTAACGGCTGTGTTGTTTTTCTGGGGTTCTCATTGAAGATGACGTCACGGCTCCGCCTACACTGCGTTACTATAGATACTACCCCAGTTCCTAAACTGTAATGGAAATGCGCCATAAAGTGAGACAGTCCTAACGAGGCCTAGCCATACCGAGCGAGGGCGAGCGAGGCCGTGTAGTGGAAATGCGCCATAAGATGTGATAATGGATCATCTTTCAATGGAATGATATTGTGATGAAATCATATTTCGATAATAGTGACAAACAATAATGTTGTCTAAATTCACATCAACAAGCAAGTAATTTAAGAAAATGTGATTAAATGATAAAAACAGACTATGGGTGACTTCTCGGAGACTACATTCATATGCTATAGCGTCTATGGTTTCGATCCCTACATAAAAAACCTTTTTTCTTTTTCTCTGTTGGGAAACAGTTAAGTAACCGTTACATAATTTTCCCACAGTCTGTCAGAACTTCTGTCAAGTTCATTAGCATTTCTCCCCAGGATTTAACAAGCACCAGTTAAACCTTACATAACCCTTAAGAGAAGAACAAACACTACTCTAATCCCTTTGAAAGAACACATAAACATTTCTACAAGTGGAAGGAACAAGAGTCCACATTATGGAGACATCTGAAACCAAACTTCCTAAACGTTCTGACATGCTGGCTGCCATTCATTTATAAATTCAATGGGTGCGTGTAGTTTTATTGGCAGGAATACCCAACAGTTGTGGTGGACACATCCAAAGGAAAGAAGGGTATCCAAAAGGCATTTAAGGTGATTCAACAATGATTTGCCTATCACCCTTTCCCTTTCCTTTCACTTACTAACTGGTGAACAGGTGATATCCTCATTGCTACGGCTACCAACACCACTTGCATTGCCGTAAGTGATGCTAAAAGACGTTTAAATATAGCATTGTAATATATCTGGCTCCTACACACTTTACAGCCCTGGAGTCCAGTTGTAAAACAGGTCTATGCAAGTCATTTAATCTAAGCGGATTACAAGCAGATGTACTGTGGCTTTATTTCCGTAAAAGATAACACTTTGACATTAACTTCTGTCATTTGTGTAAATGATGACTGCCCTCGTGTGGAATAAATGACATTCTCACTTCCACCACAACCCAAATTAAGCTTTACAATGGACGTATCCCCAAAGCACACATAGGGTCCGAAAACAAGGCTCTACGAAGGACTTTTCAAGTGATGGAAGTCTGTTGTGTCTAGTGTGTATCCCTTAGGAGGATAACAACTTTATAGAGATGGGTATAAACATCTAGATTCAAATAATGATCAAACAGAATCACAATAACTAAACTTACTTTATCAGGCAGCTTTAGTACTGCTATGCTTGGTTGATAAGATGGCAAATTTGTTATGCGGGGCCATTTTGCTACACGAATACCAAGTAAACATGCTTGATCAAGTGCTACATCCATTGTTTCCCGTTTGATTACACTAATTGCTGCAAATAACTGCATTATATTAATAAGTATAGGACTATTACTTGTTACGTAACAAGTTAATACACTTGGGTGGCGTGTGGCGCAGTGGATTAGTGCGTTGGTGTTCGGATCAGGGGAGCAGAGGTTCAAACCCCACTCTTCCAAATTGCTCCTGTGGGGATTGCCCACAGTATTGAGTATGTAAGTCGCTTTGGATAAAAGCGTCTAACAAGTGACATGTAATGTACACTGATTTGCTCACATGCTTTGATCAAAAGTCAGGGAAAAGATGGATTCACAAGTAACAAAGACATTTAAGGAACATGTGCATTTGCTTGCGTGTCTTGTCAGTCCATCGCATTTAATCCAACACAATGGTAGAAAGGCTGACCACAATTATTGTTTGTTAATTTGTCCGAATGACTACAAATCCCTTGTGTGTTCGTCCATTTGTACAGTGTTTGGGCGCTGCTTTTCAGAGAGCGCTTTCACCCAAGTGCCATTTGAGAGGCTTAATATACTGCTGTAGAGTTAGTACACTAAATTATTTGTATTTGAAGATTCTCCATTCAAAAAGACAGATAACCCAAAAAACACACTGAGAAAGACACAGGGACACACAGGGACTCTTTGTACGCACTTATCATGAAGGGACCTTCAGTGCTTGGAGCATAACTCAAAAACAAATGATCCGTTCAGAGAGAGATTCCAGACGGCGATAACATGAAGGACATTCGCTGGACTAACTCTAAGGGCTCATTTGTGAGGCAAATTGTTTCCATTCAAGAAGTCTGAGAGACTCGGCATAGATTAGAGAACACCATGAGGAAGATTGGCGCAGCGGAGCATGCTGTGTAACAGTAGCACTCCCGAGAAGCAGAATGTTTTCTCTGTTTATCTCCTCTGGTCAGGGCCTGTCTGCTCATCAGTTCAATAGGATGAATTACAAAGTCCTAATTGGGGAAGAGGCTTTTTTAGACAGGCCCTATAGAAGGGAATGAGATCAAGTTCAAATGATAAACAACACGCAAAAGGTTTCCTGTTTCTGGTCAAAGTTCAATAACATTTGTGGTCCGGATAATATTCAAGATTGACAGCTGTAACAACTAAACTAGGAGGGATGGTCATTGCTCTGCTATCTGAAGGGGTTTGAATGACAGTTGGAGTAACTTGAGTTGATTTTATCTCATGATGAGTGAGTTCAAAGCATGTCTACACACAGGAGATGTGATGGATAACATATGGTCACATATCAGCAGGTCACACGGGGCAGGATGTAACAATATTCAGGTAATGTGGCAGGTTTTCACTACATGTAGCTTCTTTGTGGGTGGAAATTCTTTAGTATTCACCCCGTAGAGAAACAACACTCCCAGAACGAAAAGGGCATACATACAGCCACCTGTTCTTCCCATATGGTACAACTGAGGAAGTGCGTGACTGAGTTGCCTGTTGGAGCAAAGCTGAGGTGTTGATACTATAGAAGTATTGGAAGCATCAGGCGAGTGATTTCTTAATCCTCTCCTCACTTTTAAACAGCATGTACATTAACACACGGCTTATACACTTTTTTTACATGTTGGATCTTAAAACTATGTTTGCGATTCCATTTACGAGAGATCGAGTGAGTTCTAACATGAAGAATTCCCTCTTCTCGTTTGTGTGATGCATCTGTGAATGGGTTTCTTTAATTACACTGTCAGTGTTGCTCGTTTAATGTTTGGGCTTAGATGGATATTGTCTAGGTGTCTGTGGCTCAGGGGGCAAAAGGGAGTTTAGAAATTAGATGTTTGATGGTTTGATCCCCAGACCCTACATGTCAAAGTGTCCTTGTGCAAGATTCTTAACTCCAATTGCTCTAGTAGGCATGTTAACAGTATTGAAGTATATTTAAGTCCCTTTTGTCAACTTAATACCAATTAATGTGTAATAATATAATGTCTTGGTCTCTTGCCTGGTTTAAAACATAACTACATTTTTGCAAACATCTTTCCCAATTTAAGTAAAAGGCTAAAGTCAAAAAGAAGTATGATATAATAGTGGACAATGGCCCTGTAGACCAACTGCCTGCTGCTTAAGCTGTACTTTCCAGTGTGGTTAGCATCAATTTAGAAAAAGCCTCACTTTTGCTTGAGGAGATGCGCTTGTTATTCCCTGCCTAATAATAAATATGTTATAAAAGGCCGAACTGCATCAAATGCTTGTCCCTAGAAAGCAGCATATTTTCAGTGGAAACCTCATGCTTGAAAAGTAATTGAAAAGTCCAACCAATAGCCTATTACTTTATACATACAATTGATTTGTCACTGATTGTTATAACACCATTTCAGTTGATCAATTTGACACAGACATATTTACATCCTTACAATGCTTTGTCCCAGTAAATGTATACTTACAGCTTCAGTGTGGATGGGGTGCACAGCAAACATCAATGCTGCCACCAAGCTGGAAGTGTTGTCCAGGAACAAACGGCACACTCGCAGGAAAAGCACACATACTACGGCGTGTAGAACAACATTGAGAAAATGGTAGGAGGCAGCGCTCAGCTCACTGAAGAGGTAGTTCAGTCGAAAGGTGAGTACCGTTAAGGGTCGGTAAGATTTATGGCTCCGCTCCTGTAGTGGGATATACACAATATTCTGTCAGTTGATGGACTGAGTGAGACATTAAAAGGGTGACACATGTTTAGTATAGCTTTTAAGTGATGTTTAATTAAACCATTATAGTCAGGATAATATGAGGAGGTTGCAAAAAAGTTCCCTAAAGAAAACTGAACTCATTGTCCCTAATAAAACTATTAATACACCACATTTTAAAGACATCCTCTTTAGCTTTCATCTATAAAAATGTAAACGTAGTAAGCCCATACTGATAAACCAAAGGTGTGTTATGGACAATGACTTACCTCAGACATGGGTGTTCCCCAGAAGTCATTTTGGAATAGGTTGCGGATAGGGGTTGAGGGTCGTAGGTCCTTGTTGTCAAGGATTGCAGAGACATCATCAAACACAAAGCCGCAGGACAGACTGTTCCAGTAACATCCCACCACCAGTCCAGTCAAAAGTAAAATCTCCTTCCATGACACGACAGCCATGGCTGACCAAAGCCGTCATTGATCACTGTAAAGGACAAAAAAAAGGGGTTTGACATACAATACAATTAGCTGACATACTTGTAGCTTGTCAAAGATTTGTTTCCTGGTTGGACTTAGCAAGTATTCAATCATAACCGCAATGAAGCTCTTCAAATTACCTGGATAGGGCAAGTTTATAAAACTACCACATAAAGTACGTTTCTTTAATTGTTCTTTTAATGTGCTTTTGATGATACCTTGTCCCAAAACTCACTCACAGGCAGTTTTACCACCCTTATAAGCTTATACAAAAATTACATCAGACATGCATCCGGTACAGTAACAGCTGGCTGCAAAAAAAGTGCAGGGTGGAGCTTAACAGCAATTTTAAACCAATGCTAGCTTAAATGCCCTCTTTAAATAGTTATATCACAGACATTTGTTATACAAATAAAGTCAACATTGCTATCGCTCGATCATGGTCTTTAAAAAGCGCATGCATGCTCAGATCATTTTGAACCGGCTTCTGCAACACAACGTTAGCAAACGATAAAGCAAATGTAGCAGCTAGCTAATGCTAACTAGGTTTATACAAGCATTTAAGACGGTTATGGTGGAAGCAGATTAATACGAGGTATTTCTTGAATGTCCCACCTACCGTGGCTATAAAAGGACTGACCGTGACTGCATATGTGATATCAAAACGTCAGAATGGTTAACATTTTCACACATACGGAGTGCAGAATTTAGCAAGCATGGATGTATAAAGAGAAATACAGCGTCGTAGGTGGAGCACCGTTCATTCCTATGAGAGTTGCTCAGAGGCGCATGAAGCAAAGATGTTCTGCCAAAGTACCCGTATTTGGGCCCACAGAGCATGCGCAGTTGAGTTTCCCCTTAAGCCCCGCCCTGATCTCCAGCTCTGGCTCAGTCAAATTAATGGAGAGGAGACAATAACTTTTTAATCAGCTTTTAGCGCATTTTAAAACGTTAAGACTGTGGTGATTTAAATAAGGACTATAATAGAGTTCGTGCCCTGTAGTTTATTTAGCTAAAAACAAATCCTACTCAGATTAACAGACGTCTCTTTCCCAATGTAAGTCAATGGGGAAAAGTATTTTAGGGGCAAGCTGACGTCAAAGAAGATGTAGTACCACCGGTTGGCCACTACAGCAATTCCGAAAGTCGGCTTCAACGGGCGGCGCACTTCCTGGGGATTTGATTAGCAGAAAGCTAGCTTCAACACATCTTCTCTATCAGTTCCGGTGCAGAGTTGACCGCGCAAGTTAAACGTTAGCTAAAAACACTCGGTGCTTTTTTTGACAAACGTTGTTAAAATGCGACTTATAAGTACTTTGTGGTAATGCTCTTTCCGCCATGCATGTTAAGTCTAGTACATTTCCTTGAGAGGACTTACCCTGCGTTTTTTAAAAGTTGTAGTTGTATTTCCTTGAGGACTAACGTTAGCTTTTTGTAGCTAACCAAGTTTCTGCTGGTGTTGTCAACGGTAACCTAGCAGCCGAAGCATCATGGAAACCTTAGGATGGATGTTTACTGACATTTTAACACACATCTACATTTAACTTATCTTGACAAGCGGTGTTAAATAACAACAAACATTTGGTTCAAACTTTCAAAAGACAGCTAGCTAATTCATGAACTCAAGTGGAATTTGTTGTAGCAGTTAGTACTGACTTAACGTACCTAAAAGTAATCACAAATGTAGTTAGCTAGTATCTAAACCAATTTCAAAGCAGCTTTTATGCAGAACAAATGTAATTTCGTGCTACAAGGCAATGTTTAGCCATGTTTTCATAACTCCAAAGAGCTAACTGACCAGCTAACACTGACATTGTGTAGCTGACAGGTTTTTATTCTACACAATTCCTCGTTAAATATTAACGAACACGCTACTGCCAAGATGCCTGCTGCTCTGGACTGGGATAAAGTGACCAGAATTGACCCAGAGAGCCTGCTTGAATGTGAAAATGACCAAGTGGACGAGGTCTTCGGCATGTTTGTTTTGGTAATTTCCACACTTCACGACACTATTAAATAACTTACACCTGTCATTTTTGCTAAATTGAGCAAACAACAACGCTTCTCTGGTTTAAAACTACCAATAGAGTACAGTGGGCAGTGTGTGTTTATCCATGGCTACTTAAAAAGGAAGACTCCTGTCCTGCTGATCTCTTTGGAGATTATTGTTTAGGGTATTATACATCCTTTCTCAGGTTATAATAAATCCTTTCTCAATAGCTTTGTCAGCTAAATATACTTATCAGATTGTTTTGCTTTCACTGCCTGTCCTTCTGTGTGCAATGTTGACCTGGATATCTCACATAGTTGTAGCCTGCAGAACTTCATGCAAATGTTAAGTGAAAGCTGTCAGTCCAAGACAAACTTATAATTGTATGTAGCTGTAATATATAGATGTATTAAAATGTCCCTATATTTTTTTAACTTTTTTTGTTTCACCTCTGTCCCTGTTTTGGTCCAGATAATTGTGATGTATCAGAATATTGCTACTATGAGTTCAAATTGCTCTACAGTTGTCATTTATTTACTTCAAACCATGCTTTCCATGCAGACGGAGGATTGGGAGGTGAAGGATAAAGCTCCGGAGAACATCGTTCAAGTCCTCAGAGTGTTCCAGACCCTATTAAAGGTGTTTTCATTATGATCATTACTATATTCTCATCTCCTACACTTACACCTACCAGCAAACCCACTGGCATGATTACATATTTCAATAAGCTATGGCATTTTTAGTATTAATAATGAATCACTTAAATTCAAATAATTGACCGTGGTTGTACTCTGTTATCCTGCTTGAACATTTGCATTTAAAATCAGTAATTGTACACTTAATCATCTTCTCTCCCTCTGCCTAAAGATTAAGGACCAGGAAGCTACTATTGCCGCCAACTTTGTCGAGGACATTGGTGTAAAGCATGCTAAAACCGGTTAGTGAATAAACAGTTTAGTTGGTTTAAGCTTTGCTAAAGAGCCCCATTTACAATGTGGATTATTTGTTCTGCACTGTAGAAAAGGAACTCCTCGCCAAGGTGTCAAGGCTGGAACGAGAGCACAAGGTAACGTTTTCTTTACCTGTTTGTCTGTCTGCACCTGTTGTTTATTCTCTGTGTCTCATCATACTTTTGTACTGTATCTCAAATATTGTATGTCAGTCCTTGAGCTACTCAGGTTTTCCACTAGGCTTAATGTTAATACTGATATACATGTGAAAAAACAAACAACAGATTACTGTGTCGAACTGGAAATCACGCGTCATTGTTTTACTTCCGGCAACAGTGTGAAATCTTAAGCCAATCATCGAGTGTAACCCTGGCTACAAAGGGATTGGTTGTGGTGACCACTAAACCACAGCTAAGAAGATTAAAGCTTATTCCTTCCATGCTTACAACCAATACTTTACCTGATTATTATTTTAACTTTTAAAGGTTTGTAATCAGAGTTTGCTCCCCTGCTTTTACATGCTAAGGAAATGTAAGTGTTGTTGTATGACCGTGAATGCATGTATTAGTGTTGCGAGCAGATGGAGGTGATAGGACACTAAGTGGGGGTTGTTTGTGTGTTTGTTTGTTTTGTTTCCGGTCCGTACGGTTCAGCACTCCGGAACGGGGCCAGACAGCCGCTTTCTGAGGGATGAGATCCGGCAGCTCGAGACCCAGCTGGAGCAGAGGGAGAAGGAGTTGACCCAATTAAGGAAAGACATGGGGAAGGAAAAGAACACAACCGAGGAGGTATGAGCAAAATACCCATAATTCCAACACACAGCATAGGACGCTGGATTAAGTATTCAGTCCTTGGTTGACCTACAGATAACAGCTGATTAGACAGACATTGTGCTGGTATGTTCTTTAAAGAACATGCTACTGAAGACCCTTATTGTTGCCTCATGCATGGAAAAAGTCAGTTTAATAATATATTTATAATAGTAATTTTTAAATATTTGTATTGAACACGTGGCACAAGGAAAATACATGACATGTTACTTGTTAGACGCTTTTATCCAAAGCGACTTACATACTCAGTACTGTGGACAATCCCCACTGGAGCAATTTGGGGTGAAGTGTCTTGCCCAGGGACACAACGACATGCTGACTGCAGTGGGGTTTGAACCTGTGCTCCCCTGATCCAAACACCAACACACTAGGCCACTGCGCCACAGCCTCCCCAAAATACATTTTGTACATCAATGGTAACCACAGTTACAGAATAGAAACAACTAGTGATCGTCTTAGTCTTAACTACTATTGTACATCAATTGAAAAGCAATACTTTGCTTTTTTACTTTTTCAAGTTTGCTTTAAATATTTTTTTTAACTAAATGGATCTTTTCACAATTGGCTAGAATAATATGTTAATAATATTATTCAAAATAAATGTTCTAATAAGGAAATTGTAGAATAATATAATAAATAAGAGACTGGAACTAGGCTGTGGCCAAGTTTTAATCGAACGGCGTATGTTTTAAGTGGCATATTTAATAATAATAATAATAATAATACATGACATTTTTATAGCGCTTTTCTAAGAACTCAAAGACGCTTTGACAGAGAATAAAACGAAACAAAAAACGATATTTGAAATATTTGACTAATAATCTTTAGTTTCACTGATCATATTAAACGTTGTCTGCTTCCAGTCACATTCCACTGATTAAATAATGATAATATAATTACAGAAAATAATAAAAAAATAATGTTATTGACTGTTAAATAGTGAATTCAAAAATATATAAATACATCAACAAATAAATACATAAATAAAATATATGAAATCGTAAAAATATGTAATTAATAAAAGAATGGAACTAGGCTATGGCCAAGTGCAAGTGTGTCTCGCCTCTTACTGTGGACAGGAGGCGTGTTTATGTGTTTTTGTCCGGGACTCTCTTTACTGATTGGCTGCAGACACTCTTGCCACAATGTGACAGCAAACCGTCAAACTCTCCCTATCCTTCAGTTGGGGCAGAATCAAAAGGCCCAGGTCGCTGAGTTCGCAGCTTTTCATCGTTGCATGGCAGCTCGCCTCACTTTGCGGCTGCTCTGGTGTTGAATCTGGTGTAGCTAAATGGTCTCTGTGTTTCTGCATTTCTATCCACTTTTTTTTAGTTGCTCGTGCGAGCAGAGGAGGCTGAGGATGAGGTCAAGAAGCTAAAGAGAGAGGTATGTGACTGCTGGCACTACATGATACAGACCCTGACTTAATTTTCATCCTTTACTTCGTCACTCAGTCCATCATCTGTCCTTACTTCATCGATAACTTTAATTCATGTTCTCTGGCATTTTTTTTCTCTTATAAATGCTTTCTTACAATTCATCATCCCTTTTCATCTCCTACTCCATTGGCGTAGCTAAAAAAGCGTAAGAAGAAGGTAAGTAATAAAGGTAGTGAAGTCAAATTAGATTACAGTTATTCAGAATCAGTGTAATCGTGTTTGTAGTTTCATAAGGGTTGAGCTAGAATGTGGAGAACACAGATGAACTATCTCTCTACAGATGGTCACCTGTTGACTTACTGCTGCAAATTGGTTATTTAGCTGTAGCTCATTGAATAACACACAAAAGGTTAGAGAGAGTTCAACAAACGTACATACAGACCAGAGAAGAAGGTGTCAGGTAAGTAGCAAATACACCGCATTATACAGTGTACTCTTTAAGACCTGGGTGTATACATGAAGTGTACTATACTTATGAACAAAAAGTGCAGTTCCCTATAGTTCCAGAATACAGTGATGTGGTAGATGGTGTGGTAGTAGAGTGTGGGTAACTTGTCTCAACTCAGTCAAAGTCAACTTTAATGTCAATCTGACTCAGTTTGTGTTTACAGACAGAGAGATCGAAATGACGTTTCCAACAATCCCGAATGTAAAATTATACAGTAATACAGATATGTATAAAAATATGTATATCCTGACCTATATACACAATCAACAGACACATTTACACATATGCACACATTAAGATAACAAAAAACTCAACAATCTATATATACAAAATAACAGTCACTTCAATATGGCTGGATTTTGAGTGTGTGCGTGTGTGGGGAGTTATAGTCCAGTGGGGGGAGAGAGGAGAGGGAGGGGAGAGAGGTCCAACATTAACTTAATTTTCGAGGTGAAATATATGTTCTATTCAATATGTCAGGGGACACAGACTCTAGTACAGAAAACATACAAAAATACATAGATACATCAAGTGACGACAGGAAACAAGATGATTCCATCGCTCAAACCCTCAATGGGGCCCAAGGTAGTTCAATGAGAGACAAATCATCACTTGGGTCATGTGAGCATTCGGTCGCCTGAGAAATAAAGTATTTATTCAGCCTGTTAGACCTGGACTGGATGTCTAAATCCACATTTTCTTTTTATGAACGATCTAATACAGATGAGGCCTTTTTTTTACAAATGATCCCTCAGACACAGTTGATCTTGCTATAAATCCTGCATGGAGACATTTTACCAGTTGTTAAACGTTGATTGATACTAACTTCAGTTATTTATTATCTTTTAATCTGGAAACTGTTCCCTGCTTTGGTAAACGTGAGGAATTACTGGAAAATTACAAATTCCCACATCCCAAGGCATTGTATTCTAAAACCCAAAACCATTTGCATTTATCATATAAAGGCAGGACTGGAACTGGAACAAGATAATGTACGCTTGTAAAAGTATTCAAAGAAGTTAAAGTTTAGTAAAATTGTTGAATATTAATTTACTGTAAGTCAAATAATCGAATTCCCAAATGACAGTTTCAGATCTCAGCAAGAATCAGTTGTAAATCATCAAATATAGTGTCTCAGGGTGTCCGCGGGGTCTTAAAAAGTATTACAAGTTGATATAAATTTAGCGAAAATTAAGGCTATTAAAAAGTATTAAACGGCATTTTCCAAGGTATTACATTTTGTAGCTTGTTTTCAATAAGTATATAAATTGTCCAAAGAGGTTGTATTCTACAGTGTGCCTGAATGTAATCATTGCGTAGGTGTGTAGTGTGATTCTGTGTAGTTTATTTATGGCATCCCGTTGGATTTGACGTCATCTGAACAGGACATCGCACGCTCACTGCTTGATAGCGCACGAAGGCCCGTTTACGCCGGTTGTTAAACAACATCGTTATGGGGAAATGCAAGTCTGCGTCCAAATGGTTGGAAGATAAGGAGGAAGGACAATCAATACTGTATATAGTCAATGTGAGGTAAAGTGTGTCGCCAATGTAACCGGTTAGAACTCCAAGTGGCGATGAGGTCTTAAAATGTATGGAAAGGGTCTTAAAAAAGGTCTTAAAAGGTATTACATCTGACTTCAGGATTCCTGCATATACCCTGTGTCTCTAGTTAATTGTATCAAAGTCAAAGTCAACTTTATTGTCAAGCTTTCAGTTTGTGTGTACAGACAGAGAGATCAAAATATCGTTTCCCACAATCCAGAATACAAAAACACATATATATAAAAATATGTATGCAATAAAGGTATTGGATCCAGTTCTTCCTCCGTTCTAATTGTAGTCCTCTCTGCACCCCAACAGAATGAGCAGCTCCTGCAGGACGTTAACTTCTACCGCGGGGAGCTGGAGCAGAAACAGCCGTCGCCGTCCAGAGACGAGAGCGCAGAGACGCAGAGGAAACTCAACCTGGCCAACCGGCAGCTCTACCAGTGCCTGGAAGACCTTCAGGTACCTGGACATCTATTAAACCATCTGGGGATTATGTAAACAGACCATTATCTTTGAAAGTCTGCCAATAGTACTATGCTTAAGTCTTTGAAAATGATCCTTGATGATGAAAATGTGTCTAAACTGCTGCAAACAAGCAACATCAGGGTCGTTTTCAATTATTAATGTACCTTTCCTGCCAATTATTTATTTGGCTCTACATGTGTTTTTCCACAAATTAAGTGAATTCAATTATTTGATTTCCATTAGCGAGCGGAAGATGACAACGCACACCTGAAGACGCAGAACGAGCAGATGCAGAAAAGTCTGGAGGAGTCGGTGAGGGAGATGGAGAAGATGACGGACGAGTACAACAAGATGAAGATTGTTGTGCAGCAGACCGACTCCATCATGGACCAGCTCAGGAAAGAGAGGGATCATTCAAAGCTGCAGGTAGAGAAGCAATTGAATTGACTGCATATTGTTTTCTCAAGCTGCAGGTGTTAACACTTTGATGCTAACACTTTGACTTTAGTCTCACAGTAGTACATGAGGCTGGTAATCTGTGAAATCTTCCTCTGCCTTCTCCAAATGCTCTTTAAGGCCTTTACACGATTCCAGCTCACTCCATGGAAAACAACCAATCACAGCCAAGGAGATTTTAGTGTCAAGCATGGCTCATAAACTCCGTTCAAGCTGTCCAGCGCTGATCAAGAATGTGTGTTTAAAAGACTTGTTTAATTGGGTTTTGCAATAACATACAGTTGTTTTATCGGAGGGTATATCAAAAGTCAGAAAGCAAATCTTAGCTGTAAAAGACTGTAAATACTAAGAAGTGAAGTATTGCCAATCACCAGAACAAATACATTCACACCCAGAAGAAAAACAACACATTTCAAGTTGGTACCTCACCAAAGAGCAACACTTTAGGAATAATAGGGAAATGTATCCCCTTAATATATTTAAAAAATGGGCCCCATGTGTCTCCTAAAATGCATTTGAGGAGCCACTCAGGGAAATCCTGGAAACTCCCGCACGAGGGAACACAGGGATTTTAGTCTTTGCAGACCATTTACATGCACACAAACCTATATAACAGACTAAAGGTAAGGGAAAACCTCCTATCCACTGTAGGGCTGAACCATTAATCGATTTTAAATCGAAATCGCGATTCTTTTTCTTTTCTTGTGTGTCAGTCATCCACACCAATCAGAAGTGCTGTGCTCCACATGTACCAGCCATTGTTAACCAATCAGAAGTGGCCCATGATAGAAGGTGATAGACATATTGATCCAATCACCTGCCAAGTATTTTTGAAAGTGCCTGCCCTTTTCCAAATGGCTTCCAATGGAGCTTTCCTAGATGGTTTGGTGAAACCATCTGAGTCAGGTTAGTAATGCTCCATCACATGTTCTACATCTATTACAGGGTGAATCTTAAACTGAAGCTTGACTTTAAAGCAACCCAACGGAAGTTTCATGTAAGTTTAGTTCTTTCACTCGTAGCTCGGGCTGCGGGGGTGCTAGAGACGGGAGCACGTTGATACGACCTTCCTAGCCGGAGATATGGCCGCATTTTACAATAAACTGACGTTGGGTCGCTTAAAAAAACAAATATCTGTCAGAAAAATCGCAATTAGATTATTTCCCCAAATTGTGCAGCCCTAGTGAGTATGAGATGAAAACACAGTAGCTTCACATTTATAATAGTAATTACATAACCTTCTAGCCAGTAGGGTTTTATAAACTATAATGTCTCTACTGGGTGTAGGGAGGGAAGGTAAAAAGGTGATAATTCAATAAGAGTATTTGGTTCTACTTAGGCCCCAATTCATTCCAATATAGTTTTAAAAAGCTCTGCCTAATAGTTGTGTAGGGATGGGCAGGGCCGGAACATGTGGATGAGGTTTGCAGGAAATTGCTTATATCTATCACCGACTGCTCGTACCCCGTCACAGATCTTAGACAAATGGGCTTTAGTGTAATAAACCATGAGCATGCCTCGCACAAATTGAAGACTTGTGTACAGGTACGCTGATTACATGGGTATCAAGATGGTTATCTGGCACGCTGGAATCTTGTAAATGCCAGAAGGAGCTTTGGAGGGATGCAGAGGAACATGCACTACCGCCAGGAAATCTGACACTGTCTTTTTTTAATAAATGTATTAACTGCAGCTCGGTGTGGTTTGTTAAATATATATAGTAACGCTGACATGTTAACCTACACCATTTATCTTTTTGACTGCAAGGTATTTATTATGGGTTGTGTGTTCAACGTGCAGGTCAGAGAGCTAACTGATAAGATCCATAACATGAATGAAGAGGACGACCCGATCATGGCAGCAGTCAATGCTAAAGTGGAGGAGTGGAAGGTGGGTTTTAATGAAATATCTACAGCTATGAAACTGTATCCAGTATGATGGTGTATATAGGATGAAACAGTTTAAATGCATATTTGGAATTCTTCCACCAAGTACTTGGATATTGTGATCCTCTGGGAACGGGCCATTGGCTCCTCAATTTATGATATATGGTGGAAAGTAAAGCACACACATAACATCATATCTTGAATGATTAATCTGTGTCAATGTTTTCTTACTGTTGAACCCCCCACTTAACACCCATCACAAGAGGGTCACTTGTTAGTTCCTGCAACTCAAAATCTTGTAAATATGCACATTATTTTGCTTCTTTACTGACAGTATTGAGTTAGAATCAGAAATCCTTATGTCCCACAGTGGGGATAATTGACAGTGTTACAGCAGAAGGGACAGTGCAAAAAAGTAAAAATAGAGTAGACTTGCAGAGTAGGTAAGAATGGAGAAACCAGCTGGAGTGCGCTAGAATTTGAAAGTACACAACCGAAAAAAATCTGCCCCTTCCTTCAGACTTCCTTACAGAGCCCCTCCTCCAACACACACGAACGCGCACATGACCAATGAGGGCACGAGATAAGTTTGTGCACGAGATGGAAGGCTGACAGGCAGGTAGGCCATCCAGTTATTTTAGCCGGGCCGGCTCAGATGATTGGTCGTGCTTTTTACAGCGCCACGGCTTCCAGAGATGACATTTTTGTATGTATTTATTGTCAAAGCATTTAATATTTTCATTGCTATCGGGATGTTAAGAGCATTCCATGGAATATAACAAAAAGTGTTTCTGAAGGGAATTACCTACGCCACCTTTAATGTTTAATAATTGTTTACAAAACATGTCTCTATTAACACACCATTGAACGGAAAGGAGCAGGGACAAGAAATTAATCTTATATTACCTGCCCCTTTCTAAAAGAAATAAATGGAAATAGATGGTCTGTCCTTCATATTTTCTTATTCACACAGTATCGTAGGATAATAAGAGAAAATAATACTTAGTTCCCACTTGACAGTTAACAGAAAGAAACAAAACAAACACCGAAACATCACATGTACAAATACAAATAAAAATGCATTGCAAATTAAAGGTGGGGTAGGTAATTCACTTCAGAAATACTTGTTATATTCCATGGAATGCTCTTAACATCCCAATAGCAATGAATATATTAAATGCTTTGACAATAAATACATTAAAAAATGTCATCTGTGGAAGCCGTGGCGCTGTAAAAAGCACGACCAATCATCTGAGCCGGCCCGGCTAAAATAACTGGATGGCCTACCTGCCTGTCAGCCTCGAGCTGGTTTCTCCATTCTTACCTACCCTACCTTTAAATAAAGAGGCACATTTTAATAAAACCGAATAAAATAAGTATACATCCATAGCAAAGAAAAATATGCACCCTTTAAAGAACAAAGTACCTAAACATATAAAAGTATTGAATGAAATAAAAATAAAAAAGTGTATATTGCATATTGTAATCTTCCTCAGGGTCATTATCGTCCTTCTATTAGCCTAACTTGATATTTTTCTCTCACACAGAGAGTGCTTTCTGGGAAGGACGATGAAGTTCTAGTTTACCAGCAGATGATCCGCGATCTGAGGGAAAAGCTGCGCTCTGCCCAGATGGACTTGGACAAAAGCAACATCATCGCCTTGCAGCAGGTCTGTCCCAAAACAGGGGGGGGTCGTCATCATTTATGTAGTCTGATTAATAGCACCATGGAAACGTGTGTTATTGATGGGGAAGATAGGATTAACTGCAAACCATGCATTTTTAGTCACTTAAACGTATAGTTCTACTAACAGTTTTACAACTTCATACAGTAATTGTTTTATTAATATATCAAAGTTATAGCACCCTAATGCATAACAATGTATTTTCTTCCCGGTAAAGCAGTTTCAAATAGTATGTCTTGGCAAATATGTCTAAGTAGCTTTGAAATTAGGTTTCTCCGTTTTTCCAGACCCTGCTTTTAAAACCTTATTACAGTGTGGAAAGTCATTGCATTCCTTAATCTGTGTCGTTAGAAGCAGGGCAATCCTGAGTGGACTGTCATTTCATGTTCTTCCATCTATTTGTCATTTTTTGCTATTTCGTGCTTTCTCTCTTCGCCTTGGCATGCTTTATCAACCTGTCCTCCCTCCGTCTCTCTGGGCTGTGGGCCAGGTCATATATGAGCTCTGCACTGTAAGTTTCCTCTGTCCTGAACCTCTTAACCTCAGCCTCCCTCCCTCCTTCTTTCATTTCATAACTGTTCCTTAAAAGATGAAAGATAATTGTACAGCTGCGGTCTGTCTTGCACATACTGTACATTCTCATCATTTAAAATTGTTCGGGAATTTCTTAAAGGCCGTCCAAGAGAGGGATAATCAAATCAAGATACTGGGCGAGCAGGTGGAGCAGTACACAGGAGAGATGGAGAAGCACACCCTGCTCATCGAGGAGCTAAAGACGTCCACAAAGAAAGACAGAGGTGGGTGGATCTCCTAAGACTCCTAACAAAGCACTTCCCAACTTAAAGGGGCCCTTTTACTCTATGTTCAGGTATATATCAGTATGTAGTGTCTCTACTTTAAAGAGTCCTCTCCTGCTGATGTTCAGGTGTATATCAGTATGTAGTGTCTCTACTTTAAAGAGTTCTCTCCTGCTGATGTTCAGGTGTATATCAGTATGTAGTGTATCTACTGTGACATGTCTCCATGCTTTAATGTTCAAAAAGCTCTTTATTTTTCTCATACTGCCTGTCTTTTCACCCTCTGTCTGAAACCAGAGCCCAGTCTGCTCTGATTGTCTTGGAGCGTTAGCCAATAGTAGCACGAGTGTTACAATGTGATGTTACTATGTACTTCTTGTGGTCCCTCCTTCCTCAAGGGACTATTTAAAGCTGCAAACATCTTTTTATAAAAACAATTCAGAATCGGAATAGAAAACCTTTATTTGTGCCGCAATGGGGACATTTCTGGCATTACAGCAGCAAATGCAGCTATATGATAATATGAGAGGAACATGTATGAATTTGTGAGTCAAAATATATGAATATGAGAGTGAAAATGTATGAATTTGTGAGTCAAAATATATGAATATGAGAGTGAAAATGTATGAATGTGTGAGTGTAAATATATGAATATGAGAGTGAAAATGTATGTAGGTGAAAGGGGAATGTATGTGTGTTGGAGGGCCAGTATGAATTATGGTCTGTACGGCCCCTTATCATTTACAGACAGTGTTATTTCACATCACAGATGTTACAGTCGTTTTGTGTGAGGTGGTCTTCCCTCCCTGTTGGTTATACAGTTGATCATGATGTAAAAATGATAGGGTACAAGCCCCCTGTGAATAATGGCTCTGACCTCCATGCAGCCTCTTAGTCATTTCCCTCAGGAGTCAGTGCAGCCAACCTGCCAATCTAGTCATTAACCTTCTCATTTGTCAGTTCATTGTTAGCCTTTTGCTAAATTAAGTATCCAGTATATTTTATGAGTCATTGCTGCTGTCTTTTAAACATATTAAATGGATGATAAATACAGGTGAACTTGAGTATTTAAATGAATGTGCTTGTTATAAGGGGAACTGGCTAGTAAATGATCATACCCTGCAATCATCAGTGTCACTTTTGTCTGTAGTCGAATAAAGTCGTAGTTTTTTTTATTTTCAAGGCCTGCCATCGGCCATAACGCAGAGAAAGATGGAGGAGCTGAAGTCCAAGCTGGAGGCTGCAGACATCAGAGCAGCGGAAGCAGAGCGGGCTGTAACGCTTGCAGAAGCTCACGCTGAGGAAAAAGACAAAGCCCTCATTGAGGCCTCAAACCGATTGAGTCAGTATGAGTCTGTAAGTCTTCAAAAAAAAAACACTCTTTCCTGTTTTTTTTTACCTCAACCTTTTTAAAAATCCAAATCGAATGAATCAAAACTCAAATTCCGAGAAGTGAAGGTTCTTTTTTTGGACATTGAAATGACTTTGTGACTATGGTGTGATCAACATGCTTTTTAGGTCTACAAGCTAAGTGTTTGTTTTCCCACCGCGTCTAATCACGTCATAATTGCCACAAAAAAAGCGGACAGGAAAAAAAACGTCCACAATGCGCTTTTAGATGGAAGGGTATTCATCACAGCTCTGTTTTTGTCTTACAGGGTATTTACGGACTGGAAGCAGCCATTGTAGAGATCAAAGAGTGTAAAAATCAAATTAGAGTGAGAGATCTTGAGGCAGAGGCCATGACCAAAGAGATCAACCAGCTTGAGATGAGAATCAATGACCTGATGGACGAAAATGAGGATTTCCGAGAAAAACTGGGTCAGTTCTTCAAAAGAAACTATCTTTTCCCATCTCTTCGTCTACTAAGAAACTGACCAACATGAAAACATTCATTTGTTTCTTTCATGTTTTTTCTTAACCCCCAAGGTCTGGAGCCAAAACAGGAAGTAGATCTGACTGTGTTCAGGCGAGCCAAAGATCTAAGACAGCGACAGTACAAAGCAGAAAATCAAGTCCTCACCAAAGAGGTACAGAGAGGATTACAAATGTTACAATAACTGCTTTTTTACCACAATGTTCTCTGATCAGCTCGCCCCTCATTCCTTCATTTCATTCTAGATTGAACGGCTGGAAGAAGAAAGACTTGAGCTGAAGAAAGAAATACGACGCATTGTGAAGGAAAGAGGTGATGCAGAAATCGTGGAATTTTCAAAAAGCCAATTTATGTAGCAACATCATTATCCATCAATCAATTTATCTGTCACATTTATTCAAACAAGGTCAGGGTGTCCGCGGGGTCTTAAAAAGTATTACAAGTTGATAAATCAATTTAGCGAAAATTAAGCCTATTAAAAAGTATTAAACGGCATTTTCCAAGGTATTACATTGTGTAGCTTGTTTTCAATAAGTATATAAATTGTCCAAAGAGGTTGTATTCTACAGTCTGCCTGAATGTAATCATTGCGTAGGTGTGTAGTGTGATTCTGTGTAGTTTATTTATGGCATCCCGTTGGATTTGACGTCATCTGAACAGGACATCGCACGCTCACTGCTTGATAGCGCGCAAAGGTCCGTTTACGCCGGTTGTTAAACAACATCGTTATGGGGAAATGCAAGTTTGCGTCCAAATGGTTGGAAGATAAGGAGGAAGGACAATCAATACTGTATATAGTAAATGTGAGGTAAAGCGTGTCGCCAATGTAACCGGTTAAAACTCCAAGTGGCGATGAGGTCTTAAAATGTATGGAAAGGGTCTTAAAAAAGGTCTTAAAAGGTCTTACATTTGACTTCAGGATTCCTGCATATACCCTGAAGGTACAATTCCAGTATAATGGTGATCAGGGAGAAATCCTTCAGTATTCAAGGGGGTACCCAGAATTTCCTAAAGCATGTTATCTGTTATCACGACCACAGTCATGTTGTCAGAAAATGAAGGATGGAATTCATTATGAAGTTGCAACCCTTACCCCCCACTCAGTGATGGAGTGATCTCTAGATGTAGTTACACTCACATCTGAATGAGGCTCCTCCTTTAAGGTGTAGGGTTTAAATAGAGCAGCAAGCTTCAGGAGGAACTTTCCTCTCTCCGGCAGAAACATTTCTTTACAAAATGTACAGAAAAGCATTCTCTTTGAACTGATTTGAATGATTTGAGATATCAACCTATAATTGTATGAGTGGCGCATTCAAATATTACATTATTTAATATTTTGAACAGGATGGATACATTAGAAAGAGGTCGAGAGAGCCACATATCTTAACATGTGGGCAAATAAAAGCAGAACGATGTGCAAAACAATCAGAATCAGGTTTATCACCAGGTAGGTCGACACGTACGAGGAAATTGACTTGGTGTCGTGGTGCAAAAGTAAAAAAAAATTAATATAGTAAAATAAAAATAAAATAAAGCAGTATCTACTTGTCTTACAGAGTTGTTCCCTTCTTATAACTGATAAACACATAGAAAATGATTCGATATGCACATTGCACTGTTTCTAAAGTGTTAGTAACCATACTTTCTGTCTACAGGCATCCCTCAGTCCAGCCTTTGGCAGGAGGAGGACCCTCGGTCCAGCAGAAGGGAACAGCTGCCTCTCAAACACAGCAACACTTACACAGATGAAGAGATCAGACGCAAAGTAAGCCTGGAACTAATCACGCCATTTCTCGCATGTCAACTTCAATCAAAGCCCATGTGCTATAAAGAGAAGCTAATGGCTTTCCACAGAACAATCGTTTGTCATGTTATCCAACCCAACTGTTTGTGTTTAGCATTTGATTTGATCTGATCATCAGTCATCCAGGGAGGTCTGCTCTATGTCCAGAATGTCAGAAGGATGAAATGAAATGATTACATGGTTATGTACACATCTTACTTTCAATCATGAAGAAAGCAGAACAGCATATTGTATTGAGTACTGTTTGGGTAAAGAAAAATGAAATGAAGCAGAATGGAAAAGACATGTAATCCATGAAGTTTGGAAGAATGTGTACAATATCAGATTCACCATTATTGTATCCGAAATAATTTACAATGAAAAGATTGCACCATCGCAATATATATAGAAAATAAGAAATTGATGAACAAAACACAGACAAGGCCAACACAATATTGTCATAGTAGTATTTTTAACATAATATCAGTAATTCATTTTGTTAATATCACCATTTTCATCCGTACCGATGTATTGCGACACCCCAAATTTGAACTATATATCAAACATTTTAATATACAGAGTATCAGTCCAAAGTGATTTGTGAATTCAACATAAATACAGTTGACACAATACATGTTGCACCTGCACCTATAAAGGTTTTAAGGTTTTCTATCATGCAAAATGCACTTTTTTATGTCTTTTATAGATAAATATGTGTGTCGGGGAACTCACGCAGCGTCAGAAAATAAAACCCTCTCTCTTTTCCTCCGTACCCAAATCTCTAAAAACGGGGCTACAACGGAGCTGATCCAGATTTGCGTCCGATATGACGTAATATCTGAAATGTAGGCTGGCTTTACACCCACGGCCCTATCAGAAAGTTGCTATCAGAAACAATGCCCGACTGTTTTGGACGTAATATGGTCTGTGTTTACATTAGCATCGCTAACACTCAGAGCTAACCTGTACTGGAGAGCATGTGTGTGAAGAAGCAGGAAATAAAAAGGAACTCACCTTGTGGTATAACCGGCAAGAGAGAAAGCCTTTGAGCTCCATACTGTTTCAGAAACAATCCTTGATAATCCATGATATGGCGTTTCATCACGGCAGTATTTAGTTTAGACAGTAGCTGCCGGGTCCCGCATGAGCTCAGACCCCTCCTTTTTGAAACAGGAAGTGAAATAGAGGGATATGAGGCATGGCTAGAATGGGTGATCTGTTTGGTATTTTGAGCAAAACACTTCATTGACATTATTTATATATTTGTATATATCTGAGACCTATGCTATTGCCTAAAAATAGCATGATAGGTCCACTTTAACTTTTGATTACTCCTTCTTTGCAGAATGAGTACCTACAAAAGGAGCTGAGCAATAAGGAGAGAGAGCTCAAACTCCAGAAGACCCAGTTCTACATGAAGAGTGAGTACACATTAACGATTCGATTCACTTCTATAAGTTGTCTGACAACCCTTAGTAGAAGAGAATAATGTCCTGCAGGGATAGTTAAGCAGTTTTTCACAACACGATACGTTTTAGTGTAATGAAATGCATCAGTGTCACAGATATGGTTCTGTAAGGTTAGGTAAGGTACGTTTATTTATATAGCACATTTTCAGGCAATTCAAAGTGATTTACATCATCATTAACACTTAATAAGAAGACAACAGAAGGGAACACAATAAATAAACACAATGGAATAACAGATTCGTAAAAACCATGCATAAAAGAGATGCAGAATAGTTTAAAAACTGCATTGTAAATACAGTAGGTGCTAAAACAAGCTAAAATACTTCTGGGTAAGCAGCTGTAAAAAGTAATGTTTTTAGCCTCGACTTGAAAGAACTCAGCGTTGATGAAGACCTCAGGTTTTCTGGAAGTTTGTTCCGTTAGTGGGGAGCATAAAAACTCAAAGCGGTGTTTAAACCCATAGTGGATGAGCTGTCAAAAGAGAAAGGAGACCTGGAGGCTGCGCTGAGAGACGTCCTCAGAGCAATGAGGAATAACCGAGAGACGGCTCCATCTGAAGCTGCCATCGACATCTCCCGTCTGGAGAGGTTAGCCAAGGTGAGCGCCTACCATCTATTTGATTATTTTTTATTTGATTTATTTTGAATGTGTAAAACAATAATAATAATGAAATGAAACATGATAATTATTATACTATATAAACTTAAAGGTAGGGTAGGTAATTCACTTCAGAAACACTTTTTGTTATATTCCATGGAATGCTCTTAACATCCCGATAGCAATGAATATATTAAATGCTTTGACAATAAATACATACAAAATATGTCATCTGTGGAAGCCGTGGCGCTGTAAAAAGCACGACCAATCATCTGAGCCGGCCCGGCTAAAATAACTGGATGGCCTACCTGCCTGTCAGCCTTCCATCTGTGCACAAACTTATCTCGTGCCCTCATTGGTCATGTGCGCGTTCGTGTGTGTTGGAGGAGGGGCTCTGTAAGGAAGTCTGAAGGAAGGGGCAGATTTTTTTCGGCTGTGTACTTTCAGATTCGCACTCGAGCTGGTTTCTCCATTCTTACCTACCCTACCTTTAAGCAGTGTGAAATTGATAAACAAAAATATTACTGACTTAAAAATTATATATAAACAAATGATCTACTTAATTACACATCTGAAAAAGGGTGGGAAGTAGTTTAAACGTATTTAATCCCACCCCTTCTCCCAACAACTAAATGATTAACATATATATATATATATTTATTTTGCTTAAAAAAATACATTTTTTCTTAACAAAACATAAAAACAACAAATAAATAAACAAACAAATACACGAAAAAGGTAAATGGTAATCAAGAAAAGATAAAATAACAAATAAATAAATAAACCGTAATCTAAAGTCAAAGACATATATCTTGCCATGACTAGCTTAATCCTCGTGGTTTTGTTCCTATCTTTATAACTACATCAAGAATATAGGTTTGTCTAACCAGGAGATCTGGAAGTCGCTGAGATCAAGAATTTCTTTGCAAGAGCGTCTCTCTTAACCCTCCTGCTGTGTTCGGGTCAAATCTGACCGATTTACTACTTTCATCAATCACAACTTTTTTGTTTTACATTCGATTGCATTAATATAAGGCTTTATGATATCCTTCACAGTAGACATTTGAACATATACAATTGCTGATCACCACTTTCATTGAATTTTGGATGATTTAGTCAACTTTGAAACACCCATGGTGTTCCCGGTCAAAAATGACCGCCATAAAGAAAAGGAATTAGTAACCATCCGGATCAGATAAGACACACACACACACACACACACACACACACACACACACACACACACACACACACACACACACACACACACACACACCCCGCTCTTATGTGCCCATCCCCCCACATGGATCACACCTGGCACACGCAATACATGTTCAGTGTCTATTCTTTGTATATATACTGCAGTTGTTCATGTATACCAGTAGTCTGATACAATATGTACAGTTTGAAAGGGTGTTAAATGAATTTTGGTGATGATTAATGGTTTTTGTGTTAATGTAATAGCAGTTAAAACATGACCGGTCAAATTTGACCGTGAACACCAAAGTAAGGGGGGGAAACGAAGACAATAGGAGGGTTAACTCAGAAGTGGCAAATAGAACATAAATCATAGAGGTTACAAAGAAAAACATAGAACAATTAATAATTTATTGAATTCTTAGTCTTGATTTTGCTGTATTTTTTCCCATCAATCTGTTTTTATTATAATGTTGTGGAGCAGAGCGACAGAGGTCATCTTCAGCAGGGAATGTACGTCTCCTTTCTTAAGATGTAAGATGCTTAATAAAAGCAAAAATGTTTTCCCAAAGAGTAGAACGAAGCGGTATAAAAACAGTTTTATCCCAGCAGCTGTTGCACAAATCAACACATCATAGGAGTGTCACACAGATGCCTATTTTTATTTATTTATTTAATTATGAATTTTGAATGTCCATGTTTGTACTGGTGTTTTCCTTCTTAAAATGTTTTTGAAATATTTTGAGATTTGGTTGAGCAGGGTATACTTGTACTTTTTACTAGTCCTTTTATTAGAGATGTGTCTGTTGTTTGTGTTTGTTTTTAGTGTCAGGATGGATCCCTTGTCTTTTTCTCTGCAAACAAAATCTACCTACGGGTACAAATAAATAACCTGAACCTGAAGAGTTGACTCCAGTGGTACATATAATGAGATAGATATTTATCCAGCACCTTACTTTTCTAAAAGTTGGAATAAGTTGTAAATGTGTGCTGCTTCAGTATCATGTCTGGCTTAAAATGTGAAAAAAATGATCATATCATTAAATGCAAATCTAATTCTGAATGTTCTTGGCTACCCATTTAAAGCCGACTAAAAACAAAAGGCTTATTTTGTTGACACAAAATGGGGTCAAAACAACACTATTTAGAAAACAACTGAATGGTACCGTTGCAATGAGATGAAAATAAGTGGTACTAGTCGGAAGATGTCGCAGTTGCATTATGAGATAATAGCAGCAATGTTACTTTTAGTGTGAATGCAGATCATGTTTCTTTAGCTGTGTCATTACAAAAACATAACCGATCCAGTGAAAATGCTTCTAAATTACAAAGTAAGGTTTTAAACCACTGCAAACTGTGATCACATGATTGTCTGTGAGTAGTTTCCTGAAATATTTCACAGTCCCAGTTGTGTTTTAACAGTTAGATCTGCTGAACTGTGCAATATTTCAGTGTTTTTGTCAGTTGATGAAGCAGATGGCTTGTCACATAGCAATTTAGCAAACCAAGAAAGGTTGAGGGTTGTCCCACTTTCCAGGGATTGAGCTCTGCAATCATCCGGCATATACAAGATTATATAAATCACATTTCAGAGAGGAGGATAATTGTTGTTTGGCTTGTTGTTATACTACTGGGCTCAGCATCAGACATAATGAGCAGAAGAGGAAGTAGAGCTGCAATTGTGAAATGACTTGAGATATTACAGAGAATTTTATTAAATTGATCCTGTTGTGATTTTGGGAGAATCTATCCTAAACAAAGACATTTAGTGTGTCAAATACTGTTTGACTGGATTTCTCTGCAGAACCACAATACTCAATGTAGATATTATTGCTGACATATTTGGCTTTTACCAAATATTGCACTTTAAACCTCACTCCTGTCCATATTGTGATTTCCAACATTTCCAACAATTGTGCAGCCCTAAGAGGAAGAAACAGGAAGTGCCAGCTGCAAGGATCACATGAAAATAAACACAATATTCAGTAGAGTTAATGGTTTCATTACTGTTAGCAATGTCAATTTTGAAAAATAAGGAATTGCGTGTTTAAGTGGTGGCAAACGTTCAATAAAGAGATTATTGGTTGACCCGTTACACTGAAAGATAGGCAACATTTCAAATAATCTTTTCTATTTCACAGATTCTGCAAGTTTTTATGTTTTTTTTGGGTTTGTTTCAGAGGTGGGAAGTAGTGGAGTACAAATACTTTGTTACTGTACTTAAGTACATTTTTCTGGTAGCAGTACTTTACTCCACTACTTATTTTTCTGACAACTTTATACATTTTTAACACAAACACCTGTACTTTCTACTTCTTACATTTTGAACCCAAATACCTGTACTTTCTACTTCTTACATTTTGAACACAAATACCTGTACTTTCTACTTCTTACATTTTGAACACAAATACCTGTACTTTCTACTTCTTACATGTTGAACACAAATACCTGAACTTTCTACTTCTTACATTTTCCAAACAGGCTGGTTCCTTTAGTTTGAATGTGTGTTTGGTGGCGTGATCATTATTATTTAGAGTCATTGCGTGCCTATTGATTTGAACACGATCCGTGTATCCATCATTTCCTGGTCTTCTCTAAAGAAGAGGGACCAATGAAAACGTTGTCATGTTGCCGTTGTTCAGCATGGAAACATTCATTAGCTAACAATGACATTATTGTTCTATTAATATAAAGGGAGGTCAGGTACTCTTTAAAACAGCTGCTAGTTATGGGTTCTTTTTACTTAAGTACATTTCGAAGCCTCTTTACTTTTACTTGAGTAAAGAAGTTTAGTCAGTACTTCTACTTTTACCAGAGTATTTTTAAACACGAGTATCTGTACTTCTACTCGAGTAAAGGATGTGTGTACTTTTGCCATCTCTGGTTTGTTTTGACTGTGCTCGCCCCTCATATCTCAGGTTATAGATGGCAGCAACATGATTGGGCAGTCTGAGTCCCAAATCCAGCAGCTGTTGGGGAGAAATGAAGAACTGAGACAGGAGTTGAAGTTGGCCCGGGAAGAAGCAACCGGACGTTTCAGTCAGCTCGCTGGAGCCAAAGAAAAGGTACACAATATTTTGATATGTCAAGATAAAATGGGATGCTCTTGACTGATAATGACAAACAACATGTTTTTATGATTATCCATCCGTGACGTACTCATGAACGCGATATCTCAGGAATGCCTCGAGGGAATTTCTATCAAATTTGGCACAAACGCTCAATTGGACTCAAGAATGAACTGATAACAATGTTGTGTTCAAATGTCAAGGTGTGTCCTCAGAAAAAATGGCTTTGGCTATTACCTAATCATTCGCCTGTTCATTCTGACAGTATGCAGAAATGTCTTATAGGATAAAACTCTGACATTTTGTTAGGTGCTTAAGGTAAACTGTAACTCGACTTGTTGGCTGAGGCATGAACTTTTCTATCTAATACTTCTGGAACCCGTTAAGGGAATTTCTTAACATTTGGCACAATCTTCCAGTGCACTCTAGCATGAACTGATTAGATTTGGCCTCCATCCCAACGCAAAGGTCTCAGGACATGGATTGTGGGAATTCTTAAGATTTGGGTAAAACGTCAACTGGAAGAATTATTAGAATTTTTTGGTAAAGGTCACTCTGTCCTGACAAAAGACGAATTGGGCCATAAATCACAAATTAACTTGCTTACTAGGACAATTTACCCCAAATGTCTCTCGGAAAAAACAGTTAAGTGATGACATTTTGGTCCGACGAGGTGTACAACTGGGTTTCAAATGTTAATCCTGATCCATGAACTTCTCTATCTAATCCTTCCAGAGGGGAAATGCGATATCCAAGGGAAGACTCGAGGGAATTTCTTAAAATGTGGCACAAATCTCCAGTAGACTGAAGTTTAAACTGATTTTGGGGATCAAAGTCTTTGTTAATTTACATCAATCCCATTCGTGCAAACACAAAATCTCAGGAATTGCATTGTGGGAATTGCTTCAGATTCGGATCAAATGTCAACTGGATGAAGATTAGAGCTTGCTGATCATGGTGGCTGTGTCCTCACAAAACACGTATTTGGCAATAACTTAAACATTCGGTTGTTAATTATGACAATTCACACAAATGTGCTATAGGATGAAACAATGACATTTTGTTTAGACATTAACATACCTTTGTTCGGCAGGGATTCCAAATGTAATCGTGACTCTTGAATTCATCGATCTAATGCTTTAGGAGGAAAATAAGATATCCCAGTAACCACTCGAGGGAATTTCTTGAAATTTGGCACAAACGTTGAGTAGACTCGAGTATGAACTGATTCGATTCTGGGGTTCAAGGGTCAAAGTCATCGTAACTTAACATCCATCCCATCCTTGAGAACACAACATCTCTATCAAAGCAATGCTGGAATTGCTTCAGATTTGAGTCATCCACCAGATGAATGATTAGAAATGTGTGGTCACGGTCTCTGTGTCCTCATAAGACACGCTTTCTGGCCATACTACGAGAACTCACTGAAACTTAAACTGCAGCTTGGCTGAAGTTTTCAATGTTATCCTTTTGGAAACAAAATGCAATATCTGAGGGAAGCCTTAAGGTGAATTCCTTAAAATTTGACACAAACGTCCTGTGGACTCAAGCATTTTTGGGGTTAAACACATCCCATTCATGTGAACTGCCAAATCTCACAAAATACATTGTGGGAGTTTCTCCAGATTTGGGAAAAATGTCCTCTCTACATAAATAAAAATGATTCCAATTTTATGTTTTAAAGGTCCCATGTCACGGCCATTTCTACTGATCATAATTCCATTGTTGAGGTCTACTAAAATAGATTTACATTGTTCAATTTTCCAAACTCACATTGGTTTCTCATACAGCATCTCTGTATAGTATGTGTATTCACTCTCTGTCCTAAAACCGTGTTGGCGGGACGTTGCGTTGCTCGCTGCTGGAGCGGACAGTGTGAGCTGGGTTCATTTCCTGCTTGCTGCGTGGGGGCTGCGAGACAGCGAGACATCGCGAATGGACGCGGGAAGGGGGGGGCGGTGCTGAGGGGGCTGCAACACCCCCATCTGCGAGGCTCCACTAGCACCCGCACCCCCAAACACGGCGCACCTACAGTGTAAGTGCGCCCCAGCGCGTCACAGTTTTGTGTGTGTGTGTGTGTGTGTGTGTGTGTGTGTGTGTGTGTGTGTGTGTGTGTGTGTGGTGTGTGTGGTGTGTGTGTGTGTGTGTGTGTGTGTGTGTGTGTGTGTTGTGTGTGTGTGTGTGTGTGTGTGTGTGTGTGTGTGTGTGTGTGTGTGTGTGTGTGTGTGTGTGTGTGTGTGTGTGTGTGGAGCTCCACGGATTGGTCCATTTGGGTATGGGCACGTCACTGTACCCAGGAAGAAAATGAGAAATGTCCAACGAGGCGTTCTGGGGCAGCATAGACAGGTATTTTCTGTGTTAGAGTTTTATTCGCTACAGGGTGTACTTTGAGGGTTTGTGACTCTGCAGACCGTTTACATGCAGAAAAACCTTCATAACACACAAGGGGACGGGTAATAACCGGAAAAGCATGACATGGGACCTTTAAAGTCAAAGTCACTTTGTCCTTACAAAACATGTGTTTGGCCATAACTCAGGAATGTACTCGCTAACCAGGACAATTTCCCACAAATGGATAAAATAATAAAACTCTGTATTAACTAACATCCCTCACATTGTGTAACTGCAAAATCTCAGGACATGAATTGTGGGAATTCCTTAAGATTTGGGTCAAACGTCTACTGTATGAAGGATTTAGAATGTGTTAAACCAGGTCACTCTGAACTCAGAAAACACATTTTTGGCAAGATTACATTTCCCTTAATATGATAATACGACACACATGTCTAATAGAATAAAACAATTAAGTGATGACATTTTAGACGGACATGGATTTTAGTGCAGCTTGCCTTATGGGTGGCGTCTATATTCCTTCATTTGGCAGAAAACAAAGCAGTATATTCCACTTTTTTTCCACTTGGTCCGTTTTATCCGGCCTCACATTCGAACATTAATCATCACAGTTTGTTCAAAGTCAGGAGGATAATAAACCATTTTTTATTAAGGCAAACTCACAATATTTACAGCTGTGTGGCGTAACTGTTATTTACAATCAACGCAATAAATATATTTATATGACAGGAGTTACCAAGACACATTTACATTGTGAGAAAGGTTTATGGAGAATTATTCATGTCTCTGTAAGTAATTAGCATGACTGGAACATTTCCTCCAACACAAATTCTCCTCTCCTTTTCAACATGTGTTGCTTGTGCAAGAGAGGAGATAAACAAACATGTATGTGAACTTTTCAGCTTGTGTTCACATTCAATATTCAAACGGATGAAGGATGGCTCCCTGAGGACACACAGGAACATGCTTCTTGGATTTGTTCTTCAAGAAGACAGCCTTGTTTCGTATTGAATCATTTCTCTAAAGGCAGATCTCATAACTCATCTCCCAAGTCCTCCACTTATTACATTGTTTGTTTCGGTGTGCTCTCTATGAATCTGTTTATTTGTTGTATCTGTTTCACATTAGCTTTGTTAGATAGACCCTGGTTCCAGAGTAAACCTGATAAAGATCTTCCTATAATGCCTTTAGTTCCTTTACAGAAGACAGACTCATTCTTATGCATTTATATTGATCCTGTTCAGAAGTCAACTGAGGAACAACTTGATGGCATTTTTAGTCACACTGAAGTTAAGATAAGATAAGATGCATCTTTATTAATCCCTGTGGGGAAATTCAGTAGTTTAACAGCAACAGGGTGAGAATGAAAAACAGGACAGCACAGATTAGAGATTAATACAATTAAAGATACAATCAAAGATACAAATAAAATGATATACAATTAAGTACATTTAAAATAAGAAATTAATTCAAATGAACATGTATACATATTTGGGTCTGTTAGAAAAATCTAATTTGTCACTGGCTTGAGCTTCAATCTCAGGATCCATGTGTTTCTGATCCTCTCCAGAATGGAAGTAGTCATCACATACAGAGCATCAACTAGTTCCTGAACAGTGTCCTTCACATGCTGATATCCAAGAGAGGGAGTTACACAGTCACAAGATGGAGGAATAGAAAGCAGTATTCAATGTTTACTTCAGATTAGCTCCACGTCAGAAATGATCATGCTTGTCATATGTCTATCTCCATAGAGGCTGAATCATCATGTTAATCACATAGCTATCATATGCCTAAAACAGTCCTGATGCTCTTCTAGGTAATCATACATCCTGTCATGTACACAGCTACAGTTGGGATACCTTTGTTAGCATGTTACTCTGATATTGGAAGAGTACATTCAGTAGGGTTAGGGTTAGGGTCAGTATTTTCTCAACAGGGTCCTATATACATATTAAATATATTGCTGAACCTTCATTGTCTATCTCTGTGCTTGTCAGGTGAGCCGGCTGGAAGGAGAGGTGGAGTTGCTGAGGAGGTCAGGCGGCGGGGGGGCTGACCTCCGACCCCTGACCCTCCCCGAGGCCCTGGGTCCCGGCAGCACCGAGGTCATCAGTCCTCTGAACGAGTACGCTGTTCGACTCCTTCAGGTCAGTCCCACTGTCCTCTGAAGGGGAAAGCTGTAAATCAACAATATGTGTGTTCTATAAATTAAACATTTCTGTGATTAATTAGGAGCTCAAAAACAAGGAGGAAACCCTGGAGAAACTCACAGGAACGCTGGAGGAATACAAGGAGAAGTTTTCTGTCATCAGCCACCAACAGGGACTCCTCTATAAAGAGTACCTCAGGTTGGTTAACAGGAAACTTTCTCTCTTGTTTAAAGGGGACCTATCATGCAAAATGCACTTTTTGATGTCTTTTATACATAAATATGTGTCCCCGGTTACGCTGCGTGAGTTCCCCGGTGTGTCGGGGAACTCACGCAGCGTCAGAAAATAAAACCCTCTCTTTTTTTCCTCCGTACCCAAATCTCTAAAAACGGGGCTACAACGGAGCTGATCCAGATTTGCGTCCGATATGACGTAATATCGGAAATGTAGGCTGGCTTTACACCCACGGCCCTATCAGAAACGTTGCTATCAGAAACAATGCCCGACTGTAATATGGTCGGTGTTTACATTAGCATCGCTAGCACTCAGAGCTAACCTGTACTGGAGAGCATGTGTGTGAAGAAGCAGGAAATAAAAAGGAACTCACCTTGTGGTATAACCGGCAAGAGAGAAAGCCTTTGAGCTCCATACTGTTTCAGAATGAATCCTTGATAATCCATGATATGGCGTTTCATCACGGCAGTATTTAGTTTAGACAGTAGCTGCCGGGTCCCGCATGAGCTCAGACCCCTCATTTTTTTTAAAGCTTTTTACCCCAAATCAGCACTTTTGAAACAGGAAGTGAAATAGAGGGATATGAGGCATGGCTAGAATGGGTGATCTGTTTGGTATTTTGAGCAAAACACTCCATAGACATGTTTTTTATATATTTTTATATATCTGAGACCTATGCTATTGCCTAAAAATAGCATGATAGGTGACCTTTAAGTTAGTTTGGACTCCTCTATAAAGAGTACCTCAGGTTGGTTAACAGGACACTTTCTCACTCTCTTTGTAAGTGCAAAATAAAATATTCTTTTGTGTTTTTGATCAGTGAAAAGACGGAGTGGCAAAAGGAGAAAGAAACCTTTGCAGAGATGAAGAACAAGCTGGAGGAGCAGAAGCAGGTGGACGCTGTTAAAATCCAGGAATTCAACGTAAGTCAGACGAGGAAAAGTGACTGCATATTGTTGCAAGATGGGCTGCATTTTTGTAGCAGACTTTCCCCAAGCGCTTTACATTTGCCTCTCATTAACCCACACACACACACACATATACCCCGTTGTTCAAAGATGGGTAATTCTCAGAAGAGCTTGCGGTATGGGACTAGATGTTATCTAGATGTTTTATATCCCTGTTGCTGCGTGTCAGTCCGACTTCTACCCCTCACTTAATAAATGTGAAACACACATGAGGGTCTACTCACTCTGTCTTGTAGTTTAAAATATGAACGAGTCCCTTGAGAGTGTGTGAGAAGGAGAAAGATAGAGCTTTCAACCGTTGGTGTTTGCACATGTTGGGGATAAGATTACACACGTGTCGGTGTTTTTTAAATGATAAAACTGTGTCTGTGCCTCATTGAGTTTGAATCATTGTTTCACAAATTACGCTTTTGAAAATAAATTAGCCTTTCAACAACAAAAAGTGCTGAATTTTCATTGAAGTATTTATATTAATAGCAATAAAATCTAATTAAAATAGGTGTGCCTTATTATTAATACAATGTCCCACTGATTTTTGAATCATTCGGTCAGATGTTTTGGAGGAAATTGAGAGGAAATAAAACTAAAATAGCCGAATAATAATAATGAAATGTGTATTAAATAGAAAAAACACTTAAATTCAACCAAAAGAAGTTTGTCTTTTTTGTACAGTGTTGCATTGTAATACAATGCTGCATTGATTTAGAGTCATTGTTTCACATGACTTGAAAGCTATTGAAAAGAAAGACAGTATTTTTAAGATATTTATATTAAAAACTCATTTAAAAAAAGGTGTGTCTTAAGGTCAGAGTAACTATACAATGCTGCGTTTTTTTGAGTTATTGGGTAATTTAAAAAATAAAAACAGCTACATTTTAATTGTCAATTTAATTGTTTAATGAATGTCAAATAGATAAAGCAGTGGAATTCCAGAAAAGGTGTCTTTTTTTTTTGCAGAGTAGTGATACAATGCTGCATTGATTTCCAGTCATTGGGTCACATGACATGAAAGTCATTTGACTTGAACAAAAATGCAGGAAAAAGCACTGAAATGTATCAAAAAGAGGGTTGTCTTATTTTTCCAGTATAGTAATAAAATGCTGCTTTGATGTCAAACTGTAATCCATTGTCCTCTTTGCTTCACTGCTGTGTTCCCCCCCCCCCCCCCCAAAAAAAACGTAATTTCACCCGTCAGGAGCTGCTAGACACCCTTCAAAAGGACCCAGAGGAAATCAGGAGACAGTTGAGCGAAGCGTTGCGAAGGTCCACGTTGCTGAAGGTTAACGAGAAGAAGCTAACGAGGCGCTACACCACTCTGCTGGAGCAAGAGCAGCACCTTCGCAAGGAGAACGGCAAGATGAAGGATGACAGCAGCAACATGCAGGCCTCCGTCACCCAGAGGATGGGCTACCTGCAGAGATACAAGGTACAATGCCTCGGTGAACGTGAGTTGTTTGACTTTCTTGTCCGCAGCAGCAGAAAGCATTTTAGAATGTTTGAATGAATCAAAGTGGGTCGTCACCGTCGATTTTCTCTTATGCTCCAACACACAGTTGCATGGGGTGCAGAATAGTTTCCCCCCACTTATCGGCGTACTGCTTTGCCTGGTCTTTAGCAGAAATGTTCGTAGGCAAATGAGATGGATTCGATTTTTTCATCTTGGTCAGAGCCGTATAATAGTATATAATAATAATAGTATAATAGTATATAATAATCTATATGGCGCTGATCTTGTTGTTTTCTCTCTCGTGTGAGTTCCACACATTCACTCTACGGTGTTGTTTACCTGCGCGAGCTGATGACATCACTACTTCACGTTAACTTTTTTTTCCCTCAACTTTGTGTGGAAAAATGCGGGGATTATGCGACCTTTTAATAAATATGCGCCCTTTTAAAAATCTGCGCCATTTTGCTGATTATGCGGTAAATTATGCGATCGCATAATCGCGTTTTTCTGGAGGGTCTAACTTTTAATTGAGTAAAGAAGTTTAGTCAGTACTTCTACTTTTACCAGAGTATTTTTAAACATGAGTATCTGTACTTCTACTTGAGTAAAGGATGTGTGTACTTTTGCCATCTCTGACCAGATGTAGCAAAACCATTTGTAATATCTTATTTCCAGGGTAGAAATAGTAAAAGGCGTCCAACAGCTTTCAAAGATTTCAGCAGGAATCATTTGTAATGTCTTATCTGTGACTCCAAACTAGTGTGAACACATAAAGTATTAAGATTTATGAAGATATTATGGCAAACATGGACCAGAATATGAGAATTTCACCCAGTTTGCCAAATACTATAATTTCTTTGGCGAGGCACAACGGGAGAAAGATTGTTTTTCCATGCACTGGTCAAATATGAGAGATAGGGCTATCTTTCATAACATGTCTTCTCCCATACCAGTTAAAATAAAAAACACCTGAAACGTTGGTGTCTTATTCTAGTGCACTGTCCATTTGATCGGTGGATATCTTTTCAATTCAACATAAGTTAGCATTAGAACATGTGTCTTTTAGATCTTTTAACATGTGTTTTCAGAAAACTAAGAACAAAACGTGTCTTAATGGAAGTAATCAATAGATAGGATAAGATAAGATGTACTTTATAATCCCAATTTGGGAAATGTTTTTGTTGCAGCAGCATAAAACAAAACAAGGCATTGCATAGGGATGTGTACCGAGCCCCGGGGCTGAATTATTAAAGACCGTGGTACCGTTAAGCTCCGACGTTATCGGTCTATTTATCAGTACTGGAGACATGTAAAATATATGTCATATGTATTATTGCTACACAAACATTATATTGCAGTTTTAGTGTCGCCAACTCCGTTTCTAATACGCAATAAGACTGCAAAATGCGTCTATGATTATTTTTAGTATTTTCGATCTTTCCAATCCAGACGAGAGATCTCTCTCCCCCGTCTGTGTGCGAGAGGGCGGGGCAGTTTACACACACACACACGCGGCTGCTACATGCAACACACACACACGGCAGAGATGGCGAGGAGAACTAAGCGCTCCGAGGTGTGGTTCAACTTTGTTCACAATTTGTTTAGTTAGTTTACCTTATTTTTTTCTAAGAACCGATAAAAGTACCGTTAAAAGACCGGATCGATAAGCGGTATCGATAAAAGTAGTAGTACCGTTAAAACCTTAACGATACCCATCCCTAGAATTGCACATAATAACACATTTAAAGAGTAGAATAAAGAATTCTAAAATATAAACATCTCAAAATAGAACCAGCATATAGCAATAGGGAAAGAGTCGTGTTAATATACAGTATATTAGGTCAAGATGTCAAAATATATGACTACAGATCTTTAAAGGCTGTTTTCTCACAGTGACTTTGTTCTCATGATTAGCCACTTTAGTAATAATAATAATACATGATACTTGTATAGCGCTTTTCTAGAAACTCAAAGACGCTTAGAAGCTAATAGTGTTGGTTATTAGTAGTACTTGTTCATATATCATTCATTGCCTGTTTTATTGAAAATGTTCTACCTTAATCATGGAGTTTTTATGGCAGTTGACAGTATACTGATTTATGTAGTTTTAAAACCTAGATATCCCAAATTCCCTCTGTGAAACCCTTTCATCAAATGTTCAGATTTCTGTCCCGAAAATGAATGCGAATGAGAAAATATATAAAAATAGGAAGCCTCATTTGCATATTCAAACGTCAAATTTCAGAAAACATGTAATACAACAATAATTTGTTTTAATGTAAGTAAACAACTGCAGAAGTTTCATGGGGATATCTATTAGTAATGATCATGTATTGATGCTATAACCTATACTGTCTCCCTTTAAAATTCCTAAATAAGAGTCATATTTGTGTTATTAACACCGTACAATCATCTTTAACAGCTCTGTCATTTGTTTTATTTTCAGGAAATGGCTGCTTATAAGATAGCAGCGTTACAAAAGGCCTTGGATGACAGTGTGCTCTCCTCAGAGCTGGAGAAGGCCAACAAGCAGTACACGGAGCTAACGGTCAAATACAGAGACGTGCTGCAGAGAGACAGCCGCCTCATTCAGAGAACCAGCAACCTGGAACATTTGCAGGTAATAAAACCCTCAAATGTTCTCTACACCTCCAGTAATGCACCTTTTTATTGTTAAAGGTCACCTATTATGCAAAATCCCCTTTTTCATGTCTCTTCTACATCACCATGTGTCCCCTCTGTGAAAAGAGACTCTGAAAGTTTCAGGAAAAAAGATTCTCTCTCTTTTTGTCCTGATCCATTTATATAAAAACCTGTCTGAAAATGAGCTGATCAGATTTTGGCCACTTTATGGTGTCATAACAATGTTTTGGCTTGTGTAACCATTAGCCAATCACCAACCAAGGTAACCCCCCCCCCCCCCCCCCCTCCCTATCACCTGAATCTCCTCCTAGAGCACCATTGAGTTCTTTTTAACCAAATATCTCTCAGAGGGGCGTGGGGAGGGGCTCCTTATTTTCATCTAAAGTAACAGACAGAGAATCAGCACTTTTGAAACAGGGCTGAAACAGAGGGGATTCTGGGATGCTGCAATGATCTGTTTGGTGTTTGGAGCCAAACACTTCAGAGACATGTTTTGTATATATCTGAGACCAATAATATATTAATGAAAAACTGTATAATAGGGGACCTTTAACTGTTAGCATGGACTTAACATGCAGTGTTATTCCCGTCTCTTAGGGTGAGAATGAGTCTTTTCGGGAGCAGATCTCAGCCATGAACAAAGAACTGGAGATCACGAAGGAGAAACTGAACACTTTGGAACAAGCATGGGACAACGTCAATACAACAGGTAAACAATGGAGAGAGGTGGAAGCAGTACTCAGATCTTAAAGGTAGGGTAGGTAATTCACTTCAGAAACACTTTTTGTTATATTCCATGGAATGCTCTTAACATCCCGATAGCAATGAATATATTAAATGCTTTGACAATAAATACATACAAAAATATCATCTGTGGAAGCCGTGGCGCTGTAAAAAGCACGACCAATCATCTGAGCCGGCCCGGCTAAAATAACTGGATGGCCTACCTGCCTGTCAGCCTTCCATCAGTGCACAAACTTATCTCGTGCCCTCATTGGTCATGTGCGCGTTCGTGTGTGTTGGAGGAGGGGCTCTGTAAGGAAGTCTGAAGGAAGGGGCAGATTTTTTTCGGCTGCGTACTTTCAAATTCTAGCACACTCCAGCTGGTTTATCCATTCTTACCTACTCTACCTTTAATGGAAGAGGATTACGGCCATGTGACATTTTTTTAAGATCTTACTAAAAGTGAAATTGAGATTAAAGTCAGAACTCTGAGAGAAATATCACTTTTAGACATTAACATGTGTCCAATTACAAAAAGGTGTACAATTACTCTGTAACAACTAAAAGTCATTCTTATTTTATATATTATTATTTTAAATATTATTATATTCTATTATAGGCCTCAAAATACATTTAGGTATCAAAACTGAAAAAGTAAGTTGTATGTGTGTATAAATTCACAGGATTATATTTAGTGTTCACCCTTTTAAATGAACAGCTGGTAAACGCAGGGTTAGCTTTGTTCACTGCTGGGTATCTTAATCCAAAATAATACATCATAAATCATTATATTAAGTAAGTAGTTGGGGTGTTATTGTAGCGTAGATGAAGTAGAAAGTAGCTTAAAATGGAAAATACTCAAGTAAAGTTTAAGAACGTCAAAATGAAAATGTAATATGAAAAAGGATTAGGGCCTGATAGTACATGACCTTTTTTTAGATCTGACCAAATGTGATTTTTTTTCTTTTATTCTGTCATGGCCTGGCTCTTGGCCATAACAAAGAACGTGGAAAGGACACGGTTTAAGGAACGATATTTATTATAATAACGCAACTTAACTAAAGAGCTACCACAATGGGATGTGTTAATCAGTAAGATCAGTAGCGTAGGTGTGGGTGTGTGAACGTGGTGTGGTGCGAGGTGTTGAATGCCAAACTAAGAGGAAGGGAAACAAAAGCATAAGTCAGGTAGCTGCTCTCCAAACGAATCCTCCAACAGAGAGAGCGAACGAGACTCTGGGTGTTTCTCAATCTCGAGTAAAGCTGCTTCAGAGCCACTATTTCAAGCATACTACGTCATCGAGTGCCGCCGAAGTACTGTTCCAATCTCCAGCATACTTGGAAATCTACCGAGCCCGGCGTACTCCGTTTGGAGAAATATCGAGGCTGCACATGAGTAGACTCCGCGGTCTTAAAATCCCCACAATGCTTTGCGCACGGACCAATTTCCAAAATCTGTGGCGGAAGATGTAAGGCGGGGCCTCTCATATGACGCACACCTGCACACTTGCTAGCCTGTTCCACTCTTTGTTTTCCGAATGGCAGGAAGTATTCTTGCCTCGCTTCTGAAGCAAGATGCTCGGAAGACATGTGCTACCAAGCAAGCGTACTCGCCAAGGGCGCCGGAAGCGGGGGGGCCAGGGGGCCATTGGCCCCCCCACTTTTCAGCCCTGCCCCACATTTTCGCAGCGGCGGATGCCGTGGAACACTGTACAAATCCCGTTTCAATAATTCCCCTCTACTCTAAAGTCGCATCTAAAACGCGATCTGATATAGCTGTGTATATTTTGTTATGTTTGATTGTTATATTCAATCTCATTAGCTACAGGCATTTTTTAAGCTTGAAAAGCTCTCACTCGCCACTCTGCTGTTCCACAGCGCCGCTTCCCCTCCCTCTGCTGAAATTATGAATGTAAGGCGTATAGTAATCATAGATAACACAGCAGGGTCCGTTACAGTTTGTTTTTATCTGATTTCAATAAACAAAGTCTTGGCTTTCAGAATATTAAACTTGTTTCGGCAAATTCAGATGATAAATACAACGTTGAAGCTTGTAACGGCATAATTACAAGCAACGGAGTAACTTTACGTCACAGCAGGCATAACAACAGCCGGTGTTTCTCGTGAGTGTTTTCCCCGGGAAACAAACACAATACACACAAACGCAAAAATACACAAACACACACGTATACACACACACACTCGCGGGCTTCCCCTATCTTCCCTTCGTACTATTTTGATCATTTGCTCCGCTAATAATCAATCAGATCGATCCAGAGAAGAGGAAACTTTAAAGGCCTTTTTCTCAAAATGATGACTCTGTAACAGTCATTATATAATGTGACATATTTTGCTTAATATTTGGAGTAGCCTACAACAACAATCCTGATATCATTAGAAAGTTATGAATCTCCTCGGCTCTTTCCAACAGTGTATACAACTCAAAATGTGTCTTCGGGTCAATGCGACTGATTTCGATGGAGCAGGTTTGGGTTAGGTAAAATAAAGCAGGCAGACATAACAGGAAGAATATGTACATTTTAACCCAATCAAATAGGACATTGTCACACCATTCAAATGTATCCATGTAAATTACAACCAATAAAAAAAGCTTAGATGTGTTTATTCGTTACGTTGTTTACTTTATTTGTTACGTTGTTCTGTGTGTGTCAGCCGTTAACCTAGATAGAAAAAATATATACACTTGCAAACACGTCAGAAGAACCAGCGCAGAAGAAAACTAAATACAGTCAATCTAAACTTAAATTAACAACTGGAAGGTCACATCCCTGACATCCACGTCTCCGGAGCCTGGACCTTCATCAATCATAGAAACAGCGAAGCCAGATGAACCCAAAAGCAGCAGCTCTGGAGGTTTGTTGTCGGGATATTGAGACGGGTAAAGCTGCAGCTAACTGACCGCTAGATCGTCTGGGCAAAGAGAAAGGTACTTCAACGCAGAATGGTACAAAAACAGAGAGTGGTTAATTATTTGCAAAACCACTAAATGGGCCTTCTGTGAAATATGCAGATTTGCTGCTGTCAAACGGCTTGTCACTTTCTCAAAATGTGGAGATGATAGCTTTGTTAATATCGGAGTTAATAACTGGAAAAAGTGCCCAAGCCTCCTGGACAGCCACGAAAAGTCTAATTTCCACAGAGAGTGTATTAAAAAAAAGTGCGCTTTCTTCAGTCAAACACCAGTCAACATACAGCTTGTCAAACAACAGCGTATTGAGCAGGAAAAAAGAAGAGATGGAATGATGGAGCAACTGCGCTGTCTGCAGTTTCTAACCCGACAGGGCCTAGCAATCAGATGCGTGCGGATAAGGAGAGCAATTTCCAAAAGAACTCGTAGCTGAGAAAAACCCCACTCTGAAAAGCTTCATGCTCACCGGGAAATATGCATCATGAGACAATTAATGAACTTATAAATCTAATGTATCGGGAGTCTCTCACCACTATATTAACTGAAATTTAAAAGCAATGCAAAACATGCAGTTATTGTGCTTCCAGCAAACATCCACTGATACTGCGATGTTAACAACCTCATGATAACCTCATATTGTTTTAACTTAGGATCTACCTGTGTTTAGTCTAGAAAAAGGTAAATGTGTGCATTTTATTATAAAGTTGTGTATATTTACAGACTGTTGCAAAAACTAAGAAACTTATAAACATCAGGTTTAACACTAAAAGAGCTTTACAAAAAAGTAACACAATTAGAGATGTTTGGAGTTTTATTTGAGTTATTAATTTACATTTTTTGTCAAAGAGATGCTGATTTGAAACCGTTGTTACATACAGTTACGGCATTTCCTGTTTCTGCCGGAGAGAGGGGAGTTTGTCCCAAAGCTTGCCGCTGTATCTACTCCCTCCATCTGACAGGAGGGTGCCTCATGTGTCACTCCACGGAGTTCACTCCGTCACGGAGGGGGAGTGTGTAGGGGTAGGGTGTAGGGCGTGGTTTGGGATTGGGCCATACACACGCACTTTTTTGGCCCCCCCCACTTTTAAAATGAATCCGGCGCGCCTGGTACTCGCGATTGAGAAACACCCTCTGGCTCGGGCCTTTCACTCCTCCGGTACCGGCGGCCAGGTGCGATCAATCAAGGCTGATACGGACAAAGGGAGATCATTAAAGGGCCATACACACACAACAGGAGAGAGTAAAGCAGGGGTCCTCACAGTTCTAACTTTAAAGTCAGAAACAAATAGAATTTTCTGACTTTTTCTCAGAACTTAAAAAATAAATAAATCACTTTGTACAAATGTACATCGTTGCTTCCCACCAAATAGTTTTCATAGGATATGCCTGAATTGTATTAGTTCTGTTGTTTTCTACTATGAAAAAGCCTTCTGAAATGCTTTGAACTGACGACTGTTTATTAATGTGTTATAAAACCAGTCTTCAAAGTATCTACTGCGTTCTGTGACTCACAGCAATTAAGTTATGATTACACGTATATCAACCCAGCATAAATCAACATGACTGGTGCCATTATAGGAAAACACTTTCTTAATGAACTTCGGGATGTGGTAACACCACGAGACACAGCCTCGGGCTAAGGTGCAGTTGTTTACGTCTCTACATTGTGGGAAGTCTTCACGATACTATCATAAAGTAGATGATTATCACACTTTACCTGCTACCCTTATTTTGATTGCTTCATATGATGTAATCTATGGCTAGCAGTGTCAACACATGCCGGTCTCAATTAACAACATTTTTATGAGATTAATGTCACTGTGAGTAGTATAAATGTTGGCCAAAACTACAATCAAAAGACTTACATTTGGACAAATGATCTGCTTAGAGTTGGTATGGCCATATATTTCTACATCTGGCAATAAAATAGTCCCAAAGAGAGAGGAAATTAGTATGAAACCATTTCAGTTCAATCCAAATGTTATCGCTTTTATACAAAACTTTCACCGAAATGATTTAACCTGAGAGTTAATCTTGTTTGTCAATACCAATATAAGAATAGTTATGGCCATAGATTTGTTTTAACCCGGGTTCAACCTTGTTCAAACCAGGACATCTGGCAAAAATAGTCCCAAAGAAAGAGGAAATTAGTGTGAAATCCATATCAATATTTTATCTTTTTATACAATACTTAAAACCATGATTTAACCTGAGAGTTCATCTTGTTTGTGGATCCCAATATAAGAATTTGTATGTCCATAAATTTGTTTTAACCCGGGTTCACCCTAGTTCAAACCAGGACATCTGGCAAAAATTAGTCCCAAAGAGAGAGGAAATTAGTATGAAACCATTTCAGTTAAATCCAAATGTTATCGCTTTTATACAAAACTTTAACTGAAATGATTTAACCTGAGAGTTTATTTTGTTTGTCAATACCAATATAATAATTGGTATGGCCATAGATTCATTTTAACCTCGGCTTAACCTAGTTCAAACCAGGACATCTGGCAAAAATAGTCCCAAAGAGAGAGGAAATTAGTGTGAAATCCATATCTTATCGTTTTATGCAAAACTTAAAACCAGAGAGTTAATCTAGTTTTTAGGGTTAGGGAGTTTGTGGATTCCAACCTTAAATCAGATTCTCACCCTTAATTGTGTTTTCACCCTAACGCCAGGAGGTGAAACAAGCATGGATAAGGCAGACAAGGCGTTTGCCAACAAAGAGATGGTGTCAGCCGCCCGGCGCATCACCACTCTGGAGATGAAGGAGCTGAACGAGAGGCAGAGAGCTGAGCACGCACACAAAATGTACGAACACATGAGAAAGTCCCTGAAGCAAGTGGAGGAACGCAACTCTGAACTGGAGTCCAAGTTTGCAGAGGTACGTGGCCAAAGAAAACGACATGGAGCACGTTCATAACCCCAGAAACGGCAATCGAACACAATCTGAGCCAGATTACAGAGTACAAATACTTCGTTACTGTACTTAAGTACATGTTTCTGGTATTAGTACTTTAATCCACTACTTATTTTTCTGACGACTTTTGACTTTTACTTCTTACATTTTGAACACAAATACCTGTATTTTCTACTTCTTACATTTTGAACACAAATACCTGAACTTTCTACTTCTTACATTTTGAACACAAATACCTGAACTTTCTACTTCTTACATTTTGAACACAAATACCTGTACTTTCTACTTCTTACATTTTGAACCCAAATACCTGTACTTTCTACTTCTTACATGTTGAACCCAAATACCTGTACTTTCTACTTCTCACATTTTGAACCCAAATACCTGTACTTTCTACTTCTTACATTTTGAACACAAATACCTGTACTTTCTACTTCTCACATTTTGAACCCAAATACCTGTACTTTCTACTTCTTACATTTTGAACACAAATACCTGTACTTTCTACTTCTCACATTTTGAACACAAATACCTGTACTTTCTACTTCTTACATTTTGAACCCAAATACCTGTACTTTCTACTTCTTACATTTTGAACACAAATACCTGTACTTTCTACTTCTTACATTTTGAACACAAATACCTGTACTTTCTACTTCTCACATTTTGAACACAAATACCTGTACTTTCTACTTCTTACATTTTGAACCCAAATACCTATACTTTCTACTTCTTACATTTTGAACCCAAATACCTGTACTTTCTACTTCTTACATTTTGAACACAAATACCTGAACTTTCTACTTCTTACATTTTGAACCCAAATACCTGTACTTTCTACTTCTTACATTTTGAACCCAAATACCTGTACTTTCTACTTCTTACATTTTGAACACAAATACCTGAACTTTCTACTTCTTACATTTTGAACACAAATACCTGAACTTTCTACTTCTTACATTTTGAACACAAATACCTGAACTTTCTACTTCTTACATTTTGAACTCAAATACCTGAACTTTCTACTTCTTACATTTTGAACTCAAATACCTGTACTTTCTACTTCTTACATTTTGAACACAAATACCTGTACTTTCTACTTCTCACATTTTGAACCCAAATACCTGTACTTTCTACTTCTTACATTTTGAACACAAATACCTGTACTTTCTACTTCTCACATTTTGAACACAAATACCTGTACTTTCTACTTCTTACATTTTGAACCCAAATACCTGTACTTTCTACTTCTTACATTTTGAACACAAATACCTGTACTTTCTACTTCTTACATTTTGAACACAAATACCTGTACTTTCTACTTCTCACATTTTGAACACAAATACCTGTACTTTCTACTTCTTACATTTTGAACCCAAATACCTATACTTTCTACTTCTTACATTTTGAACCCAAATACCTGTACTTTCTACTTCTTACATTTTGAACACAAATACCTGAACTTTCTACTTCTTACATTTTGAACCCAAATACCTGTACTTTCTACTTCTTACATTTTGAACCCAAATACCTGTACTTTCTACTTCTTACATTTTGAACACAAATACCTGAACTTTCTACTTCTTACATTTTGAACACAAATACCTGAACTTTCTACTTCTTACATTTTGAACTCAAATACCTGAACTTTCTACTTCTTACATTTTGAACTCAAATACCTGTACTTTCTACTTCTTACATTTTGAACACAAATACCTGAACTTTCTACTTCTTACATTTTGAACACAAATACCTGAACTTTCTACTTCTTACATTTTGAACACAAATACCTGAACTTTCTACTTCTTACATTTTGAACTCAAATACCTGAACTTTCTACTTCTTACATTTTGAACACAAATACCTGTACTTTCTACTTGTTACATTTTCCAAACAGGCTGGTTCCTTTAGTTTGAATGTGTGTTTGGTGGCGTGATCATTATTATTTAGAGTCATTGCGTGCCTATTGATTTGAACACGATCCGTGTATCCATCATTTCCTGGTCTTCTCTAAAGAAGAGGGACCAATGAAAACGTTGTCATGTTGCCGTTGTTCAGCATGGAAACATTCATTAGCTAACAATGACATTATTGTTCTATTAATATAAAGGGAGGTCAGGTACTCTTTAAAACAGCTGCTAGTTATGGGTACTTTTTACTGAAGTACATTTCAAAGCCCTCTTTACTTTTACTTGAGTAAAGAAGTTTAGTCAGTACTTCTACTTTTACCAGAGTATTTTTAAACACGAGTATCTGTACTTCTACTTGAGTAAAGGATGTGTGTACTTTTGCCATCTCTGCCCGTTAAGGTCATTTTCCCCCAACATTATCACGGTATAAAAAAGATCTTATCACGTAACGTTGCCTCTGTTTTCCTTCAGTTGACCAAGATGAATGTGGCGGCGCAGAGGGTGGAGCGCGAGCTGAGAGACGAGCTGGCCGACAGCGTCAGTCAAGCTGCGAGCGACGCTGACAAAGCCCGGGTTGGAGAGCTGGAGAAGAACGAGGCGGAGCTCCGCATCGAGGTTTCTAAGTACGTCTGCCTTAAGATGAATGATTTATGCTCTTATCGTGAAAGATATGTCATCATAGCTTAATATATCTTAATACTTTATGTGTTCACACTAGTTTGGAGTCAAAGACAAGTCATTAAAAATGATTCTTGCTGAAAGCTGTTGGACGCCTTTTACTATTTCTGGAAATAAGATATTACAAATGTTAGAGATTGCACTCACTATCCTTTAATGGCTTTGGGAATAAATGATATGGGAAATACAAATGTGTTTCTTAAGGTCAAAGCCGTGTAATCAAGATCTCATCCGTCAAACTGTTGTGCCAGTCCTTAAAAGCACTTCTCTGTTCTGCATGAGCTTATCTTTGCTTTTCTTTTATAATTTGGTTGCACTGTTGCTTATAATGTCCACAATTTAGACTCATTCTACCATCAAAATATCATTGCTGGAAAGAAATGAAGTACATTTACTCAATTATGTTGAGGTACTTTAAAGGTCCCATGTCATGCTGTTCCGGTTATAACCCGTCCCCTTGTGTGTTATGTAGCTTATTCTGCATGTAAACGGTCTGCAGAGTCACAAACCCTCAAAGTACACCCTGTAGCGAGTAAAACTCTAACACAGAAAAGACCTGTCTATGCTGCCCCAGAACGCCTCGTTGGACATTTCTCCTTTTCCATTGTTTACTTCTTGGGTATAGTGACGTATTTGGGTATAGTGACGTAACATTACGTCCGCGGAGCCGTTACGTTTGGACCAATCCGCAGACTTCCTCACACACACACACACTCGGCGGGACGTTGCAAGGCTCACTGCTGCGAGGAGCGGGACACTGGTGTGGGGTCGGCGAGACAGCGAGACACCGCGGAACTCAGCCTGAGCGCACACACAAACTCCCAGCCAGGCTGCGGGTGTGTGTGTGTTTGGGGCTGGGTTTAGCTGTGTCTCGCTGTCTCGCAGACGGCCACTGGGCTCACAGGGAGGGGGGGGGCAGGAGCTCCAACAAGCCGTTTAGGACAGAGAGTGAATACACATACTATACAGAGATGCTGTATGAGAAACCAATGTGAGTTTGGAAAATTGCACAATTTAAATCTATTTTAGTATACCTCATGGAATTATGATCAGTAGAAATGGCCATGGCATGGGACCTTTAATGCTATTCCATCACATTTTGGAAACCAATATTTACTTTTTTCTCCACTATATTTACCTGGCTGCTTTAGTTAGCTAATATCAAACATTGACATAAAATCAAAGGGTAAAATATCCAGCACCAAAATACAAAGTCACTCAAAAAGTTCCACTTTAACAGCTTTCAACATAATCTTAATCCAGTAAATCAATATATGATACTGAAATTGGCCATTACGAATAACGAGTACTTTTACTTTCGGTTACTCGAGTATATTTTGATGCCCATACTTTTGTACAGTAAGTATAACATCTGAGTGCCTCTTCCACCACTGTCATTGTAATGTTAATTTCCTTTTTTCTTTGTTTCTTTTGCCCAGGCTGCAGGAGGTGTCTGATGTGGCTGTGATGCAGGTCTCTGCTCTTCAGGCCCGACAGCAGAGCAGAGAGAAGGAAGTGGAAGCTTTGAGGAGACAGATACAGGACTACCAGGTATTATACAGGACTACCAGGTATTAAAGAGGACTACCAGGTATTAAAGAGGACTAACAGGTATTATAGAGGGCTACCAGGTATTATAGAGGACTACCAGGTATTAAAGAGGACTAACAGGTATTATAGAGGGCTACCAGGTATTATAGAGGACTACCAGGTATTAAAGAGGACTAACAGGTATTATACAGGACTACCAGGTATTAAACAGGACTACCAGGTATTATAGAGGACTACCAGGTATTATAGAGGACTACCAGGTATTAAAGAGGACTAACAGGTATTATAGAGGGCTACCAGGTATTATAGAGGACTACCAGGTATTAAAGAGGACTAACAGGTATTATACAGGACTACCAGGTATTATAGAGGACTACCAGGTATTATACAGGACTACCAGGTATTATAGAGGACTACCAGGTATTATAGAGGACTACCAGGTATTATAGAGGACTACCAGGTATTATACAGGACTACCAGGTATTATACAGGACTACCAGGTATTATACAGGACTACCAGGTATTAAAGAGGACTATCAGGTATTATAGAGGACTACCAGGTATTATAGAGGACTATCAGGTATTATAGAGGACTACCAGGTATTAAAGAGGACTACCAGGTATTATAGAGGACTACCAGGTATTAAACAGGACTATCAGGTATTAAACAGGACTATCAGGTATTATAGAGGACTACCAGGTATTAAAGAGGACTACCAGGTATTATAGAGGACTACCAGGTATTAAACAGGACTACCAGGTATTATAGAGGACTATCAGGTATTATAGAGGACTACCAGGTATTATAGAGGACTACCAGGTATTAAACAGGACTATCAGGTATTATAGAGGACTATCAGGTATTATACAGGACTACCAGGTATTATACAGGACTACCAGGTATTATAGAGGACTACCAGGTATTATAGAGGACTACCAGGTATTATACAGGACTACCAGGTATTATAGAGGACTACCAGGTATTATAGAGGACTACCAGGTATTATACAGGACTACCAGGTATTATACAGGACTACCAGGTATTATAGAGGACTACCAGGTATTATAGAGGACTACCAGGTATTATAGAGGACTACCAGGTATTATAGAGGACTACCAGGTATTATAGAGGACTATCAGGTATTAAACAGGACTACCAGGTATTATACAGGACTACCAGGTATTATAGAGGACTACCAGGTATTATAGAGGACTACCAGGTATTAAAGAGGACTACCAGGTATTATAGAGGACTATCAGGTATTATAGAGGACTACCAGGTATTAAAGAGGACTACCAGGTATTATAGAGGACTACCAGGTATTAAACAGGACTATCAGGTATTAAACAGGACTATCAGGTATTATAGAGGACTACCAGGTATTAAAGAGGACTACCAGGTATTATAGAGGACTACCAGGTATTAAACAGGACTACCAGGTATTATAGAGGACTATCAGGTATTATAGAGGACTACCAGGTATTATAGAGGACTACCAGGTATTAAACAGGACTATCAGGTATTATAGAGGACTATCAGGTATTATACAGGACTACCAGGTATTATACAGGACTACCAGGTATTAAACAGGACTATCAGGTATTATAGAGGACTACCAGGTATTATACAGGACTACCAGGTATTATACAGGACTACCAGGTATTATACAGGACTACCAGGTATTATAGAGGACTACCAGGTATTATAGAGGACTACCAGGTATTAAACAGGACTATCAGGTATTATAGAGGACTATCAGGTATTATAGAGGACTACCAGGTATTATAGAGGACTACCAGGTATTATACAGGACTACCAGGTATTATACAGGACTACCAGGTATTATACAGGACTACCAGGTATTATACAGGACTACCAGGTATTATACAGGACTACCAGGTATTATACAGGACTACCAGGTATTATACAGGACTACCAGGTATTATACAGGACTACCAGGTATTATAGAGGACTACCAGGTATTAAAGAGGACTACCAGGTATTAAAGAGGACTACCAGGTATTATACAGGACTACCAGGTATTCTACAGGACTACCAGGTATTATACAGGACTACCAGGTATTATACAGGACTACCAGGTATTATACAGGACTACCAGGTATTATACAGGACTACCAGGTATTATACAGGACTACCAGGTATTATAGAGGACTACCAGGTATTAAAGAGGACTACCAGGTATTAAAGAGGACTACCAGGTATTATACAGGACTACCAGGTATTCTACAGGACTACCAGGTATTATACAGGACTACCAGGTATTATACAGGACTACCAGGTATTATAGAGGACTACCAGGTATTAAAGAGGACTACCAGGTATTAAAGAGGACTACCAGGTATTATACAGGACTACCAGGTATTCTACAGGACTACCAGGTATTATACAGGACTACCAGGTATTCTACAGGACTACCAGGTATTATACAGGACTACCAGGTATTATACAGGACTACCAGGTATTATACAGGACTACCAGGTATTATACAGGACTACCAGGTATTATACAGGACTACCAGGTATTATAGAGGACTACCAGGTATTAAAGAGGACTACCAGGTATTAAAGAGGACTACCAGGTATTATACAGGACTACCAGGTATTCTACAGGACTACCAGGTATTATACAGGACTACCAGGTATTATACAGGACTACCAGGTATTATAGAGGACTACCAGGTATTATACAGGACTACCAGGTATTATACAGGACTACCAGGTATTATACAGGACTACCAGGTATTAAAGAGGACTACCAGGTATTAAAGAGGACTACCAGGTATTAAGGAGGACTACCAGGTATTCTACAGGACTACCAGGTATTCTACTGGACTACCAGGTATTCTACAGAACTACCAGGTATTATAGAGGACTACCAGGTATTTGGTGTTCTATGGTATCGTTAATCATAAACTCTTCCTGATCAGTACATTAGATCGTAATGTTGCTCATTATGTTCGGAGCTTTTATTAGTCTCATATACTCTGGTAAACCGTCTGATTCACAATTAAAGTGCAGGGGATTTTGATGTGAGGTACTGTACAGTGTGATAACTCACCAAATCAGGTTGTTAACTTTACTTTCTTCACAGTTATTAGTTAACAGGTGACTTTCTGTTCGTAATTTTTTGTTATTTTAAACAGGTTCAGTAAAATGTTCAGGCGTTTGTTTAATAAAATACAGGGGGAAAAAAGTTATAGTAACATTTGGAATTTGTAATGGATATTCCAATTGCTTAGTATATAAGATAAGATAAAGAGGTAATTAGATTGTTTTAAGAATAATAAAATATCAATTATGATATTGAAAAGAATGATTACTTTCGTATTATAATTCCCATTTTCTCTAAACAATACATTTAACATTAATTTTCTTCTTTTTTGTTGAATGTATTGGATCTTTCTGCATTTTAGAAATTGCAATCCATATTGTGACTTTTTTATTAGTTTTTATTCAAATATTTAAAGGGGACCTATCATGCAAAATGCACTGTACGTCTTTTCTACATGAATATGTGTCCCCGGTGTTCCAGGGAACTCACCAAGTGTCAGAAAACACAACCCTCTCTATTTTCCTCCATACCCAAATCTCTAAAAAAGGGGCTGCAACGGATCTGATAAAAACTGATCCAGATTTGAACACTGTCCTGACGTCAGGACGGTGGTGCTACGGCTATTGGGCCAACTCCACCAATCAGGAGGAGACAGCCACGGCCATTGCCGTTCGAAAGCGCTGGAGACGCTGTAGTACATATGCCAGGCCTGTAGGTGGTGCTGTTCTCACTGAATCTGCCCTTGCAGAGCAGAGCTAAAAGTGCAAATTGAGCGAAATGAGGCATGGCTAAAATGCATGATCTGTTTGGTATTTTGAAAACAGAAACGTATAAATATACCTTATATAGGTATGGCCCTACAATATATCATTTAAATATACCATGATAGGTCCACTTTAAGCTCTGATGCGCTGTATACAAAAATGAAAGTAAAGCAAAGCAAAATAAAATATAAAAACACATCTATTATAGCTCTGTTGGACAATATTGTAATGCAAAACTATATTGACATTTATGAACGAAAACAAAGACAACATGGGTTGTAATTTAGACTCCTGTGTAAATCAGGGAGAGGTGAAACTGTTTTCAAAGTCAGTCAACTTTATTGTCAATCTTTCAGTTTGTGTGTAGAGACAGAGAGATCGAAATGCCGTTTCCCAAAATCCCGAATACAAAAATACAAATGTATAATAAATGTATAAAAATATGTATATTCTATTCGACACATTTACACACATTAAGACATCAATGAAAGCACAACAATCAAGCGTGTTTTCACAGTGTCCTCTCTCCCCCTCAGTCTCAGTCAGATGAGAAGGCCCTGATAGCGAAGCTGCACCAGCACATCGTGGCTCTGCAGCTCAGCGAGTCGGCAGCTTCGTCCAAACTGGATGCCGCCACATCTCACCTCCAACAGCTGGAGGTTCACAAGCTGCGTGCCGATCAGCGACTGGACACCAGCGAGCGCTCTCTGTTCCTAGCTCGACAGGAGGGAAGAAACCGCTCAAAGCACCTCCGTCAGACCATCCAGTCGCTACGTAGGCAGTTCGCCGGGGCAATACCTCTCCCCCAGCAGGAGAAGTTTTCAGTGGCCATGTTTAGCCTTCAGGAGGACAGAGCAACAGCCCAGGAGGAGAAGAGGAAGGCGGAGGAGGAGAGGAAGAGGGCGGAGGGCAGGGCGGAGGAACTGGAGCTAAGACTCAGGGGCCTGGAGGAGCTCATCGCTACACTGAAGGACGTGAAAGGAGCCCAGAAGGTCAGTGTTGTTGATCTCCCACTCCAACAAGAGAGCAAGATGCTTCTTTACTGCATGTGATGTGTGTGTACGTAAGGCTTAAAGGTCACCTATCATGCTATTTTTAGGCAATAGCATAGGTCTCAGATATATAAACATTTATAAAAAACATGTCTATGAAGTTTTTTGCTCAAAATACCAAACAGATCACCCATTCCAGCCAAAAGTGCTGATTTTTGATATAAAGCTTTAAAAAAACAAATGATAAAAAAGGAAAAAGGAGGGGTCTGAGCTCATGCGGGACCCGGCAGCTACTGTCTAAACTAAATACTGCGGTGATGAAACGCCATATCATGGATTATCAAGGATTATTTCTGAAACAGTATGGAGCTCAAAGGCTTTCTCTCTTGCCGGTTATACCACAAGGTGAGTTCCTTTTTATTTCCTGCTTCTTCACACACATGCTCTGTGCAGTACAGGTTAGCTCTGAGTGTTAGCGATGCTAATGTAAACACCGACCATATTACGTCCAAAACAGTCGGGCATTGTTTCTGATAGCAACGTTTCTGATAGGGCCGTGGGTGTAAAGCCAGCCTACATTTCCGATATTACAAAACAAAAACAGAAGAAATAAAGTCAGTCAGTAGGACCACTTCAACATTTCACAAACAAAAATAGGTTGACAACCAAAAACCACCAAAAACACGACATGGCGAGCATATTTATTGTTCCTTTAATCCCACTCTTCTTTAGAGCTAATTATTTCCCATTTCAAAATGTAATACTTTAGTTTATAAAGAGTTCTTTAAATGAAGCAGTCAATAGATAATCTTTTGCTGGTGGCCAAGGAGAAAAGGAGATGTTCTGATTCAGACGTTACTGATACTGTAAGTGCAGGCAGGAGCAGACATTTCAGTGTCATAAACAATGCTGTACCAAAAACAAGCTGAGACGAAATCACAAAACAGTTTGAAAAATGAAGACGGTAGTCCTGAATTACACTTATCCCCCTTTTCTTAGGCATTGGCCCTATTCCAAATCGACCCCTACGCACTCCGTCTGTAGTGACACTTACAACTATACATTCAAATATAATTATTTTCTTGTGAATTTGTTTAATCTGATGTTTATGAGCTGCTTAGTTTTTGCAACAGTCTCTGTAAATATACAAAACTACAATCAAATGAACAGGTCTACCGTTCTCTAAACTTGACACGGTATACGATCCTAAGTAAAAAACAAACAATGTAACCTTCAAGTTAACATCAGTATCACTTCCAACAGGTGACTGAGTGGCACAAAAAGATGGAGGACGCTCGTCTGCAGGAGCTGAGGAAAGGCAGGGAGCTGGCGGTGCAGAAGGAGGAGATCAGGTACCTGAAGACGCTGGTGGAGGAGCAGGAGCGAAACATCCGCTCGCTGGAGGAGGACGTTGTTCAGCAACACAGGGTGAGACAACATTTCTGCTACACTCTGTATTCATGCTTAAAAACTTTCCAATATGCACACACAATTCAAAAAATGTCTTCAAGTTTCAAGGATTCAAGGCTTTTATTGTCATGTTTACATAGCTACAGTGTAGTTATGACAATGAAAATCTTAGGTCACAGGCTCCTCCCACTGTGCAACACAATAAAACAGATAAAATAGTAAATACAAATCAGGGGTAGAGGGCCAGTGGAATTGTATTATCACTGGCCCCACCATTGACCCAAGAGCATTCGTCCAAAAAAATCAACTAATAATGAAGAAAATGAACACATTTGTTGCAATAGTAATTTATGCACAAACTACATTACTACTTGTACTACAACATTTGAATAATCAGTTCTTCCTCATTTTCCTCAATTGTTCATATTTGGTTTATTAAAATAATTATATTGTAGCCATTATTAAAAAATGTCTGCTATTATCATTATTATGAGTATTATTTTTTGTATAATGCGCTTTCTGCCTTCCTGTCAGTAGGAGTTAGACATGTAATGGCTATGTAATAGATTAGATTAGAACCTTCATTCTCCTAAACCTCTGGGACATTTCCCTATAGCCAATATACCTTTATATTGTATACTCTTCACTTACTTGTTAGCATAGGTCGGCATTGATGCACAGAGCCGACAAAAGACCTTGTTTATATTGGCATCGTATTGAAGTAAACTCCATCGATCAAGCCAGTGTGGCTGAAACTTTCTCTCCCTCTTCTTCTCCTACTCCCTGTCACTCTCCTTTAACTCCTCCGGTGACTTTCTTTTATTTGAAGATTGTTTTTTGCCAGGCGCTTGGCCGGTTACCGCTGGTATTAAAAACATTTTAGCGAATGGTTAGGTGGCGAGAAAGTCTGTAGTGCTCGCGCTGCGCTCTGCAGCAAACAGCTGTTTGCTTTTCACCCAACAACGACAACCGCCTCACGAAACGCTATGTTGTAGCATTAATAAACGAAACAATTTAACAAAATTGCTAGTCAAATACCAATACCACAGGACCATTTTTTTTTTTAAAGCAATATGTTTAGTGGCCCGAGCGGGCAAGTGGAAAGTACGTTATGCTGGCCCGGGGTGTCTAAATAGTGCTTCCGGGCCAGCGGGCCATTTATAATGTCGAGCCCTGCAAATAAAATCTTGTTGATTTGGGTGATAAAACATTATTGTGGTGTGACTCATTTACCTCAATAACAAAGGGTGGAGAGATATCGAGATATGAAGTCCTCACATTTCCAACCGCCTCTCTTCCTAAGGTGCTTTTAAGTTGAGCAGGGTGTCAGGAGTATTGTAGTATTCAAGAAAATGTCAAGGTAATCCAGAATACGTCTCTATTGGCCATGTCTAGCTTCAGGAGGAACACCAGCTGGCTCATGATCAGCGAGAGGTGGAGCTGGAGCGCCAACTGGAGCAGTACGAGAAACACCAGAGCGAAATACTAAGCAGTTCGGAAAAGGTAAACTTATTTACAAAGGGAATCATTCAGACTGCTGATAGATATATACTGTAACTGACTGTTTGCACTCTGGTTAGACCCTCTTCATTTCGTTACACTCTGCTTGCATTATGTAATGACAATAAAGTAATCTAATCTAAATCTGGCCTTCTAGTCAGAGCGGAGCATGACACCTGACTATTCCCTGTGTTCTTGTTTTTTATATTTCTGTTGTAAATTATTGTCTTTTAATGTGATTGTAGTAATGTGTTTTTATTACATGTACAGCACTTTGGCTCGACCAAAAATCGCTTTTAAATGTGCTTTATAAATTAAATTTGATTTGATTTGATTAAAGTAAGAGCAAACAAAGCATGATTATTCAGAATAAGACTGTGTTGCTTTGGAGAATAACTATCTTTCTTTGTTTTCAGTATGAGTATGGTACAGGATCCCTTCCAGACCAGAGTCTTCCTCTCGCTCATCAGCTGGAGTTTGCTTTGGGTAAAGTCAGAGAGCATGTCCGCACCATTTTGGAAACACAGGCCACCTGCAAAAATCTGGATGAGGTATTCTACTCATTTGTACAATCACTATTCCTCATAAATAAAATGCAGAGCGTATTGTCTGAATTATAACTCCTTTTATGCAGAAGTTGAAGGAGAAAGAAGCCGCTCTGTGGAAGGCTGAACAGAACATTGTTTCCAGAGATAGAGTGATCAACGAGCTGCGTCTTCGCCTCCCTGCCGCTGCCAACAGAGAGCGGCTGCTAGCTGACCTGAAGAAGCACGAGGAGGGTCAGCCGGAGGGTCAGCGCACTCTGAAGCTGGCCCACCAGACCATCAAAGACCTCCAGGGGCGCATCGACAAGAAGGAGGACGTGCTGAAGAAGTACCAGAAGCAGTTAACTCAAGCCAGACAGGTACAGTGATATGTTTCACACGCTTTTATTCATTTTTCTTAAACAACACATACAAGTGTCAAAGACAAAACAAACAGGTGTGCAGGTTGTCAAAAAATGGTAGCCCCCCCCCACCCCCCTACAGAATAAGACTAGATTAATAGTACAAAACCCCCCCCCACCCCCCTACAGAATAAGACTAGATTAATAGTACAAAAACATTTAAAATCATAGACAGACATATGGTGGAAATCACAGCAAAACTTTTTTTTTTAAAACAACAAAAATAAACATAAATAGGTTGAGATAAATAGTTAGTTACTATAGTACATTTGTGTTCTAATAACTTTCCATGTACGTTGGAAATGAAATGAAATGACGTTAAAAATGGTTGCCTTGATTTCATACGCTTATAAAATGTTGTGAGCTTGACAGAGATAGCAGAAGGTCGTAAATCGTCAGGCTTTAAAGGGATCAGATAAAAAACTGTTGTATGTATATTAACAAATATAGTGTCGAAAAAAGTGAGATTAAGAAAATATATTTATGGACATTTTTTACTTTTAGAAAGTAATTAAAACTCAAGTAAATTAAGAAAAGGCACTCAGCCCTGATTTTATGAGTCAGATTGTTCCCAAGCCTTGGGGCCCTCACTGAAAATGCCCGTTAAGTTGTCAGTTGTGTCTCTGTATCAGAAGATGTTAAAAAAAATGGCTGGGATCTCAAAGAACCTACTGGCGCATAGTAGGGGTCTAACGATAACGATAGACATCAATTATTTAAACGATATAATACATTTCATTGACAATCAATATATATATAATCATCCTCCTTCCTTTTGAATTTCCCACTGCACGTCTTTCTCACCATTTTTTTGTCCAAGTGCATTTGCAAACATAAGACATGTGACAGGTCTATTGTAATTTGAGATCAAATGAACTTATTGACTCAAACGGGCATATGTTATCGCTTTATAAATGAGCATATGATATTGTTTAATCCAAGTTGTATTGGGGTAGACTTAGTGATAATAGCAAATAGCATATAGATGTTAACCCTTGTGTTGTGTTCAAAAGCTGTTACCGTTCATGGTGTTCGCTGGTCAATTTTGACCCATGATTTATCTCAGTCCAAAACTCTCAAAAATAATGACTATTACATGACATGTTACTTGTTAGACGCTTTTATCCAAAGCGACTTACATACTCAATACTGTGGGCAATCCCCACAGGAGCAATTTGGGGTGAAGTGTCTTGCCCAGGGACACAACGACATGCTGACTGCAGTGGGGTTTGAACCTGTGCTCCCCTGATCCGAACACCAATGCACTAGACCACTGTGCCACACGCCTATCATCCAATATTGTTTTAACTACATCATAACTAAGTTATTATGCATTCATAACCGTACAATCCTGTTGTAATTTAATGTTATGGCCCCAAAACACATTACACCACATATTGCACACGTGCATGTGTGTGTTCAGGTTCAAGTGTTAGTGCACATATTCTTTGAGAAAGGTCGAGTTCCCGTGGGGGGGGGGGGGGCAGCAGAGGGAGGGGAGACCAGGTGCATGTTGCGAAAAAATGATTGTTACAGTTGATGAAGGAGGTGGGGGAGGGGTGTCTAAAGTCAAAGATGAATCTTGATTGGGCCAAATTTGACCTCGAGTCACCCAAAACAATTCTGCTGGGTCTCCCCAGACCCGACACCAAATGATACACTTTTTTTTTTAGAGACCTTCAGACTTGGCTAAAATGGTAAAAATCAGTTTCGTAGTGTTTATATATCTGTTGTGGAGGATATCATGAAGCCTTGTTCCGATACAAAAAACTAGAGCAGTTATTATATAATTTTAACTTGAAACGGGTCAGGGGAGAACCGAACACAACATAAGGGTTAAAGGAGTGGTTAAATATCTGGTTTGACTTGTGATTTGCACATGCCAGAGATAAAGCAGGCCATGAGAACCTAAAATGAATTTTTGAAATGTATACTTCCTGGAAGCCAGTGTAAGGTAAAAACATAAGTCATGTGATAAATTGCCTCTGGTTAGACAACTGGCAGATGAGCTCTGTACCACCTGCAGTCGATCAATTTGGTTTGGCATGTGCAGAATTCCTGGCATGTAAAATAGTGTCTGTCAAAAGTGAAGACGGGTAGTATCTTTTGATGTTTCTCTAAGATGGTAATAATTAGCTGTGGTGAGTAAAAACTAAATGACTGCACCGGTTTCATGGGAACTTCTCATGGGAACTGAGAAAGTGAATCGGCAGGTGTTTTCCAAGTGATTTTTCTGTTGCAATTTGTTTATAAATGTCTTTGATCTCAAATGACTGAAATCTAAGTTTTTTAGCAGCTATTTCCACATAAATATTCCGCCCCTTATCTACTGGCCACTTTTTATTATTGGGTCTTGTCTTTAGAAAGCTGGTTTAGATTTAAGAATAAAAATGATCCTTTTATATTCAAAGTGTTTCGTTTAACTTCACCTTTTCAATCACAGGACCAGGAGGAGATGATAAAGAGACATCAGGAGGAGATGAAGATGTTGCATGAGAAGTTGGACTTGCAAACGGACACCTCTCTCGACCGCTTCAAACAGACGGCAATGGTACGCACTTATCCATGTCTAACCTTTACAACCTTTTTTCTGACAGATGGTGCAGGTACAGTCCTTAACATCAGAAATGATTAGACTTAAAGGAGTCTTCACGTCTTCAAATCCACCGCGGAGAATACAGAAGGGCAACCATGGCAACCATGCTCGGGGGGGGGGGGGGGGTCTTCTTCGCTGCTTTTGGTGTATTTTGTGGCGGAAGTACAGCGGCACTTACAGGCCCGGCATATGTACTACAGCGGGTCGAGCGGTCTCGTGTGGACGGAAGACTTTTTTGATATCAAATTCGGTTCGTTTTCGTTATCGTCTCCGTGTGGCTAAGTGTACATGTTTTGTAAAGTGTACATATTTTGTTTTAAAATAACTGCCATGTGTAGAATAAACAAATAAATAAACAAACAACTCACACAAATGTCACCTCTTCACATTCTGTTGATAGTTTTCAAGTTATAAACTTAAGTTCTGGCAAAATATTTGTTTTACTTTGCCCCTTTAAGTCCCTTGGTGTATTTATATGTATGGTGTGTTATAAACAACATGTTACACCTCATTTCCAGTGTTTTATGGGATAAATCCTGAGAGTAATTGAGATGTTCCTCAATGAGTCTTTTACCACTTTGATTAGTTTGTCAAAGTCAATTGTATTGTCAATCTTTCAGTTTGTGTGTACAGACAGAGAGATCGAAATACCGTTTCCCACAATCCCGAATACAAAATATTCAAATATGTATAAAAATATGTATATACCTACTATATATACACAATAAACAGACATATTTATACATATGCTCACATTAAGTCATAAAGACATAAATAAAAGCACACGTTTGAAGCAGTGTTTTTTAATAATGTACCCTCCATCTTTTTGTCCAGGAGTTGATGAAGAAGCCCAGCATCAGGGTGCCGACCAACAAGCACCTGGAGCGCCTGGCTGAGCTGGAGCAGACGGTTTCTGAGCAGGACGGCTCGCTCTTCTCCGTCACAGAGAAGCTGAGGCTGAGCAACGCTGAGCTGGAGAGACAGAGGAGCGCCATGGAAACACTGGCTAAGAAACACGCCGAGGAGACATCAAAGTGATTATCCCTTTTATTGAAAACGTTTTTCTTTCGTCAACTGTGGGGATTATATTCAAACAGAATTATAATCCTTTATTTCAAGTAGTTTGGTTAGTGATGAAATGAATGATAAATGCAATTATTATCAGCAGCAGAGTCCTGTACAGGTTCAGTTTGTCAAAACCAATAAAGCTCTGAACCAGAATCAACATACTACCAGCAATTATCTCCAAAAGTTACCCAGTCCCAGACCAACACCTAAAATAAGACACGCTAACCGTTCTGTAATTTAACTCACAGGCTGCTACACAGTCAGTGGTCCCTGCATGTTATTTGCCGAACATATTCATCATCAGGGTGTCCGCGGGGTCTTAAAAAATATTAAAAGTTGATAAATCAATTTAGCGAAAATTAAGGCTATTAAAAAGTATTAAACGGCATTTTCCAAGGTATTACATTTTGTAGCTTGTCAAATTTGACGTCATCTGAACAGGACATCGCACGCTCACTGCTTGATAGCGCGAAGGTCCGTTTACGCCGGTTGTTAAACAACTTCGTTATGGGGAAATGCAAGTCTGCGTCCAAATGGTTGGAAGATAAGGAGGAAGGACAATCAATACTGTATATAGTCAATGTGAGGTAAAGCGTGTCGCCAATGTAACCGGTTAGAACTCCAAGTGGCGATGAGGTCTTAAAATGTATGGTAAGGGTCTTAAAAAAGGTCTTAAAAGGTATTACATTTGACTTCAGGATTTCTGCATATACCCTGATCATGAATTTGCAGTTTTTTGTACAAAACCACATTTAATACCCCTACAAACTCTTAAACTCCCCTCAATGCCTTATTCAGTTTAAAGAGCTTTATTTTTACGGTGGTTTATACTAGCTTCTCTGTTCTTAAATCACAAATCCAGCCGAGAATATAATACCAGACTTCTGATTAGAATATGTCAGGTCTTGACCCTTCCCTGGATCCTCAGTGATACAGCCGCCTAACCCAGACGGACAGAGAATTTTTTAGTCTCATTTCATTAAACCCCAGTTTAATAGATGGCTAATTACACAGTAACGTTGAAATGCCCTAACAGGAATGCACTTTGCTAATGTGTGTCTCATCCAGGATTACATCTAATATACAAAGGCCCAATAGTAGAGAAACAACTAGTCCCTGTCAGTTCAGCAGTTCAGCAGTTCAGAGTCTACTAAAAGTACCGTTTAAAGCCTGAAATATTTACTGAACCCCCTTTCTGAACAGATGGCCTTGAATAACTTAAAATACCACCATTCAAAGGTTTCCTATCTGTATGCAACAACACATTTCCTTGTTCGCTTTCTAAATGAATCATACAGGTTTCTGCACCATAACACTTCGATGAAGAGAGGGAACAAGCTGTCACTTTCAGACAGTTTGGAATAACATGATTTTAACAACCTTAAAGTGATTTAATGGGCAGTTGAAAAGGTTAATAGTTTAGTTAAATCAGCCAAATCACTGAAGTCAATGAAAATATGCTTTTAGGAGTTCAGCAGGTCATTGGGGCCGGCCGAGAACACTCCGAATGACATGACACACACACACACACACACACACACACACACACACACACACACACACACACACACACACACACACATACACACACAAAACATGTTTTGATTTAATTTGATTTGATTTAATACTTTACTAAGAACTACCTCTCAAAGGACAAGGTCACTCAGCATTTCTCAACTCCCAATAAACGTTGAACGTGAGATAGAGTATATTGTAAAATTGCATCAAGTTAAGCTATGTAGAATGTCAGAAGGTGTTATTAATACATAGTTCATGCAAAGTTTATGCCTACACACACACACACACACACACACACACACACACACACACACACACACACACACACACTCAGAAACACTTGACCTCTGAATCATTTCAGCATGCTTGAGTTTAAAACTGGCTGCCAAAGCGTGGAAAAAAATATACAATTGCATTCTAGGCCCAATCAAATGCAAAAAATTACATTTGATTTTACTGTAACCGTACAGCGCTTACATATTCAGTTTCACAGGGGGAGTTGTCCCAGTATAAAAGCTTAAGATGTTCTCACTTCTGTTAAACTGGGACTTTATTTACCGAATTTAACAGAAATGGGTTAGGGTTTTCTATGCTTACTGCTGGCAAACAATGTTGGTTAGGTATGTTCCCCTTGAAGAGATTCTGAGGATTGTCAGCACGTGACCAGACAGGAGTCCCAGTTCAGGAGCATGGGAACGGGGCAGAAGAGTCATGCATAAATGTCAGTTATCAGATAAAGAATACTTTCACCACACTTCCTTGTTGTCAGACAGCCCGTCCAAAACAAGGAACTAAAAACATTTATCTAAGATCTCTTCAAAGCTACCAGACTTTGACAATGATGAAATATATAGCTTAACTGCCGTTTTGTTATTCCTGTCAGTTTTCTCCAAACTACAGGACGTTTGTTTTCATGTCTTGAATCATGACTATACCCCCTTGTTAGCACATAAGCTACAGTACAGAACACAACAGACACATGGTCAGTAGAAAATGCCCCCCCAGCTGGTTAGAGTCAGTGGTAATGACTTGGACTTGACGTAGATAAAAGTAGTCCTACTAAAAAAACTGTTATAATAACAGTTAAAGAAGACATGTTATGCTCATGTTCAGGTTCATATCAGTATGTTGTGTCTCTACTTTAAAGAGTCCTCTCCTGCTCATGTTCAGGTTCATATCAGTACTGTATGTAATGTCTCTACTTTAAAGAGTCCTCTCCTGCTGATGTTCAGGTTCATATCAGTACTGTATGTAATGTCTCTACTTTAAAGAGTCCTCTCCTGCTCATGTTCAGGTTCATATCAGTACTGTATGTAATGTCTCTACTTTAAAGAGTCCTCTCCTGCTGATGTTCAGGTGTATATCAGTATGTAATGTCTCTACTTTAAAGAGTCCTCTCCTGCTGATGTTCAGGTGTATATCAGTATGTAGTGTCTCTACTTTAAAGAGTCCTCTCCTGCTGATGTTCAGGTGTATATCAGTATGTAGTGTCTCTACTTTAAAGAGTCCTCTCCTGCTGATGTTCAGGTTTATATCAGTATGTAGTGTCTCTACTTTAAAGAGTCCTCTCCTGCTGATGTTCAGGTGTATATCAGTATGTAGTGTCTCTACTTTAAAGAGTCCTCTCCTGCTGATGGTCAGGTGTATATCAGTATGTAGTGTCTCTACTTTAAAGAGTCCTCTCCTGCTGATGTTCAGGTTTATATCAGTATGTAGTGTCTCTACTTTAAAGAGTCCTCTCCTGCTGATGTTCAGGTGTATATCAGTATGTAGTGTCTCTACTTTAAAGAGTCGTCTCTTGCTCATGTTCAGGTTCATATCAGTATGTTGTGTCTCTACTTTAAAGAGTCCTCTCCTGCTCATGTTCAGGTTCATATCAGTACTGTATGTAGTGTCTCTACTTTAAAGAGTCCTCTCCTGCTGATGTTCAGGTGTATATTAGTATGTAGTGTCTCTCCTTTAAAGAGTGCTCTCCTGCTGATGTTCAGGTGTATATCAGTATGTAGTGTCTCTACTTTAAAGAGTCCTCTCCTGCTGATGTTCAGGTTTATATCAGTATGTAGTGTCTCTACTTTAAAGAGTCCTCTCCTGCTCATGTTCAGGTTCATATCAGTACTGTATGTAATGTCTCTACTTTAAAGAGTCCTCTCCTGCTGATGTTCAGGTGTATATCAGTATGTAGTGTCTCTACTTTAAAGAGTCCTCTCCTGCTGATGTTCAGGTGTATATCAGTAAGTAGTGTCTCTACTTTAAAGAGTCCTCTCCTGCTGATGTTCAGATGTATATCAGTATGTAGTGTCTCTACTTTAAAGAGTCCTCTTCTGCTGATGTTTTGGTGTATATAAGTATGTTGTGTCTCTACTTTAAAGAGTCCTCTCCTGCTGATGTTCAGATGTATATCAGTATGTAGTGTCTCTACTTTAAAGAGTCCTCTCCTGCTGATGTTCAGGTGTATATCAGTATGTAGTGTCTCTACTTTAAAGAGTCCTCTCCTGCTGATGTTCAGGTGTATATCAGTATGTAGTGTCTCTACTTTAAAGAGTGCTCTCCTGCTGATGTTCAGGTGTATATCAGTATGTAGTGCCTCTACTTTAAAGAGTCCTCTCCTGCTGATGTTCAGGTGTATATCAGTATGTAGTGTCTCTACTTTAAAGAGTCCTCTCCTGCTGATGTTCAGGTGTATATCAGTATGTAGTGTCTCTACTTTAAAGAGTCCTCTCCTGCTGATGTTCAGGTGTATATCAGTAAGTAGTGTCTCTACTTTAAAGAGTCCTCTCCTGCTGATGTTCAGATGTATATCAGTATGTAGTGTCTCTACTTTAAAGAGTCCTCTCCTGCTGATGTTCAGGTGTATATCAGTATGTAGTGTCTCTACTTTAAAGAGTCCTCTCCTGCTGATGTTCAGGTGTATATCAGTATGTAGTGCCTCTACTTTAAAGAGTCCTCTCCTGCTGATGTTCAGGTGTATATCAGTATGTAGTGTTTCTACTTTAAAGAGTGCTGTCCTGCTGATGTTCAGGTGTATATCAGTATGTAGTGTTTCTACTTTAAAGAGTCCTCTCCTGCTGATGTTCAGGTGTATATCAGTATGTAGTGTCTCTACATGTCTCCATGCTTTAATGTTCAAAAAGCTCTTTATTTTTCTCATACTGCCTGTGCTGCAGCACCTCTTTTCACCCTCTGTCTGAAACCAGAGCCCAGTCTGCTCTGATTGGTTAGCTGGCCGGCTCTGTTGTGATTGGTCAACTGCTCAGAGATGTCCCGCCCCTTAGCCTATCACGTACAATGTGTTGGAGCGCTAGACCTAAGATTTTCATCGACATACACTGTAGCTATGTACGTATGACAAATAAAAGCCTTGAACCTTGAACCAATAGAAGTGCAAGTTTTAAATAGTGATAGCATTATGTTACAAAAGAGAAAACAAAGGTTTTTTTAGGGTTTAAGGGGTTTTACCATTTACCATTTACATGCACAAAACCTATATAACACACTACTACTTTATAACATCTGCTCCCTTTTAAAACACACTAACAGCGGTGATTTGTTGCAGGTTGGAGGAGCACCATGCCTCCCAGGTGAAGGCTCTGACCGGTGACAGTGAGGATCAGACGAACAGAATCGCCCAGATGGAGAAGGAGATGACCTTCCTCCAAACTGAGCTGTCCGCCCAGAAGGAGGCCAACGTGCGCTCCCCCAGCAACACCATGAAGAACCTGGTGGACCGACTGAAGGCTCAGCTCACCCAGAGAGAGAAGCAGCTCAAGGTTCTTTTATCACATAAATTCACTTCATGGATGTATAAAGAGATATGGATACAGTGTTGGAGGCGGGGCCACGTTCATGTCCATGAAAGTTGCTTTTTGTAAATATAAACTGGCCTCTTGGTAAACAAAAATACCCAAATCTTCACCCCGAGTATGTGCACTTGCATTTTCCTTAATAAGCCCCGCCTCCCATTTGATTTAAGGCAGTGTCAGGGCCGGTCTCAGCTCAGTCAGATTGTATCTAGAGGTTCAGGGGGTTAATGTGCTCTTCTGTAAATCAGGGGATTACCGGTTCAGTCCCACACCGGCTGTAAACATGTCGAAGTGTCCCTGGGTAAGATAACTAACCCCAATTGTTTCCAGAAGACATGATGCAGTGTTTTCCATACATTGATTTATTTGTGGCGGGCCGCCACAATTATATGTTGTCCGCCACAAATGGATCTCGTCATTTTTTTTTGGTGGTCTAATGGATAGTGAGGTGGGATGATGATCGGAAGGTTGCGAGTTCAAATCCCGCCTGGAACACCACTACTAGTGTGCCCTTGAGTAAGGCACTTAGCCCTCAGTTACTCCAGGGAGAATGTCCCTGTAATTGGTCATTGTAAGTCGCTTTGGAATAAGGCGTCTGCTAAATGCCTAAATTGTAAATTGTAAATTGTATTTTTGGGAGAATAAACCCCACAGATCCTCCACTCCGGTGTGTCTCACTCATTAACAACGCAACACAGAGCAACAAGAACGTTGTCTACAGTAGCCATGAACTCGCATGTATTTTCTTATTTGGGGCCACCCAAATAAGTCAAGGGGCCTTTGACTTTTCTTGCCGGGGGGGAGGGGGGCGGGTGCGGTGTGGTGCCCCCATAAATAGAATCAAATTCTGTGGGAAACACTGACATGTCTATGGTATTGAAGTGTATGTAAGTCCATTGGTCAGTCAGACAGGAGTCAACACCCTGCTCACTGCCTGAGGGCTTGGTTTACTTGTCCCTTTGTGGTGGTCTGCAGAATAATAATTCTAACTGCACTCATCATATTTACGTTATCTGGCATCTCTCTGCTCTCTGTTGTGTTTCCAGGCTCTCAGTAAAGCTCTGCTGGAGCTGCGGGCGGAGATGACGTCTGCTGCCGAGAGTCAAGTCATCGCCGGCGCTGCTCAGAGAGAGGAGAGCCTCAACGTTCAGATGCTGGTGGACAGGCACACCAAAGACCTTAAGGTACTCAATAAAGTCAGACTGAAGCATCCTTTGTGCATCTGTCAGTCCTCTCAGTAGATACAGAGCTGAATCCCACATCAAATGCACGCTAAAGGCTCTTTGAGCAGCTTTTCTCTCAGTGATTGTGCTGTTATGTTAAATGTTTGTTGTTTGTTTTTCATGTATTGCGTCTTGATATTTGCCTGTTGATGTTACACATGGAGCTGCTGTGATGCAAGTCAAATGTCAGACTTGATCCGACCATTCAAGTATTATCGTATCGTATCGTAAGTTGGGAGCCCTTCATTATAATGACATGTCGTACATACAGTACATGCCAACCTTTCCAAATCCAAAAGAGGTAGGTTTGCATGCCCAAATTAGGTAATCAGAAGAAATGGAACCCCAGTAATTACATGTATAAACCATGTATTTAACATATATTGCATCATTTTATGCATTTCTCAGAAAAAGTGGTAGTTTGGTAAACAGTGACATCAACGACATGTTTGGTCTGTGAAATGCCCGAAAAGTAAAAGAATGGGAGATAAATATCCCCAAAGTCTCCACATTTGATTGTATTTTGAGTGTTTCTGGTCCTCTTTCAGTTGAGACAGTGTAGATGAAGGATGTGTCAGGATGTAGGAAAGCTAGAACTCTTGTGTGAACATGTTATGTTGTTGACATATGAGAGTCAAAGGTTTGCACAGAGCGAAATATCTTTGTGTTGCGTCATCAATCAGAAAATACTGCATTAAAAAAGTCATTTCCTGCATGTTTTTACTGATAAAGTGTGATATAAATAATGTACAGGCTTTCAGATTGCTGTAGTTCACTAAACAGAGACATTAACGACATGTTTGGTGTTGAAAATGTCAGAAAAAGTGAAAGAATGGGAGATAAATATCCCCAAATCTCAAAATGGTATTGTATTTTTGGTGTGTTTGTGGTCCTCTTTCAGTTGAGACACTGTAGGTGAAGGATGCTTCAGGAAAAGACCAAACACTGGATGTCTTTCAGTCGCCAACATGTGTTTTCAAGGCACTGATATTAACGGGGAAACCCTGCAGGACTCAAATGCCTCGTCTCTGTTCCCCTAACTCATTTGGGAGTGATTACCCATCAGCCCCGGGGGTAACGCTGCCCTTCCTCTGCACTTTGTTTCACTTTCAGAAACACAGAGGACTGTTTGTAAGATGGGATCACAGACACGCTGCAAACGGTGTGTGTGCCAAAGGTCGAGTCCAGTGTCTATGGAGTGTCATTTTCATTTGTTATAGTTTAGTCGGTAGGCGGTAGAAACATGTCAAAAGCAGTAGACTACCGCCCAAATCGGTAGGGTTGGCAGGTATGGTCGTATTTCATTTCACACATTTGGGAATAGCTGTTGATCTTATAAACTGACATAAAGAAAGCTTGGGACGCGAGTTATGATTATATTTCCTATAAAGAAACAGAAAATAATCGACTATGTTCCCAGTAAAGACATCTAGTCGACTCCAATTTGGCTTTATTCCTTTTATTAAACACCACGACACCTCATTTGAGTCAGATATTAAAAGTCAGTAGATAAAAAAGCGTACTTTTTTTTATATCTAGTTTTTTTTTAAATGGTATTCATCTGTGTAGTATAATCTGACAGACAGTTGTATATTCTACATTATGCTAACATATTGTTATACTTGTATTTGCTGGTATTAATAAAATGCCTTTAGCCTTTCCAATACAACCATGTGTTAGTCGGTTTCTCAACAATCTGCTACTTCCTTGTGGTGCCAGCTGTGTGTACTAGTAAAGGGTAATTGAGTCTGACTGAGTAATGGGGACAATCATTTCAAAATTGCTCCAGTATTGAGTCAAAAAGGGCTGCAATATAGTTGGAAAAATGACTCTGTAATTGTTCAAACCCTTTATAACACACTACAGGAAAGGGGAAACCCATTATACTGTGATTCATTCAATCAGATAGATTGTCGCTCTCTATCGGAAGGTCACAGGTTCGATCCCCAGCCCCATCTCAATGTGTCCTTGTGCAAGATACCTCTGAATTAACCTCTGAAGCCTTTCTGTGAATGGCTGAATGCTCACTTGTATATGTAAAAGCGCTCTGAGAGTTTGCAAAGACACAAACACGCTATAAAAAAAGCAGTCCAAGCGATAATTTTGTTGATGAGGGGGGGGTGATAATGTCTGTAATATGTTGATAATGTTTGCACAATATGAAAATCGATAGCATCAAGAAATTGTATGTCCTTTTGGTGTCCAAGGAGGGCATGAATGTTTAACCCTGATGTACAACAGGTGCACTTATGTAAGCATCTCCATGTATGTCTTTTGACGCAGGTGCGGGTGCAAGAACTTAATGAAGAACTTCAATCGGCAAAGGATTCTGCAAGAGGAGCAAGAGGCCGGGAGAACAGCCTGAGAGAGGAAGTGGACGGGCTGACCCAGGATCTGCAGAGGAGTGCGAAGGCTCAGAGACGCCTGCAGGCGGAGAGGGAGGAGCAGGAGCAGGAGGTCCAGGAGCTGAAGCAGAAAGCCAAGAGGTTCAGCAGCGCCCTCCAGGTTAGACCCTCTCAGGGAGTTTCTGAAAACACACAGAGCTCCTGATTTATTAGGAAGCACGCAGCTCAGCGAGACTTCAATCTGAAGTGTATTGTTGCTGCTGCAGCCACATGACAGCCAATATCAGCACAACATCATGAGCACAAGACATTCAGACAATTCAATTGAAATAAATTGAGGAATGCATCAAGAATGGAATTTTACATTCTTCTGAGATCTAAGATAAACTTCTCGGGTGGAAACCAAATCAAATCATTCGGCTCATCTGGTGGATCAGTGCCCTCCAGCCTTTTTTTAAACTACAGTCCAGATTTGTCTCAGGACTTTGGCTGCACCTCTGTTCATCATATCTTTTTAACTTTGCATCTTTTTATATTTAAGCAATAGCTCACGACAGGCCGTGGTATATGGCCATTATATCACAGTTAAGGGACGTGGTTCGGCCCGACGAATGCAGTTTGCTTTTCAGCCCAACTGTATACAGTTAAATCGACCGGACTTCTTTCTGCAGATGTGAGCGTCCTTAACAACGGTCAATAAGTCCTTGCTGCACATGTTTCTATCTTAAGCTTTGTTAGTTAGTTAGTTTCGTAACGGACGTAATGTAACAGTTGTAACGGTTGTAGCTTTTTCTCAGACGCGGAGGGAAACATGACTTGTTGTGAAAAGTAACTACAATGATATACGCTCATTATATCACGGCTAAGAACCAATCAGATTGCTTGATTTGACTTGTCCGTTTTATAAATATATTTATAAAACGGACAAGTAAAATCAAGCAATCTGATTGGCCGAACCACGCCCCTTAGCTGTGATATAATGAGCATATACCACGGCCTGTCGTGAGCTATTGCTTAAATATATGTATACTTGGCTGCATCTCTGTCACTCATGCTTTTTACATACATTATTACATTTTAATATATTTTTTGAATTATATTTTAAATTGTATATACGTTTTTTTATAATATATTTATATTTATATATATATTTACACTTTTGATATATTATAATTATAACAATAATCATTTAGAATTTATATTCATGATAAAATAAATAATATATTTTTATACAAATATTTATGATAATGTCTTTCCCACTGTAAACAGTAATTCAAATTATATTTGTTATAAAACCCTTACAAAAACCATTGTATATTGTGTATATAATGTCTATAAATGTGCGTGTGTGACTGTAGCTGCTGGAGATGAGTGTTATTAGGTTATCGAGGGGCTGGATTTAATGGAAGAATGATGGGAGCATCCGCCAGCTTTACTTAGAGACTGCAGGACTCCAATGTCTCTATATGGTTTGCTATGGTTTGTCTCTCGTGTCTTCAGCAGGAAGCCAAGGGTTGTGACCCTGAAGGGAATGAATACCTGTTGTCTCCACTGTACACTGTTTGACGAAAAGTGAGATGCTATGAAATCTTCTCGTCTGTATTCGCTGATCAGAGCCAACCAGAACCAGATGGGAAGGGGCCGAGCACCGAGAGTCTGCACAAGAAGATCAGGAGGCTGGAGTCTGAGCTGGACAAAAGAGCAGAAGGGAAAAATGTCAAGGATGATCATGAAAAGGTTTGCACATCAGTTCTGTTAATCACATTATCATCTGTTTGCACGTTCTCCTGATGTACGACTTGTTTCTCTGACAGACCAAAGGAGAAGTGGTGCGTTGGGAGGAGGGGAAGAGATGGCAGGCCAAGATGGAGAAGCTGAAGAACTCATTGAGGGATAAAGAGAGAGAGAACGAAGCCCTTTTGAAACAGCTCAGCACTCTCAGAGACCTCTATTCCAGGTCAGTGTGTACATCGTCCTGCTCGCTGCTCCCTTTGATCTTATCTTTGGAAACACCACATCATCACTTAAAGCTGCGACATGGAGCGGGTTGATATGAAAGTGATGCTAATTGGGTCTTTAAGTACTGATTACTTTCATTATTGAGCAATTCAGATAATTCTCTTGAAAATGAGTTTTGTCTATAAAATGATAATATAAAAAAAAGACCATTATCATTTTCCAGAGCCAGCAGTGTTTATATTCCTTCTTGTATCCGACCAACAATAAATACAATATTTTATTTTATACGTTTTTAATCAAATCAGTCGAACTTAAAAAGTCACATTTTCTAATACACATTTTTTCTTTTTCAAAATAAACTGTGCTTACTTTTTTTTTTATATTTCTTCTTATTTTGTACCTTTCAAATATTTGTTTAAAAAGCTTTCATTACAACTGAATTCCTCTTCCTTTGTACAACATTATAAAGTAAATTCCTTTTATGTTCAAATCGCCGGGGCCGGATCATCTTTCTTTATATATATCCTGCTTACTTGAAGTAAACGGTTATTTTGTGTTTTTTTGTAATTATTGAGTGTTCTTGTATTTTAATGTGTGTTTTTAGACCTCGGGACTTTGGGAAACAGTATTTCAATCTTTCTGTGTGTACAAACATATTTTGAGACTGACAATAAAGTTGACTTTGACTGATTCTGATGCTCTGTGTTTGCAGACTGGAGCAGGAGAAGAGCTCTCTGCTGAGGAAGATGAAGGGTCGAGGCGTGACGGCAGATCTTGTGGTGGGAGTGCGCAGCGCTGAGATGGAGACGGAGCTGGAAGAGCTGAAGAATAGGAACTCAGAGCTGGAGACACAGATCCTCACCATCAAGTAAATAACAGTACAGTCATCATAGTATACTTCTGATATCTTTAAACAAGTCTTTAGGATGTTAGTTCCAGTTCCTTTAATACAAATATATGTAGTTGTGTATTTATAGTATTCAGATCCTTACCATCAAGTAACTCACGGCCCGTCCACACGGCGGCGTGCGTTGAAGCTTCAACGCTTCTGCCCATTCACTTTGAATGGGGTGACGTCACGCTTCGCCAAACTGCATTGTGGTCGCTTCGCTTTGCTCGCTTCAAAAGTTGAGCAATATTCAACTTTTGAAGCTTCGACGGAAGCGTCAGCCAATCAAATCATATGCCAGTACAAGCTCTAGCCAATCAAACCGCGTGCTTGTGTGATCACCCTGATCATGTGATTGGTTGTTGGTCGAGTTTCAGACACGCCCACCGGCAAGCTTCAACGCACGCCGCCGTGTGGACGCTGCGTAACAGTCTTTAAAATAAGTCAAAACAATCATAATATATCTTTTTAATGTTAGCTTCTTTAGTATACTTGTACATAGTTGTGTATTTAAAAGTCACTATTTTTTTGGTCCAGAACTATTACATTTATTTGACCTATATTTACATTTGTTACAGCAAAGACAACAAAGCAGATACAAAGACAAAAAAAAGGGGTAGACAAAGCAAACAATACAATAATGATCCAATAAGTTAACATCTTAGGTACAAAAAGAAGCCACTTAGTGAACATATAAAGAGTTTTGAGGTAGCAGACAATAATAACATCATGAATTGTAAAAAATATACATTTATTTCTCATATTTCCCAATTCCTTAGGGTTCATTTGCACTCACCTTCATCATTTTTAAGTGTTAATTGTAAAAACAATTGTTATTTAGTCATTTATGCGCATTAATTCACATTTAAATGTTTGCGGAATTACAAAAAAATGATAAAATGTTACGATGCATTTTACAAAATCTAAATTGTACTTGCATTTAAACCCCAAGACGTTGGTTTCCAAGTTTGTAAATCCATATTTGTTGACGAGTTTGTCTTCAATCCAGATGCCTCGTTATCCGCTCAATACAGGATCCATTGAGAGTTATTATACTGATTACATTTTATGATTTATTATGTTAGAGACTGTCATTTCCGTCTCTTGGAAAACAAACCAGAGTAAGACTCATTTCAAAGTGTAACTGTTGCATTCAGCTGATAACAACACGAGATGTCACTCCATCACCGTAACATATTATCTTCTGTCTAAATGTCATGGAGTTCTGCTTTGTAATGATTAGCTATTTATTATCATATCTTATCACCATTATTAATTACACATCGTCATTTTATGGACGGAGAAATTGATGTGAACATAGATTAATCGAGTATTTCAGTAGGAATGTTACATCGTCAATCTTTTGTCGGGAATGACTGATATGCAATGGTTTTTGTAATATCAAATAAAACAATAAAGCTTTCTGGCGAGTAAGCATTCAAATGTTATCACTATTTAGCAATGGTGTAAAGTAACTAAGTAGATTAACTCAAGTACTGTACTTAAGTTTGAGGTACTTGTACTTTTCTTGAGTATTTCAATGTTGTGCTACTTTGTACTTCTACTCGAGGTAAATCATGTACTTTGACTCCACTACATGTATTGAATATCTTTAGTTACAGATGTGGATGAATGATGTGAAATATAATCAAGTGTTAAATCAGACTTTAGTTCCACCTGGAGTAAATTCACAAGCTACCCTGCAGTATACAAAGTCATTACAACTAGCTGCACCTTTACCAGCTTTGAGAACACTTTCATGATCAATCATTATAAAACATATCATATATATTATTCTGAAATGGACCAATCTGCACAATGACTACTTTTACTGTCGCTACTTTAACTATATTTTGATGATAATACTTTTCTACTTTTACTTGAGGAACATTTTGAATGCAGGACTTTTACTGTAACAGAGTATTCCTACACTCTGGTACTTCTACTTTTACTCAAGTACAAGATCTGAGTACTTCTACTTTTACTCAAGTACAAGATCTGAGTACTTCTACTTTTACTCAAGTACAAGATCTGAGTACTTCTACTTTTACTCAAGTACAAGATCTTAGTACTTCTACTTTTACTCAAGTACAAGATCTTAGTACTTCTACTTTTACTCAAGTACAAGATCTGAGTACTTCTACTTTTACTCAAGTACAAGATCTTAGTACTTCTACTTTTACTCAAGTACAAGATCTGAGTACTTCTACTTTTACTCAAGTACAAGATCTGCGTACTTCTACTTTTACTCAAGTACAAGATCTTAGTACTTCTACTTTTACTCAAGTACAAGATCTGAGTACTTCTACTTTTACTCAAGTACAAGATCTGAGTACTTCTACTTTTACTCAAGTACAAGATCTTAGTACTTCTACTTTTACTCAAGTACAAGATCTGAGTACTTCTACTTTTACTCAAGTACAAGATCTTAGTACTTCTACTTTTACTCAAGTACAAGATCTGACTACTTCTACTTTTACTCAAGTACAAGATCTTAGTACTTCTACTTTTACTCAAGTACAAGATCTGAGTACTTCTACTTTTACTCAAGTACAAGATCTTAGTACTTCTACTTTTACTCAAGTACAAGATCTGAGTACTTCTACTTTTACTCAAGTACAAGATCTGAGTACTTCTACTTTTACTCAAATACAAGATCTGACTACTTCTACTTTTACTCAAGTACAAGATCTTAGTACTTCTACTTTTACTCAAGTACAAGATCTGAGTACTTCTACTTTTACTCAAGTACAAGATCTGAGTACTTCTACTTTTACTCAAGTACAAGATCTTAGTACTTCTACTTTTACTCAAGTACAAGATCTGACTACTTCTACTTTTACTCAAGTACAAGATCTTAGTACTTCTACTTTTACTCAAGTACAAGATCTGACTACTTCTACTTTTACTCAAGTACAAGATCTTAGTACTTCTACTTTTACTCAAGTACAAGATCTGAGTACTTCTCCCACCTCTGCTAAACAGTTGAGTAACTACCTTAACTATGACGTTAAACAGTAAAAAATAAACTTTAAAAAAATACCCTAATTAATAGAAGGATTTTATTTTTATATATATAGTATAAATATATTTTTTTAAATCGATTTTTGTTCAGAAAATGTAGATATACTGTCAATAAAAACAAATTAAATTACTTAATTAATCCTGGAAATTGTGTTTTGTCACAGTTGATCCATTTTAGAATAAAATACAAATGAAAAAAGATAATAATAATAATAATACAAGCAAATGTGAAAAAAGTATGAATGTGCAATACAAATATATATACAAAGAAAAATAAGAAATAAACATTTATATAAACAAAATAATTTAGCTTAAAATGTAATAAAAAAGACATGAAATAGAAATGTGCATTAGATAAACAGTATTGTGATAATCCAACACTAGGCTGTAATGTTGACCTCCTGCCATGTCATTGTCTGGCCTGTTGTTCTCATCAAGTCTGTTTACTAAACAACAAATCCTGACCCCTCAGAGAGCACCAGGCGTTGCCTCGTGATGACGCCATGGAGAATCTGATTGAGAGGAACCGCTTCCTGGAGGAGAGGCAGCACTCTGCAGAGATCCAGACCCTCAAAGAGCCTCCGTCCAGACCCTCTGTGAGTGCTGCGGAAACAAGACCCTAATCATGTTCAGATACCCTGATGATTCACATGGGGACACAAATACAGGCTGATCTAATGTGGAACCTAAAGCGCCAAACATCATTTTATGTTATCTTCACAAGTCACTGTTGGACGGCAACTAAGTACATTTACTTAACCTGTTCAGCCCCGAGCCTGTTTTTCAGGTTTCAGGCTCGAAAATGACATGCCCAAAACAAATGACTACAACTTAACTTCTAAAAGGGTTATATGAATAATTTCTTTTATCAAAGCAAGGTTACATCTGTGAGTTGGATGTAGAAGTGTCAGAATCAATATAGATTTTTCTCAGTCAGAGTAAATTCAGATGGAACATAGCAAAAAAAGGTAAATTCTTACCTCCGCCTAAAGAAAAAACATTACTTATAGTGAAAACCACCCTTGAATGATGGGATGGTAGACTAAAAGCTTTAGGAATCCAAAGTATAACATATAATAAGTACCCTGTATCAAGATTGAGGCAAAACAAGTGACATTTGACCTTTTTCGAGATATTTAGCAAAAAAAAGGTCCAGGCGGAATAAGCTTTCGGCACATTTGGGTACATCTGGTTCCATCAGTGCCATTTGACCTTTTTCAGGTACCAGACTATAAAAATTGTGTATTACATTGAATTATCACCATAGGTATTCATTCCATCCAAAGAAAAAGACATTTCTAAAAGATTAAATAAAAATAAAAAATAAAAAATAAATATATATTTTTTTAATTTAATTTGTGGGAAAAAAAAGGACCCGCCGACGGGGTCTTTGGGGCTTAACAGGTTAAGTACTGTTCTTAAGTATCATTTGAAGTTACTTTTACTTACTTTCTTGCTACTTTACACACACTACTTTGCACTTTGATTCTGCTCCATTTATCTGACTGCTTAAGTCACTTTGAAGACTCGTAAATAATACAAAACATTATCCACAATGCACTCATCATGTTTAATTTTAGGTTAAGATAGAACTTTATTGATTTATTTAGAAAATTCGCCAACTACCCCGCAGTATATAGTAAAAAAAAAAATCTCCTCCTTTGACGACTGCACCCATAAAGTAATGAAAACATGAATGCATCAATTACTATAATGACATCATATAATATACATTATTCTAAAATGGGCTGTTTTGCCGAACGTGTACTTTTTATGCTTTGGCACTTTTCCTTAAGTAAAATCTTTAATGCGGGACTTTTACTGGTATCAGAGTACTTCTACACTGAGGTATTACTAGTTTTCCTTTAGTAAAATATCTCAGCAGTTCATTCACTGTTGCTTTGGGGGATTTTCATTGAAGACATCTGCCTTTTTAGCCATCTCTCACGAAACAGTGAATAGATGTATTGAAAGTAATCCAGGTTAAATGAAAATGTCAGCGCTATATACATTAGAGAGATTATAGTACCTGACGTTTATTACTGTTGTACAGCAGGCAGCTCATGTCCCCACACATACTGAACAAGACATGTTGCACTCTCTGTATGATCTGTCCCAGTTCCATTCAGTGTTTTCCTCCTATCTCTTTATTCATCATTCTTTAATCTCTTTCTCTCCTTCTTCACCGGATTAAATGTGATTCATTGTGAAGTCAAAAAGCTCCTGCTCCGGGGCTTTGCGAGAGATTAGTCTTGTCACTTTTGATGTTGCGGACGAGTCATGCGAAGGGAATGCAGCTCCGCATCCTGGTGAGTCATACGGACGCTCTGAGAGCCCCGAAGCTGTGGGAGAACATGTGGACCAACAGAGGGAGACAGAGCAAACCCAGGAAGCTGAAGAAGAAACCCCAACCATTACTGTGGGAGAAGAGGATGCTGCAGAAGACAAGGAAGAAGACACAAACAGAGTTGAAGTTGAAGGAAATGAAAAGACACATAAAACAGAAGAAATTGAGTCTGAGGATCAGTCAGAAAGACCAGCATCAGGCACGTCAAATCGTGAGGCAGAACCCGGCGCTGACACCGACGCTGAAACCGTGAAAAAGGATGAAGGAGACCGAGATACAGATGATGATGATGATGATGATGATGTGGAAATTGAAAACCCAGAGGAAGCTGAGCCACAGGCAGAGCTGAGTGATGAAGTAGTTGCGACTACAAATGGGCTCACCGGGGAAGATAATGCCAAACAGCCGTGCTCAGCAGATCCAGATGTGGACCCCTGCTCCGTCCCGAGGAGAGAGGAGCGTGCACGGAGAGCAGACTGCAGATCAGTTAGAAACCTCCAGGTACTGCAGGCTTCTGTAGTCCCTCCGCTCAAGAGCTAGTGTTGTGTGATAGCATTGTGGCACACCTTTATTAAAAGTGAGTGGTGATATGCTGTTAGTGTGTGGCTTTCTTATTGCCTTGTCTGTTATGGTTATTGAAAAGCTATCATTGCTCATGTGTAGGTAGAGACAGTTTTGTGACCCCCCAGAGCCTTTTATTTTATTGTATAAAGCTTTTACATTTCATTTAGGACTTTCAAAGCACCTCTTCATCGTGGGCAAAGGGCTTCAGTTTCTTTCCCAGGGATGTTGACAGGCATCAAAACCACCTACCCTCCCATTGGTAGACGGCGCATTATCCCCTGTGTTGTGTGATAGCATTGTGGCACACCTTTATTAAAAGTGAGTGGTAATATGCTGTTAGTGTGTGGCTTTCTTATTGCCTTGTCTGTTATGGTTATTGAAAAGCTATCATTGCTCGTGTGTGGGTAGAGACAGTTTTGTGACCCCCCAGAGCCTTTTTATTATCTCATATTTCATTTAGGACTTTCCAAGCACATCTTCATCGTGGGCAAAGCCTAATGTAGGCTTCAGTTTCTTTCCCAGGGATGTCGACAGGGATCAAAACCACCTACCCTCCCATTGGTAGACGGCGCATTATCCCCCGAGTCACCGCCACCCCTAACCCACCCCTAGAGCTTTTGTTTTTGAGCATTCACCCTTCATTGTATAGCAGTGATGCTCTTAATAAAGTGTCTTCTTTTGCCTTGTGATAGACGTCAGGACGAGGCACTGGCACCCCCTCTCAGAGAGACCAGGACCTCCAAAAAGAGAACCTCCATCTGGCCTCTGAGAACCTGGAGCTGCGCTTTCAGCTGGAGCAAGCCAACAAAGACCTGCCAAGACTCAAGGTAAACAAAACCTCATGAGAGAAGGAGTTGTTCTGTGCTATATCATTGATTGATATACCAATGGCATCCTATAGCGCATGCTGGTATGTACAGTAAGGCGTGTGAAAGACACAATGAAGTCGGGCCCTCAACAAGAGCCAAGCTGAAGCCAAAACCATCACCAACAGTTATCTCATTTTTGTTGCAAATACTAATAATGTAAAGGGGACAATATATTATGTTGGGGATTTCATATTTCTTCTAAAAAAAATAACAATATTAAGAAATCCTTCCCCCATCATATTAAAAGAAATGAAAGCCAAAACCAGATTTGTTCTTGGCGCTGTGTCCACTGTTTTTCATCCATTGCTCTTGGACACGTTCTGTGTATCTTTTTACATTGGCTTTTATTTCAATTTGAGATGTGTGTGATGTGTTCTGTTCTTATGTTTGTTCCGTTCAGGACTCCATGTGGTCTGTGTTTTGTTTTTATGTTAACCTTATGTTTCTGCCTCATGTGGGTATTGTATTCATGTTTCTGTGGTCTTACATTTTAACTTTTGTTCTTACTTGTGAAGCACTTTGTGAATTGTATTTCTGTAAAAGGTGCTATACTAAATAAACCTATTATTAAAGGTGGGGTATGTAAGTTTGAGAAACCGGCTCGAGAAACACTTTTTGTTATATTCCATGGAATGCTCTTAACATCCCGATAGCAATGAATATCTTAAGTGCTTTGACAAAAAATCCATAAAAAAATGTCATCTGTGGAAGCCGTAGTACTGTAAAAAGCACGACCAATCATCTGAGCCGGCACGGCTAAAATAACTGGATGGCCTACCTGCCTGTCAGCCTTCCATCTGTGCACAAACTTATCTCGTGCCCTCATTGGTCATGTGCGCGTTCGTGTGTGTTGGAGGAGGGGCTCTGTAAGGAAGTGGCAGATTTTCTCCGGTTGTGTATTTTCAAATTCTAGCGATCTCGAGCTGGTTTCTCCAAAATTACCTACCCTACCTTTAATGTTGCACCTAGTTGATGCCCAGAAATGTCCAGAACACAGCAAACTGAGGAGAAAGGAAGGAAAAGTTGAGAAAAGCTGCGGGGTCTCTGCAAGTACAGACCCCACCACACAATTATGAATAATAATAATAATAATAGATTACATTTGATAGCGCCTTTCAAAGGACCCAAGGCCGCTTTAAATGCTGTGAACAAATAAACAAACAAGATGGGCAAATAATAAAGTAAACATTAAATACATAGCAGTGGGACTGTGATAGGTTAGGGGTCAAAGGCCATGGTGAACAGGTGAAGGATCTTAAATCATGATTGAGACGGTTCATATTGGATTTCCACTAAATTTGACCTTCTAATGAGAACTGGAATTAGTTTTTTGTCAAATCAAAAAGCAAATAAATATATATATATCTATATTAATCTGTACCATGTTTGGTTTTAGAAACAGTATTTTCAAATAATGTGTTAAAATAAATGAACTTGCCTTAAACCAAACACGACTTAAAGGGGACCTATCATGCAAAATGCACTTTTGTACGTCTTTTATACATGAATATGTGTCCCCGGTGTTCCAGGGAACTCACCAAGTGTCAGAAAACACAACCCTCTCTATTTTCCTCCATACCCAAATCTCTAAAAAAGGGGCTGCAACGGATCTGATAAAAACTGATCCAGATTTGAACACTGTCCTGACGTCAGGACGGTGGCGCTACGGCTATTGGGCCAACTCCACCAATCAGGAGGAGACAGCCACGGCCATTGCCGTTTGAAAGCGCTGGAGACGCTGTAGTACATATGCCAGGCCAGTAGATGGTGCTGTTCTCACTGAATCTGCCCTTGCAAAAACAGAGCTAAAAAAAGTCAAATTGAGCGAAATGAGGCATGGCTAAAATGCATGATCTGTTTGGTATTTTGAAAAAAAAAAAAGTATAAATATGCCTTATATAGGTATGGTCCTACACTATATTATTATGATATAGCATGATAGGTCCACTTTAAGTTATAGTGATAAAGTTGACCCCGTAATTTTAGTATCATAACTTACCAAACTTAAAAGACACTTCTCATGATTTGATTTGCCCTTTTTTTCACAGAATCAAGTGGTAGACCTGAAGGAGATGTGCAGCGCGCTGAAGAAGGAAAAGGCAGAGGTGGACAAAAAGCTGATGCATATACGCGGAGTATGTATCTAAAGTCACCTTCCTCTACACATAAGTACTTCCACAGAAATACCATCAAACACATGTCTTTATTTAAGGTGGAAAAACGTTTCATCTACCGAGAAACAAAAATAAAATAAATCAGAAACAGGTTTATCACCAGGTAGGTTGACGCGTACTGTACGAGGAATTTGACTTGATGTCGTGGTGCATACATACAAATTTAAAAAACACAGATAGAGAACTAGAAAAATATTAAAAATAATAATAAATATTGTAAAATATAACAGTATTTACATAGAAATGGAATAAAAATGAATAAAATATGGAATAGAAATCGGCAGTAATAACAAAAAATGATATAGATGAAACTCTGCTGAGGTTCTCCTTTAATATTTAATTAAACAACCTCCTGTTGCATCTGTAGATTATGAAAGATAATCTCATTTGTGTTCCTCATCAGGCCGGTCACAGCGGTAAGACAGTCCCAGAGCTGGAGAAGACCATCGGGCTGATGAAGAAGGTGGTGGAGAGGGTGCAGAGAGAGAATGAGACCCTGAAGAAGTCCGGGGCGTCGTCAAATCAAGACAAGATCTCTGCCCTGGAGCAACACAATGAGAAACTGAAGGTCCGTATCTTCGTGTGAACTATAATTCTGTTTGACATGTTTATATACTTAACTGTTCTGTGTCTACAGCTGACGGTAAATATTGTTGTTCTCTGTAGACGGACTATGAGAAACTGAAGAGTGCCGGTGAAGCTGAGCTGAGATCCAAACTTGAATCTAAAACCAAAGGACTGGAGAAAATAGTGATGGAAAACGAACGTCTACGCAAGGAGATCAAAAGGGTGAATATACACGTTTAGTTATTGCCTCAATGTGTAAAGACTCCTAATTAAGAGAAGCATCCTAATGTTTAATACTTTTGGAGTTATAAGTCTCTATATTCAAAAAACAGACACAATGTGAAGGAAATGTATCTTTGATGTACCTCAAATAAGTAAAGAGAAAACAGCTTATTTTAAAACATATTGGCTCAAGAAGTAGTGAACATTGTGTAACGTCTCTCTCAGCAAGTTTGTATGAATGGAAATGAGCTTTTTATGAGCAGCTTGAAATGAGAAATGTTGAACTCCAAAGATATGTAGAACTTTTACGCCAAGAATGCTTTTTGACAGAATGTCTGTATGTGTTCCTCATTTGAAATAAAACCCCTCTGAACACATGATTACTCCTCTTGTTATCCCACCTGGGTATGCATGTTTGATATGGTTACAGGCAGAGGTGGGAAGTAGTGGAGTTCAAATACTTCGTTACTGTACTTAAGTACCTTTTTCTGGTATCAGTACTTTACTCCACGACGACTTTTTACTTTTACTTCTTACATTTTGAACACAAACACCTGTACTTTCTACTTCTTACATTTTGAACACAAATACCTGTACTTTCTACTTCTTACATTTTGAACACAAATACCTGTACTTTCTACTTCTTACATTTTGAACACAAATACCTGTACTTTCTACTTCTTACATTTTGAACACAAATACCTGTACTTTCTACTTCTTACATTTTGAACACAAATACCTGTACTTTCTACTTCTTACATTTTGAACTCAAATACCTGTACTTTCTACTTCTTACATTTTGAATTCAAATACCTGTACTTTCTACTTCTTACATTTTGAACACAAATACCTGTACTTTCTACTTCTTACATTTTCCAAACAGGCTGGTTCCTTTAGTTTGAATGTGTGTTTGGTGGCGTGATCATTATTATTTAGAGTCATTGCGTGCCTATTGATTTGAACACGATCCGTGTATCCATCATTTCCTGGTCTTCTCTAAAGAAGAGGGACCAATGAAAACGTTGTCATGTTGCCGTTGTTCAGCATGGAAACATTCATTAGCTAACAATGACATTATTGTTCTATTAATATAAAGGGAGGTCAGGTACTCTTTAAAACAGCTGCTAGTTATGGGTACTTTTTACTGAAGTACATTTCAAAGCCCTCTTTACTTTTACTTGAGTAAAGAAGTTTTCTACTTTTACCAGAGTATTTTTAAACACGAGTATCTGTACTTCTACTTGAGTAAAGGATGTGTGTACTTTTGCCATCTCTGGTTACAGGAGATGGAAACTGTGGAGAGGATGAAGGTGACGAAGGCGAGTGTGGAGGTGACCAACGAGAAGCTGGAGGCCGAGCTGGAGGAAACGAAGCAGAGACTGAGAGCCTCTCTCTCCAAACCCATCTCTGAGGGGGCCGGCAGCAAGACCTCGAAATCTACCGTGGTGACAAGGTCAGAAAAATGTTAATAAATCCTATCTGTTAGTCTTATCTTAGGGGGTGTGGTTGGACAGTTACATTTGGTAAAACTGCAGCAGTAGAGATATATAGTCTTTGAGCATTAGGGAAAGCGCTATAAAAATCCAATGTATTATTATTATTATTTAATGTAACCTTATTGTCACTGTTACTATAAAGTGTTCCTACCTAATTTCCTATTAATTTGACATTATATCCTTGTTTTCATGTCTATTTACTTGTTTTAAAACACTTGACATTATGTTGAAACTGCAGGCCTTAAGGACAGTCTACTGAGTGTGATCTAGTGCTTCTTTCACTTGTGTCCACAGAATGTTTGAGAACAAGATGAAGGAGCTGGAGAAGGATCTTTCCCAGAAGACCTCCAGCCTTTCTGAAGTGAAACAACAGCTGAAGGAGGTGAAGGAGCGTGAGGAGAGCGCGCAGATAAACATCCGGAAACTGGAAGATCAGGTACAGGCTAGATCATTATTGTACATATTAACAGCAGTGAGTTAGGGGATGTGTCATTTGGCCTCAAGCTTGTGTCAAATATGGAATAAAGTATAATATACATTTTCCTTAGGTTGATATGTTGAAAAAGTTCCCTTCAGCCGGAAAGACAGAACGTGGATTTACCAAGGAGCTCCAGAAAAAGGGGTTTGTTAAAAGTGCAACGAGTAGTTAACTACACACCTGATAAAGTGATATAAGGGCGGGGTGCAATGTCATAGGGATATGTCAAAAAATATGAAAGAAATCATAGTATAATATGACCAAAACATAGAAAATGTTAACGCTGTCATAGAAAAGTATGTTGAAAAAGTCATAGAAAAGTATGTTGAAGATATTTGAAGATATATCATAGTATGTCGAAAAAGAAAGAAAATATATCACAGTATAGTATGTCGAAAAATGGGAAAAGTCATTATGGAAGGCACTATTAATGACAAACATGTCATTGCATGTCCATTTTTGGGGTAAAGAGTAATATTATAGTATGTCAAAACATTTTGAAAAATGTGTAAAAGTATCGTTTTTTCCGTACTTTAAAACTAATATGTTGTTTTTTAAAACCTAAAGATTGTTAAGCAGTGATCTGGAGGAGGAGAACACGGAGCTGAAACAGAAGCTGAACACGTACAGTGAGCGATACGGGGAAACATCCTCTAAACTAGGTGAGACTTCAGAACACACCAATGTTCATTTAACTAAAGCTGTGAGATTGATTTGACCTCTCTTAATTCGGCTGTCGTTTACAATACACTTAAATTGAAAATGTCTCTCTTTGGGATGTAAATGTGCAAGTTTTGGCCAAGATATTGTTTTATCTTCACGCTCATCTGTATATTTTTCTTACTCTCTAATGCTGGATTATTTCTATTTTGAGATGTTTCTGTTAGACTTGTTTATTTCTACTTTTAATTTGTTATTATGTGCCATGCCTTGTTTTGTTTTATGCTGTTTTCCTAATTGGGATCAGTAAAGTAAATGTTATCTTATCTTAGACACATCTTTCATTTACAAAATAGAACAAACATGTAAGAAAATGTCCGTAAAACGGTTTTGTAGATGTTGAATGAAACGGCACATTATGACCCCTTTCATTCAAAGTGAGCCATGATGTCACATGTAATAATAAACAACAATAATAACTCCTGTTGTCTCTCGTTGTTTCCTCAGACAACGGTGCGCTCAAGCAGCTCCTTCACGTCGCCCAAACGGAGAAAACACAACTCCAGACGGAGGTACAAAAGCTGAAGGGAGAGCTGGAGAACTTTGACCCGTCGTTCTTCGAAGAGATCGAGGACTTGAAGTACAACTACAACTCCGAGGTGACGAAGAACATCCTGCTGGAGGAGCAGCTGAGGAAAGTGTGTGAGAAGTTCGGAGTGGAGGTGGAGCTGCCCATCGTCTCCGTCAGTTAACTCGGGGTACTGTGCCTTTAAATTGAACATATCTTATTTGATTAGCATGTTTGCCTAGAATAACTATTATGTTGTTCTTAGCAACGGGACTTTTTTACAATGTGGATTCATTTTTGCAGCGTAAAACATAGGTTTGTAAGTGGGTTAGGGTTAGTTAGAAAAGTAAGAAGAAGTCTTTAGATATTGACTTTCGGCACTATGTCGATGTCCAGCCCTAAAGATTTCTCTAGACGAGAGACACATTGGATTTTAGAGATTCAATACGATTGAAATAGCGCTGTCCACTTAATCATGAATAAAATCAGTAAACAGTTACGTAGCATCTCAGGTTTTCATGAGGCAGCTATTTTGTCTGTTACACAGTTCTTGGTTTGTGTAGCATATTTATTTATTTATATTGTTCTTCTGTATATTTGTCAATAACGCAGATTTTATACTTATCAGACTGTTGAATAAAAACCAGTTACACGTAAATATGTACATACTCGTCGTTTATTCTTCACTTGGCTATGAAAGATACAATATTTACAGATAATCATTGGAACATTTGGTCAAGTCGTTTCTGCAAAGCCAATGGAATTATTGGCGACATTATCGAGCTGCTTTGGTCGATGGTCACAGTCGAAGCTCTGGGAGAAAAGGAGCGTTTCAGTCTCTGTTTACGAGTCAAAGAGGACGTCCTGCAGTCGGCTGAAGCGCTGCCCGTTGAGTCTGCAGAACGATGAGAACAGGTCCTTCCTGCCGGTGTTTTCCCCCCCGACCACGCGCACGACCACCGGCCGCTCCCCGAGGCTCGCCCCCCCGTCCGGCCAGCGCAGACCCAGGTGGTGACGGTGCACCTGCAGATCAACCAGATAACATTTAAACGCCTTCAACGGGATTACAGGTAGTTCAAACATTATATTAGATGTTAAATAGCTGATGGTATTATCAACAAAAAAATATTATCGAATGTGAAATTAAGTCAGTATATGTGAAAAAGATCCTGGTATTATATTTACAAAACATATTTACAAATGTTGTTTCTCAAAATAAAACTTTTTTTGTTTTTGTTTAAGCTTTATACCCCAAATCAACACTTTTGAAACAGGAAGTGAAATAGAGGGATATGAGGCATGGCTAGAATGGGTGATCTGTATTTTGAGCAAAACACTTCATAGACATATTTTTTATATATTTGTATATATCTGAGACCTATGCTATTGCCTAAAAATAGCATGATAGGTGACCTTTAAGTGACCTCACACTGACAGTATCTCAATGAAGTCTTCTCACCTTGATGAGCGTGCCGTCGCTGCAGTGCCACACGAGGCCCTCCACCCGGCCCCCCGGACCCTCCCTCAGCCACGAGCTGATCTGATGGAAGTCCACCGGGGGGGGGGTTTCTGACCCCGAAGCTCCCGTGAGACACCAGGCAGTGCAGAGGCTGCTTCTTACTGCCCAGACCTGAGGACACACAGCGGGGTTAATGAGAGACAATGCAATAATGTCTTCATATAGTACAAATGTCTCCGTTAAACATTCATTGTCTTGATTGGAAAATATTTGTATTATATTAAACTAAGTATGATATGTTATAAAAATGTGATGAAGAGGATGCCTTTCTTTGACATACTATACAATGGATGTTATTGTTAAATATTCAACTATGGAATTTGTCTTTGCTTTTTTTGTGAAATACTTCATGACTTTTTTATGACTAAATTCAACACAGTAAGAAAACACAACTTCACTAAGAAGAAAAAAGTCTTCACATAATATTAAATGTGGCATTGAAACAGGGACATAGTTGTAGGGACTCAATTATCAAATCTTAAAAAATATATAAAATAAAAGTTAATATTTGTCCTTCAAGGAATATAGACTTGACTGTATGTCGAAAAAATTGGAAAAAAGGCATAGCATGTCAAAAAATGTGTAAAAAAGATAACAGGTAAAGTTACGTATACTACCAAAAAAATCATAGTGTTCAAAATGTGGCATCGGGAACATAATTGTAGGGACTCAATTATCAAAGCCTAATCTTAAAAAATATATAAAATAAAGGTTAAGGTTTTAGATAGACTTGGGACTGGTTTGCTTTAAATATGATAGATATTTAAGGTATGCCGCCCTGGACACACAGCTTTGGAATATGGGAGATTCTACAGTAAATGATCCAGCATCGATTTGAGACGCCTTTTTGAAACCCAGCATTACCCGGGAAATACAATCATTTTAAACCACTAAAGAATGTCAGAAAAGGTGGAAAAATAGCATATTATAGTAGGTCAAAATATTTGAACAAAAGTCATAGTATCCCCCGGCAATATAATGATTTAAACCACAGTGTTTTTTTTTTTTTTAAATTGACAAACACGATCTGGCGTTTGAACAACCACTTGCTCAGAAATCTCAGATGAACGTTATAAAATGTGTTCACCATAAGGGTTCCCGTTGACGTTTGTTCCGATGAGTTCCAGAGTTCGCTCCATCAGGTCGGCCAGCGGCACGGCAGAGACTTCCAGCTCCTCTTCATCTTCATCTTCATCACCACCAGGCCTCAGAACCAGAACCGCCCCCCCCTCAGGGTCCAGCACCGAGCCGTGCCAGCAGTACTGCTTGTTGTCTTTCTGCACCGGGACCCAGCCTGAACACAAGGGCTAAGTTAGAGCTGCACGATATAGAGACACGATAATGATGTGAGTTTTTAGGAGGATCTCTACACCCTGTATTTCTGTCTGAGCTACACTCGGTTATAAAACTCTCCCTGAAGTAAAGCTGTATTTACTCTGCAAATGGTACCATAAATATAACCAAATTCAGAATTATAGTCCATAAATGTATAAGCAGCTTACACTGTTGTGGTAAGCAGGGTGAGGTCATTGTGTTTTATGAAAATTAAACACAGCTGTTGAATTATGCTAACTAATATGGGATTCAATCTTCCATGAAGTTAAAATAATGTGGCCTGCAATACCACATTTGGAAACGAAAAATGGATGATGAATATAAATCCAAACACATGTACCTAGCACTTGCAATTTGGACTTTTAATAGTTTAGAGTTTAAAGGTGATTTTTCCATTACTTGGTGAGTAATGGGCGGCTGTGGCTCAGTGGATAGAGTGCTGGACTTCGAATCAGGGGGTACCAAGTTCGAGTCCCATTGCAGTCAGCATGTCGTTGTGTCCCTGAGACACTTCACCCCAAATTGCTCCTGTGAGGATTGTCCACAGTACTGAATGTATGTAAGTCGCTTTGGATAAAAGCGTCTAACAAATGACATGTAATGTAATGTAATGGTCGTCAGTACCTGGAATGTGTCCGTGTTCGTCGGGGACCGGATGTCCGTTGAGATGTTGGACTCTGTGAGCCGGGATCCACGCCTCCGGAACAATCTTAAAGTCCTCCTCTACGTCCCACGAGAAACCTGGAAACCAAACAAAACGGGTTTAATCTCATTTTCGGACAGAGCAACCGTCCGAAGAGAATGTACTTAAGTATTGAAGAAAGATTTGGTGCACCAATTAGATCTGACTTTTTGATGGCAAACTATACTAATACTCATTCATAATATTGCAAAAGTATACTATAGTTTTACTCTTTATTTGAAATGTTAACACCATGAGTTATTATGTGTTAATAGCATGAAATAATGACGTTTTTTTTACATTTAATAGCATACTGTAGGCTACTATGACTTTTTAAAGAGATTTTGTCTGTGTTTAAATAACAGAAATATAACGTGCCATTTATTTTAGACATTTAACAGCAAACCTTATTATGATTTACAAACACTGTAATGACATACTATACATATTAGCTCTATTTACTATTATTATATTTGTTCTTTGTATGTAACAGAAGCTTATCACCTTTACAGCTGCGGTGTTGGTGCTGGTGTTTCTTGAACCTCTTCTCCGCCTGTTTGTTGGGCTTCCTGTCGAGGCGAGCCCACAGGTGAGGACGCCCTGCAGGGAAAACACGAAACAGTCACTTTTGAGTCCTCTCTATTGCGGAAAAAATAACAAAACTAACTGAAAAAGTGACTTCTAGAGGAAGGATTGTTTCTTTTTTAAGACAAATGGAGTACTTAGATCAATGCTAGTATGCTATTTTTTTGTTGTTTACCAAATATTTCAATAACGATATTGCAACAGTTGTCCCTTTGGGGCTTTTACTAAATATTGATACGGTGATATAAGGACTAAGTGGGTAGAATAAAATAATATCAAATCTAGAAAATGATATTACTTTTCTATAGTGCACCAGGGAAAGACAGCTCTTACAACATTACAATAACCAAAATATACGATAATATCAAGTCTCATATCACAGTACAGATATAGTATTATTATTATTATTATATATTGCCCGGCCAAACACAACTCTCACTCCTTCTCCAGAGGGCTTCTATGTGATTATTGTGGAGATGCTCACCGTTATAAAGTGTAACGTAGCAGCAGGTGCCGTCGATCTTCTCCGTGGCGACGGCACCGTGGATGTCGGCCTCCAGAGCCACGGGGTTCAGGGTCTCTGTGGCCACGACCTGGAACTGCTGATAGGAGACAGAGAGGTTCAGTTAATTCAGAGGAAAAATATAAAAACTACAATGTTAGTTTTACTACAATTCAATTTACTCCCAACATTAGTGTCACGTGGTAATAATATGATTATAAAACATATTTTGGTTCATTTCATATAGATCTATCTGTGAGAAAAATAGCAGTTCCTAATTTGCAAGTATTTTTTCCATATCCTGTTCATGACTAATTGACTAATTCAAATCTCAGCAGCATTGTATTATTACACTAGACACATAAAACACATTTGTTGTGTTTTAGTCCACCTATTATTATATATGACTATTTTTAATTTAATCTGCATTTTTCAATCTCTAATTTATTTGTAATAGCTTGAATGTCATGTGACCCAGTGACTCCAAAGCATTGTATTGCATTACACTGGGCAAGTACATCACTGTAAGTCAATGGTAAAGGAGGATGGTGCTGCATCACTGAGGAGAGGAGAAAATGCGTCCAAGTTCAAACATAAGCGTACTGTCTAATAAAACAAAAACGACCTGCTTTTTCTTTATTTTATTTAATAAGAAACGCATACACGTCCACCCTTTGTTTTTGCTCTATCAGCTGCAGTCTCTAGATGTTTCTGGGTGTCTGCATTCACCTGACAGTCGCGTTTTCTGGACGGTTCCTCCTTCACCTCCGTGAGGAACACGCACGGGATCTTGTGCTGCACGGAGCCCAGAGAGCGCATCTTCCTCAGGGGTTATTATATATTTAATATCCACCTGGTGCTGTTTATATCTGTTCCCACGGTGTGATGATTCTAGCATGGATGTTGTTGATTAAACATTTCTGGTCATGTGACGCGTTCTTCTTCTAGGCTTCATTTTGCGGTTGTTATTCGACGCTTTTGGCGCATAGTCACCACCTGCTGGACAAAGGAGAGTGGAGGATAGTAGACAGACAGACAGACAGACACAGACACAGACAGACAGACCTGTATTAACCCCTGTGGGGAAATGCAGGAGTTTAAAGCAGCAGCAGACTCTCGGTATGTTCCATTGTTGTTGTTTTGGGTATCAAATCATGGATTAACAGCAATGTAAACATGTTTTTTTTACATATTTGTTGTTATTATGTAGTGTAGGTACATTTGCACATATTTACTTATGTGAGTGTACACATTTTAATTCTAATTTATGTTTATTTTTAATTTTACGTTATTCTAAAATTGAGCATCAGTCCAAAAAAAAACATTTCCCCTTGCGATAAATCGAGTATTCTGGTTTTGAATCTGATTGCTTTATACAACTGGTGCCTTTTCAGCCAAATACGGACAAATACATATACTTAAAACAGATAGTTTTTAAAGGTTTGAAGTGTTTCTGGGTCAGAGAACACCAATCTATGACCCCTTCTACTCTGCCAAAGCCCCTCTTACCTGTGGGGTTCCCCAAGGCTCGATTCTGGGCCCCATCCTTTTTCTACTGTACATACTGCCCCTAGGTTCAATACTCACAAAACATAACATTCCCTTCCACTGCTACGCCGACGATGTACAGATCTATCTGCCTCTCAAAGCAAATGTCACACACTCACTACAGCAGCTGATGGACTGCTTAGCAGAGATAAAATCCTGGCTGAGCAAAAACTTCCTCAACCTCAACGAGAGCAAGACTGAGGTCATCTTTTTTGGACCGCAACCTCCAGCCTCTCCGGTTGATATTCTGGGCTCTATCAAAAAAAACATCCTCCCCTCGGTCATGAACCTTGGAGTGACCTTCACTAGTACTTTTAAATTCGACAAGCAGGTCAGCACCGTAGTAAAATCCTGCTTTTTTAAAATAAGACTATTGGCCAAAACCAAGTCGTATTTATCTTTTAAAGACTTAGAAAGGGTTATTAACGCCTTTGTAACCTCGAGACTGGACTATTGTAACGCTCTGTATGTGGGTATGGACCAGGCCTCAATCAAACGCTTACAGCTAGTCCAAAACGCTGCTGCACGTTTGCTGACTGGTCACAAAAAGCGCGACCACATCACCCCTATTCTGGCCTCACTACACTGGCTTCCAGTTCGGTTCAGAATTGATTTTAAAATCCTTTTATTTGTTTTTAAAGCCCTAAATGGGCTGGTTCCGGCCTATATAGCTGAACTGCTCCAGCGCTACACCCCAGCCAGAGCTTTAAGGTCTGCTGACCAGCTGCTGCTGGTAGTGCCCAAGACCAGGCTAAAAACCCGAGGGCACCGAGCCTTCGCAGCAGCTGGCCCTAGGCTCTGGAACACTCTGCCCCTCCATGTGAGGTCGGCCCAGACCCTAGGGGTTTTTAAATCAAAACTAAAAACACACTTCTTCTCTCTGGCTTTCGAGTTAGAGTGGAGCACGACTCCTGACTTTTCCGTGTGTTTTATTTTTATTTTGTTTTTTAAGATATATCTGTTGTAATTTATTGTCGATTATTGTGTTTTGTAGTAATGTGTTTTTATTACATGTACAGCACTTTGGCTCGACCAAAAATCGCTTTTAAATGTGCTTTATAAATAAAACCTGATTTGATTTGATTTGATTTGATTTGAGAGTTTACATGGACATTACCTGTCTTCTGTTACCCTGTTGTTCTGCAGCGTCTCTGCTGCACCTCATTGTTGTCAGGCCTAAAGGAAGAGTTCCCCAGCCTCTTCCTGTTTGCTTCAGACGGAGACAGACGCATGACAGCGTGTTGCATGGCACACATCAGAGGAGAAAACACAAAATACACGCCATCATCTTTGATCTGTCTTTATGTTCAGAGGTGGTGACACAGTCAGAGATCAAACCTCAGACCCTGACAGACCTGGGATCAGTCACTTCATACACTGGGATCACCTGTACCCTCTCTAGATGCTCCTACTTCCTAGAGCTTAAGGGTCAAAAAGAGCTCTGTAGCCCTCATTTAGATAGATAGATAGATAGATAGATGGATGGATAGATAGATAGATAGATAGATAGATAGATGGATAGATAGATGGATAGATAGATAGATAGATGGATGGATAGATAGATAGATATATATATGGATGGATAGATAGATAGATAGATATATATATGGATAGATGGATAGATAGATAGATAGATATACAGATAGATAGATGGATAGATGGATAGATGGATAGATAGATAGATAGATCCCGGAGATAGCTTACTTACTTATTTTCCCTGAATGTGTACTTCTGTAAAACATTTTTCTTAATACTATTCCTGCCTTTTTATCTAATGGTGTGTTATATTTTATTTTTCGTCTCTATCTAAACTGCTGTAATGATTGATGGTATTTGTATAAGCTGCTTAGAGCTGGTGTCATACAAGTCATACATTTATGTATCATTTCAATTTTATATCGCTGCAAAGCTTCTCTTTAAACAACTATATTGATTCAGGTTTCTGGACAATCGTTTATTTTACGAGAGTACATTTGAACGCATCGTGATGGTGATGACGGCCAAGCAGCACCTCTAAAGCAACACATTAAATAAACTAAAATGTCAAACCAACATTGATCGGTACAAAAACGAGAAAAAGACTTGGATGAATATCTGGGTCATTCACTTTTAAGAAAAGGTATATCTGTCAAACGAAAATACTTACAAATTGATGGATATTTGAGACATTTGTGTGATATCAAGGAGCCTTGATGTCAAAAATATTTGACACTGAAATCAAACGTCTTCATTCTCATCTCAATTCCCTCTTAATGCTCTACATTATATCCCAGGAACTCGTACCTTTAAAGTCTGCATGCTTCTGTAATCTGTGCAGGAAACCTGAGCATGGTTAGCGTGTCAGAGGCCTGTTAGCATGGAGCGTAATCTCCTCTGCTGTATTTAGAGTCACATGCTGACAGCGAGGATGCTTTATGGTACAGTGGAGCAGGAGTTCAGCATGCCTTACCTCCATGACTGAGTGTGTGAATAATGGAGCTTCCTCTCAGCTTCAGGCTGCAAACACAGAGGGGCCAGAGGTCACATTGCCCATGTCAGGAATAGCATCCTGAGTCATTACGGGTGGATAAAGCATGATTTAGCGATACAAGTGTGACCATTTATTTCATGCAAAAAGACAGTCATCCTCAGGGACAAAAGGAGATACATGTCATTAAACATTTTCTGAGGTCACTGGTCCGAAGCCAATTATAGACGTTAGTTTTTCTCAGAAATATCTGTAAATTAGTTTTTTTCCCTCGTAAAACAGTTTAAAAGTATATATAATCAGTTAAAGTAGCTGATTACTGTTACTGTTAACATAGTGGAGTCTGTTTGTCATTAATGATGCCATAATTATGATAGCATTATAAGTTGTTCTGTGTTCGAAAGAAAGATTATTATGTAAAGACACTATATCCAATCATATGTATTAGTTAAAGAGGATATATTCTGCTCATTTTTAGGTTCATATTTGTATGTAGTGTCTCTACTGTGACATGTCTCCATGCTTTAATGTTCAAAAGGCTCTTTATTTTTCTCATACTGCCTGTGCTGCAGCACCTCTTTTCACCCTCTGTCTGAAACCAGAGCCCAGTCTGCTCTGATTGGTTAGCTGGCCGTCTCTGTTGTGATTGGTCAACAACTTAGAGATATCCCGCCCCTTAGTCTAACACGTACAATGTGTTGGAGCGCTAGCCAATAGAAGTGCGAGTGTTACACTATGAAGTAAACAAAGGAGTCCGATCGAGGCGTTTCAGGCAGGGATTTTGGCCTTTACAGACCATTTATGGCGCATTTCCAATACAGCGCGGAGCGCGGTTTAAGCCTGCTGTGCCGTGCCCGGCACGTTTTTGGTTGCGTTTCCACTAGGCGTAGTTCCGGCTAGCGGGTACTTTTTCACAGTTTTTCTGGCCTCATAAAATCGTGGGTCTAGGGCCAGAGACAACGAGGCTGAGTCGGGCTGAGTATGCTAAACTAGTGAGAGAATCGCTGGCAAGGGGGCTACAACTACAACAAGATGGACATATTTGACCGTGATTTAATTGTAATACACGTTTCAAAATGATGCCGAAGTAACAACATACTGATACCGGTTAGTAAAAACCATGAATTAATGCTTTGACAAGTCTGCAGACAGACAGCAGGTGAAAAACCTTTTAAAATGCGTGTTTTCTGAATGGAGATCGGCTAAGCTAACGCAGTATATGCTCCGACCGTCCACACTCACAACAACGGCCTATACAGACATAAATAAAGCAGCGACTGTATTCGCCATGACACAGGCAGTCTGTGGTTTGTACTTGTTTAACTTTTGTCTAGTTTCTGAACAGATATGAGGAGCTGTGAGCTCTGAGTGCTAACAGCTAACGGCTGATGTTGGTTTTGTGTTTCGCATTGAAGATGACGTCACAGCTCCGCCTACACTGCGTTACTATAGTTACTACCCCAGTTCCTAAACTGTAATGGAAACGCAGCATAAAGTGAGCCTGGCCTACCAAGGCCTAACTATACCGTACTAAGCCGTGCGAGGCCCTGCAGTGGAAATGCGCCATTACATGTACAAAAAATTATATAACACACTACATGAAAGGGAAATGGGGTCTCTTTAAACAAAATGTTTGTTAATGCCTTTAGAAACCCTGGTGGTCTGTTGTTCATATGAAAAGGAAGAGATAATGTGATTGATATGATCCTTCTCTGATCTGCCATCACTAATATTACGTTTTGGTCAGGTTTAGCCACAAAACTACTTTGGGAAGTTAAGGGAACAATTGTGGTCATGATTAGAAGAAACCGACGCTGAGGGGGACCGGACGGGAGCGGTGGTCCTGAAAGTCAAACGACTAAATAATGACTTGGCTCTCCTCACGTTACACACAGCAGAGCAGTCATAGTGAAGAAATGTCTCGAACACATCGTCTGTATCTTTGATCTGATCTATATAGTGATACCAATTTTGTCATAAAAGTAAAAACAAAACGTCTTGTTTTTAAGGCATTCTCCAGAGTCTCATTCCCACCTAACCCCCCTTCCTTTGCCCCACATTTCTATTCACACGAGAAGACCTGAAGAACCGCTATGGAGGTCAGGACCTTTATTTCAAATGTTTTACCTCTGGTTCTGAACCAATGTTGAGAGGCAAGACTAAATATGTGAAGATTTCAGATTAAAATGTGTTTATATTTATCGATTCAATATTTATTGCATGTGCACAATAGTTACAGCCTAGTGTTGGCAATGACACATTTCAAGTCCCATGTTTCCGGTGGCCAACACGCTACAACGGCCCAAAACACTTCCATTAGCAGAAACACGCTGCAGTTTCCAATACAAAACAACAACAAAAAACACAAATGTGCCAACACACTTGCAAATAAAGACACATCTTTACCAAATTGATAACACATACGCAGCGTTCAATTAAAGTGCTGCAAAAGGAAAAACGTTGGTAAAGATTTGTCTTCATTTGCATGTGTTTTAGCACATTTGTGATTTTTATATTTGCATACAGTAGTTTTTGAAAGTTCAGCGTGTTCCTACTAATGGAAGTGTTTTTGGCCGTTGTACCGCATTTGCATGGGTATTTAGTAAAGTAATAAAGTACAAACAGAGACATAATGGTGAAGGTACAATGGAGGAATAAGACCAATATGTATAAAATATAACAAGACAAAACTAAATGTAAAATGATGTACCATACAGTAGAATAAATACCATAAACTGTAGCGCCCTCATACCACAACAAAGCCTGTACCTGTGTCCCATTCAGGTTCGTCCTCTCATGTTGCCTCATGATTAATAAATGAAGCTCAGTTTGGTGATAGGATCCACCCGTTGAACTCTTGAAACTGAGAACTTCCTTCACTCACAGTCTGAACACAAACTTCAAGCTGGAAGCATCGAGACAATTACAGGCGAAGTGAGAAAGCTGCAGTGACCTGGCTTTGAAATGTCACTCAGAGCCAAATCCCACACTGACCTGCAGACGGCCGGCAGGTCATCGCTAGACGACCGTCTTTCTTTCTCCATGAGCAGCAGTAACTTCAACAGAGGCAGCCGCTTCGGGAACGGGATGGGGGAAGAGGTCAAAGGTCACTCCAGATCCATCCGCAGGCCGGTGAGGGCGGTGAGGCCCGTCAGCGCCGTGAGCTCCACCGGATCCTTCCTCCAGATCAACCACCTGCAGGGAGAGCTGGTGAGGAAGAGGAAGGTAAGGAGCTGGAGACACAAAGATTCAAAATGCATGATAGCCAGGTTTCACAATGATAGTCTTAAAGGGGACCTATCATGCTAAATGCACTTTTTGATGTCTTTTATACATAAATATGTGTCCCCGGTGTGTCGGGGAACTCACGCAGCGTCCGAAAATAAAACCCTCTCTCTTTTCCTCTGAGCTGATCCAGATTTGTTTTCAAGCTAAGGACCCAGATCAGCAATTCTCTAACAGGGCTAAAACAGAGGGATATGATGGGTGTCTAAAATGCATGATCTGTTTGGTATTTTGAGCAAAACACATCATGCCGTCAGCTCCACCGGATCCTTCCTCCAGATCAACCACCTGCATGGAGAGCTGGTGAGGAAGAGGAAGGTAAGGAGGTGGAGATACAAGGATCCAAAGGTTTTCAAGGATTCAAGGATTCAAGGCTTTTATTGTCATGTGTATATAGCTACAGTATAGTTATGACAATGAAAATCTTAGGTCACAGGCTCCTCCAATAGTGCAACACAATAAAACAGAAAATAGTACAAGTAAATAAAATAAAATATTATATAATAGAAATAGAGCAGAATAGTCTATATACAAGTAATTGGAATATTGATATAAGTTGCAAACAGATGAATGTTATGGATGTTCTTTCAAAAGTTCAGGTGTTTTCGCAGTCGAGTGGCGCAGCGGGCTGTGCGTTTGATCATCAGATCAAGGGGGCGTTGGGGAACTCCAGTTCGAAACCCGCTCCCGCCGCCACTGCGTCAGGCCGTTGTGTCCTTGGGCAAGACACTTCACCCGAATTTGCTCCTGTGGGTATTGTCCAGAGTACATGTATGATACTAATGTGTACTTGTAAAGCGCCTTGATGACTTTGAGGTGTGAAGATGGGCGGTGTGGTGCAGTGGGCTGTGCATTGATCATCAGATCAAGGGGGCGAAACCCGCGCCTGTAAAGCCGTTGTGTCCTTGGGCAAGACACTTCACCTGAATTTGCTCCTGTGGGTATTGTCCACAGTACATGACCGTTACATGTATGTATGTGTAATGTGTATCTGTAAAGCGCTTTGGGTCATGGAAAAAGCGCTATAATAAATATAAGGAATTATTAATGGCCTGTGGAATAAAACTTTATTTGAAGATGCATGATAGCTATGGTTTCACAATGAAAGTCTTAAGTCCCAGGCTGTGATGTAAATTAAGTACTTTACATATCATCCATGTAATTTAAAATGAATCAACATCGACTTTTGTTTCACAAGGGAGACAGAAAGTGGAATACGGCACATTTGCTTCAACAAGTGCTATTCCAAAACAAGAAGGGTATGACTTTCCTATTGGTATCTATCCTTAGTTACCAAAAAGCGTCAATATAAGTTATTTGCAGGAACAATAGCTAGTAGTAGAAATGGCGGGCAGTGAAAGAACAAAATGAACTGTTGAAAACAAAATGATGTGTGTTGAATTGTCAGAAGTTGCTAGACTGAGGATGGAAAAAGCTATCCAGTTATTTGTGTGATACTGAAACAACTCGGAAACGCTAACGGCCTTCAAATCATTTAGACATTTTAGAAACAGTTTAAATTCATTTTTCAATTTCTCAATCCTGACTTGTGATTCTGTCTCTTTATAATAGAGAGGTGCAGTGATGACGTATATATCTAGGCCAACCCAGGAGTTAGCATTGGACAGAAGACAATGGGATTTTTCCATTGGATTTGGGGATATTTCAGATGATAGAGTCTGTGGCAAACAAACATTTATGATACTTAGACATTTTGTTCAACAGGACAAACTCAACATATTAACACAACTTTTATAAAACTGCAATTGGCAGAAGTAAAATGCTAACGTTAGGCTAAACACAAACTACATCATGGTCACATGATTCCTGTCAGCACCGCTAAGCTAACGGCAGCTAATGTTCGGCGTAATGACGTTAGTAGTCTCATTTCTTCACTTGTTAGCAACAGCTGTTTTAGTGACACATAGAGGCTTAAGACATTCACCAGCGGAGTATCTACTGACACATTTTATGTCGTATAATACAACCCAGTCTCACGGCATTTCGTGTTATTGTCACGAAATTAATTTAATCTATTGATTCGTGTTCAGCTTAAAAGCAATGTATTTCTATTGGTAGTATGTTTCGTGCCTGCAACACGTCTTTTTGTCCGGTCGGGTCTTGGAAGACCAGAAGCTGTGTGGTTCATAAAAACATGTTCTTACTCAATATCTTACCCTAAGGCTAACCCTATCCCTTTTATTTTAAATTGTATAATGTCGGAGTTCTTTTGCCGTCCGCGAGGAAAAGAACTGGCTCAGAGCCTCAGAATACTGAAATCTGTATTTTTCGTCATCTTTTTTTCCTTCTTATTTGTTATTATTTGGTGCAGGTACGAAACATACTACCAATAGAAATACATTGCTTCTAAAATCGTTCTGGCGAAATCGTGTTGGTGAACACGAATCAATAGATTAATTTTGTGACTATAACACGAAATGCTGTGAAACTGTGTTGGATAATACCACATGAAAATCTCCTAAGCGTGCGTTCAACACAGACCTCATTTCAGGCCTCTAACCAAAAACACATTTGAAAAACCGTTGACTTGAGATCTTGAGATGAGCGACCTCGGAAGTGGTAAAATGCGAACAAATTTCCGGGTTTTAGGAATCATTCCTGCACCACTCTATATTTCAAGGGTTAATCAGGAGTCTTTCTCCTCTGTTCTGAAACATATGCCTCCTGGAAATGTCTAATAAGTACAAAAGGGCACGCTGGCTGCACTAAAGGTGCATTCCGCTCCGAGCACCTGCAGCGTTCCCATCAAACACACTCAGGTTTACCCCATCACTTCATCTTCTTTTGTCTTTCCTGAACTTGGCATTGCGCATTTGCACGACACCATTTTTACCCCATTCACACCAACGGTGTTTCGGGGCCGGTTCGGTGCTGGTGCTTGAAAAGCACCGGGTTTTCCTGTTCACACCGCAGCGGAGCAGCCTCTAAGCTCCGGAATCCGGTTCGTTTCGAGCACCAAAAAGTTGTCCGTGTAGAAGCAAGAACCGCTTACGTCGGAGGGGGGCGAGATTAACCTGAGCTAACAGTTAAGGCGAGTACGGCAAATAAAAGTTGTAACCAGCAGTAGTGCTGAGCAAAGTGACTAGAACGCAACCACACACTTGTAAAAAAAAAACACGCTTTATAAAGTCAGGCAACACTAACCAGGCTTTGTGTGATTCTGTTTATTTGTACCTTACTTTGACCATCCGTTCGCTGTTATTGATCATTGTGGAGAGCAGGCAGACGTTTTGTTTGTTATTATAGCAGCTATCGGATGGAATCAATACATGGGCTGCACAGGTTGTCATGTCCGACTATCACAAGTAGAATCATAATGAAAAATACGCCGGTAAAAAGTGCCTGTATAAAACGGCTTAGCAAGTAGTCAGTTTAGCTTCGGTTGCTATGCTAACATCACCCATGTTATACCAGAGAAACTTTCATAACAGCGTTGTGATGCCAAACAGCGTCAATTCAGACTGACACCAAACAGCGTCAATTCAGACTGACACACATTCACTTAAGGGGAACTGGGGATATGTAACAGCTGCTTGTGTGACAGTCAGACAGTGAATACTTTAGAGCCGTGTGAGCTAACCCGGAGCTAACGGGAGAATACACTCCCGTTGAAGAGCAGTCAGCACTGCAGCGGTCGGTAAATGCCGCTGAAACACATTAATAAACAATGAACCACGGCACTCTGGAGAAAAGTATAAGGTTGGAGAAGTCGTTATTTAATTTAATCTGGCTTCGTATGATTAAAAGCAACGCAGTCCCCGGCCCGTTGTTGTTGTGAGGTGAGCTCCGTTGGGGAGAAAATCAGCGACGTAAACTGTGACGTCATGACGCAGCAGCGGCAGCACCAGTCGGTCTCTGAGCGGTGTGAAAAGAGCCGGAGCTAAACCGAAGTACCGGTTCCGAACCTGAAAAGCTCTAGCACGGAGCTTGAACCGGAGTTGCGTTGGTGTGAAAGCGGTTGTGAGTGAGTCTGGCCCGTGGTGTTGGTGATATGAAGCACCTCTCAGACTTCTGCTGGTGTACATGTGGTCGTCTTCAAGCAGATGAGGTGATGAAAGCCCGTCATGAAAAACACATGTTGAAATACATGCTTGGATTTGTTAGTTCATTCGTGAGCTTGCCCTCAATGCTACGATTAATGTCGGAGCTAAAGCTAGTTGACAGCTAACAGCTCCCTCCTGTGGAGAACATGAAGCCTGTCTGAATGTACAGAGTGAGTCTTCACTTCCTAATGCTGCTTTGAAACTAAAAATATGTGAAGTTATTTAGAGAGTTAAGAAAATAATCTCACTACTAAGTTTTTTTAGGAGCTTTTCTTGCAAGGGTGTCATTTTGTGTTGAAAAATGTTGGGATATAAAGCCTCAAATTAACAGCTTTTTCTTAAATGTAAAAGGTGTATTATTATGAGGTAGATAAATAAGGTGTATCTAATTGTTCTGTGTTAAATGTACTTATTGGTGCATTTTGGTGTCATTTAAGAATTAGTAGGCTAGGGTTTTTTTTCTTTATGAGCTTATGATACCTTTTTATCCAAAGCCAATTTGTTTCTTCTATATTTACATGGCATTGTCTGCTGGCTTATTGTGCGAAAATATTGTTTTTCAACGCATCTTCATCATTTAGTAACAAGATATTTAGAATAAACATTTTTAACAAATTATTATTTTACAAAATAAGACATTTTTAAAAGTATTCCAAAAGTCCCCAGTTTAAATGATACGTATGCATTCTGGGACTATCCATCATATGACATGAACGTAATGACAAATTGGAGATTGACCAGTTTTAAATTGATTTGGGGAGGGGGAAAAATTGAATATTAAACACCCGCATTTCAATTAAATAAACAAAATCCATTTGCTGATGAAAACAATGCAACCAAAAGCACTGAATGGACCTTGTGTTAAAATGTTCTGTCTCAACTACCAAGAAATACTTAAACGGCTATTTCAAAGGTCACAAATGAACTTGTTTGGAGTGAGTTCTCTGTAAGAATGAATCAGTTTGGATGTGATCTTTTCTCAGGAATGCGAGGATCTGAGGAAGGAAAACAAGTTCTTATCGAACGAGATCCACATGGAGCGGATCATGATGCGCACCGAGAGCGAGCTGACCATGAGGAACCTGAGGAACCTGAACCAGGAGCTGCAGGCGCAGGTCAAAGAGGTACATACACACACACACACACACACACACACACACACACACACACACACACACACACACATGATAAAGAACGATACGGAACGATACGGAACGATACGGAACGATTCAGAATGATAAGGAACGATTCAAAACGATAAGGAACGATACGGCACGATACGGAACAATAAGGAACGATACGGAACAATACGGGACGATACGGGACGAGTAAGGAACGATAAGGAACGATACGGAACGAGTAAGGGACGATACGGGACGATAAGGAACGATAAGGAACGATACGGAACGATACGGAACGATAAGGAACGATACGGAACGATAAGGGACGATACGGAACGATACGGAACGATAAGGGACGATACGGAACGATACGGGACGATACGGGACGATAAGGAACGATACGGAACGATACGGGACGATAAGGAACGATACGGAACGATAAGGAACGATACGGGACTATACAATACAATCAGACCTCAATGTCAGATCTAGTTTTTCATGTTTCTTGCATCACAGCAGCTCTATAAAGGACATCAACAGGAACAAATATCTAAGAAACAGGAAACGGACATTTAACAAAACATTACAATCACTGAGGACAATATGCTCAAGCTCCTTTAATTAAAAAAAGAGAAGTATTATTTGAGTGAAGCTGTATATTAAAACAAATGACTCATTTTCAATTCAATTACACCACATACTCCCTCCCTGCCGCCCCTCATTCTGACTCCGAGAGGTTGGAGTCGTGTTACAGTTAGAAGGCAGCTTCTACTGTTTCCTGCATTACTCACTCCAGTATACACACTGTTTTCACACATGTAAATATAACTCATATGTATATGACCCAAATATTTATATATGTTCATTTGAATTAATTTCTTATTTTATAGTTACTTAACTGTATATCATTTTATTTTTATCTTTGATTTGATCTTGAATTGTATTAATCTCTAATCTGTGTGAAGCTGTTTTTCATTCTTCCCCTGTTGCTGTTAAACTACTGAATTTCCCCACGGGGATTAATAAAGGTCGATCTCTCATCTCATCTATAAAATCTATTATTTTACTATATTTTTTATTAATTCTTAAAATAGTTCTCTATCTGTGTTTTTTATGTTTGTTTTACTTTTATGTATGCACAACGACACCAAGTCAAATTCCTCGTACGTGTCAACCTACCTGGTAATGATTCTGATCTCTCTCTCTCTCTCTCTCTCTCTCTCTCTCTCTCTCTCTCTCTCTCTCTCTCTCTCTCTCTCCTCTCTCTCTTCCTCTCTCTCCTTCTCCCCCCCTCTCTCTCTTCTCTCTCTCTCTCCTCTCTCTCTCTCCTCTCTCTCTCTCTCCTCTCTCTCTCTCTCTCTCCTCTCTCTCTCCTCCTTCTCCCCCCCCCTCTCTCTTTCTCTGCCCCCCTCAGCTGAAGCAGAAGCTGTACCTCAGCCAGCAGAGGGTGGCTCTCTGCTCTCAGGCTGCAGACGAGGCGGAGGGTTCCCGAGGCGAGGCGGAGAAGATGAGGAACCTGGCCGAGGCTCGGGCCCTCGGGAGCCAGAGGGACAAGGAGACATCGGAGAGGGAGAGGAGCCGCTTGAGAGAGGAACTACAGCTGCTGAGGAAGGAGGTATCAGTCAGCTGATCTGCACTGTTTTTAGAGATTTGGGTATGGAGGAAAAGAGAGAGGGTTTTGTTTTCTGACACTTTGTGAGTTCCCTGACACACCAGGGACACGTGTATAAAAGACATCAACAAGTGCATTTTGCATGATAGGTGACCTTTAAGCAATAAACTACGGTTAATTTTAACTTTATCTAAAACTACAAATAACCCAATCTCATAATGTAATACTTTGTAAAATAATGTGTAAAATAATGGCGATATAATTTTTCGCCAATTTTTTTTGTCTAATTAAAAACTATCACCGGCCTCACACACTACAGGTGAACATGATGTCAGACACTCATTCACAAAAAGGTGCCGATTATCTAAAACGTTATTTAAAAAACACTGCATTACATAAGTATTTTAACAGTTCTAAGTCATATATTTCCAAAATCATACTTCAAACTCAAGATATATCTTTTAGATACTGTCATTATTTAACCAAAGTCTATAATCTGCTCCAATGTAACTTGTTAGGGCCAGAACGGAGATAATAGGAACAGCAATTACTGAATATACTGTATATCAGAAGCTCCGATAATACACTAACTCCATGCCACGATTCAAGAATGAGTGTTTCTGTTTGACCTGGAACGTTCCACAGCAGTTGCAGATCAAGAGGTTAACATGTGGACTTAATTGACTCATTTTCATCATTTGGTATCTGTCTTTTCTCCCTCTGCAGCACACTGACCTGCAGCTTTCAGCAGCTCTGACTGAGAAGAGTTACTTTGAATCTCAGCTGAAGCTGGACCGGGTCTCTGGAGAGAAGCAGGTTCTGCTGCAGGAGAACCGGAGCACACAGGGAGAACGAGACGAGCTCCGACACAAGCTGAGGAACGTCACGGAGGAAAATGTACAAATCAAACAGAGGTGATTCTGGGACATTTGAGCAATCATTTCATATAGAATCGTGTAACCATATGGATATTCAAAACAAGAAGACATCCCATTAACAAGATGAGATTTAAAGGTCACCTATTATGCAAAATCCACTTTTTCATATATTTTCTACATCAACATGTGTCCCCTCTGTGTAAAGAGATTCTGAAAGATTCTCTCTCTTTTTGTCCTGATCCATTTATATAAAAACCTGTCTGAAAATGAGCTGATCAGATGTTGGCCACTTTGTGATGTCATAACGATTTCTTGGCTTGTATAACCATTAGCCAATCACCAACCAAGGTAACCCCCCCCCCCCCCACCTTATCACCTGAATCTCCTCCTAGAGCACCATTGTGTTCTTTTTAACCAAATCTCTCTCAGAGGGGCGTGGGGAGGGGCTCCTTATTTTCATCTAAAGTAACAGACAGAGAATCAGCACTTTTGAAACAGGGCTGAAACAGAGGGGATTATGGGATGCTGCAATGATCTGTTTGGTGTTTGGAGCCAAACACTTCAGAGACATGTTTTGTATATATCTGAGACCTATAATATATTAATGTAAAACAGTATAATAGGGGACCTTTAAGTAATTAAAAACGGTCTTTCTGCAGTTCTGTAGTACAAATTAAGGTATCCTAGGGTGTGTATTTATACCTTGTGTTCCCAGAGAGATGGACTCGAGACGCAGAGCGGTGGCCTCGGAGGAGGAAGGGAAAAAGGCCAACCAGGCTCAGAGAGAGGCCGAGGCAGAGAGACGTCTGGCGGAGAAAGAGAGGCAGGAGAGGGCGAGCGAGTGTCTCCGCTGGAGGGAGAAACACCAGGAGATCAACGAGAGGTTCAGAGCTGAGGAGGACCTGAAGGCTCTGAGGCAGAACAAATCAGTGAGGAAGCATCTATGACTTTGTTACTCGCACTATTCTACTTCCTTATTTCCCCTATGTCTTAAGTATGTTGCACTGTAAGAGGAAGGCTTGGACTTAAAGAGGCCCTATTGTGCTTTTTGGGGTTTCCCTGTATGTTAGTTTAGTTGATTTGTTTATAGTGTCGTGGACAGTCCCCATTAATCAACTGTCACAAAAAACAGTAAATGGGGCAGCTTCAGCCAACATTGCTAATTCCAGCTGTTGTCCCCGGCCAGATGATAATAGACGTCCCTTATATAGGTTTTTGTAGAGGCACAAAATACAAATATGAACCTGAAAACGAGCAGCATATGTCCTCTTTAAGATTTCCATTACCAACTATGCTGTTGCTATTGAGCATATGACAAAAAAGCCTTTTAATCTTTAAATCTTTGAATTGAAACGCCTTTCTTGTTGTTCATGCTTCAGTAACACTGATGATGCATTTGTTTTGTCGATGGTTACTGAAGATGTTTGTATCTTTGTTTTCCAACAGTGTCAGGCCAACATCAAGAGTTACTTCCTCTGCATGACAGAGAGCAATCAGAGGGTGAAAATTCTCAGAAATCAAGACGGCGCTCCGAGAAGTTTTACGGTGAGTTGACTCCAGCTGTGTCCATGAGGTTATATAGCAAACATGTTTTGTTTTTAAATGTTCTTGTGTCATGTGATTTTGCTCAGGAGGGAGACCCTGTGTTCATCCCCACACCTGAGTGCAGCCCTGAAGAGCCTGAGAGGAGTTCATCCAGGTAACACTGCGGCCACCAGGGGGCGCTCACACTGCACATTACACCCAACATGTTCTCAGGTTAAATCAGTTAGATGTGAACCAAAAAAACATCCTATTTCTCTAAGATTACAGAACACTTTTCGGATTTTTTATTATCCAAATATTTTATGAGCCTAAAAGATAAAAAAAACAATGGTCTTACATTTTATTGAAGCCCTCACATTATTTAAAAAAGCACGAAACCTGCCAAAATAAGAGGGAGATATGGATTTTTCTATACTAATACTGGCAAAAGACTTGCAGAAAAACAAATTGTAAAAGTTCTCAGTCACCAATAAATAACTCACTTATTTTAAAGGTCCCCTATTATACTGTTTTTCATCAATATATTATAGGTCTCAGATATATACAAAACATGTCTCTGAAGTGTTTGGCTCCAAACACCAAACAGATCATTGCAGCATCCCATAATCCCCTCTGTTTCAGCCCTGTTTCCAAAGTGCTGATTCTCTGTCTGTTACTTTAGATGAAAATAAGGAGCCCCTCCCCACGCCCCTCTGAGAGAGATTTGGTTAAAAAGAACACAATGGTGCTCTAGTGCCCCTTTCACACCGGCGCTTTTCCAGCTCCTGCTCGGAGCTAGAGCCTGAAAAGCGCCGGTTTTTCCTGTTCACACCGCAGCGGCGGCGCGTCATAGCTCCGGAATGCGGTTCACTTCCAGCTCCAAAAAATTGTCGGTCCAGAGGCAAGAGCTTCGGAGCTATGACGCGGCGTCTCTTACGTCGAGGCGTGCAGGAAACCTTACTTTGACCATCCGTTCACTGTTATTGATCATTGTGGAGATACATGGGCTGTACAGGTTGTCATGTCCGACTATCACAAGTAGAATCATAATGAAAAATACGCCGGTAAAAAGTGCCTGTATAAAACGGCTTAGCAAGTAGTCAGTTTAGCTTCGGTTGCTATGCTAACATCACCCATGTTATACCAGAGAAACTTTCATAACAGCGTTGTGATGCCAAACAGCGTCAATTCAGACTGACACACATTCACTTAAGGGGAACTGGGGATATGTATCAGCTGCTTGTGTGACAGTCAGACAGTGAATACTTTAGAGCCGTGTGAGCTAACCCGGAGCTAACGGGAGAATAAACTCCCGTGGAAGAGCAGCAGCACTGCAGCGGTCGGTAAATGCCGCTGAAACACATTAATAAACAATGAACCACGGCACTCTGGAGAAAAGTATAAGGTTGGAGAAGTCGTTATTTAATTTAATCTGGCTTCGTATGATTAAAAGCAACACGATCATCGACCCGACGCAGTCCCCGGCCCGTTGTTGTTGTGAGCTCCGTTGGGGAGAAAATCAGCGACGTAAACTGTGACGTCATGACGCAGCAGCGGCAGCTCTGGGCAGTGTGAACAGAGCGGGAGCTGAAAAGGGAAACCGGAGCTGAACCAGAAAAGCTCTCGCTAGGAGCTAGAAAGGGAAAAGCGCTGGTGTGAAAGCCGCATAAGAGGAGATTCAGGTGATAAGGTGGGGGGGGGGGTTACCTTGGTTGGTGATTGGCTAATGGTTACACAAGCCAAAACATCGTTATGACATCATCAAGTGGCCAAAATCTGATCAGCTCATTTTCAGACAGGTTTTATATAAATGGATCAGGACAAAAAGAGAGAGAATCTTTTTTCCTGAAACTTTCAGAGTCTCTTTTTAGTCTTTAGAGGGGACACATGTTGATGTAGAAGAGACATGAAGAAGTGGATTTTGCATAATAGGTGACCTTTAAAGTATCTTTCCCCAGGACTCTGTTGAGGGTCTCGGCCCCGCTCACAGGGAGGGATCACGGTCCGGGTCACTTTGACGAGCTGCCGGCCTTCGGAGGAGCAGAGAGATCCGACTCTGCCCCCCACCCCCGACGGAGCAGGAAGGTGGTCGACTACTTCTGGATCCCCACAGACCAGGAGTAGTTCAAAGTAGTTATGTCAAAACCACAGTTTTTTTTAATAATAACTTAAATGTATAGAGCGCCTTTCAGGGGACCCAAGGTCGCTTTATAGAAAACACAGGAGTAAAACTAAATAAAACAGTGCTGACTTTAGCCCTTATACTTGATTACATAAACAAATTATGCTTCTATTTACTTTTTACGACTTAAAATGTGTCAATAGTTCCTTTTTTGACACCAGAAAATGTTTACTATTCTTATCATCTGTGCTAATAAAAGTGTAAAATAAACACACTTTATGTATTTGTATCTGTGACCTATGACTCCTATGAGTGACCGTAACTACATTTGTTTACTTCTGGATCCCTACAGTTTTTCAGCTCTTATACTTGATTACACCATTACAAATTCTACTTCTTATACTCTTTACAACTTCAAACGTGTCAATGGTTCCTATTTTGACACCAGAACAAATGAACTATTCTTCTCATCATCTGTACTAATAAAAGTGTAACAGACACACATTATGTATTTGTATCTGTGACCTATGTAACTAAACTATGTACAAACTCAAGTTTAGTGACATCCAAGAACTCATTAAGCCAAAAGCATGTTTTTGTACTTTTTGGAGCATTTTGTACAAGAAAAGACCAGCATTCAAACTTGGTTTTCACTTTTTCACACATGCGGTGTGGTCAATGTGGTCAAGGAGAGAAGGTCAATTACATTTTTTAAAGAGGCCCTATTCTGCTTTTTGGGGTTTTTCCTTTCCTCTAGTGTGTTCTACAGGTTTTTGTGCATGTAAATGTTCTGCAAATGCTAAAATCCCTGGATACATGTCACAGTAGAGGCGCTAATATGAACCTGACAATTAACATAATAGGGTCCCTTTAACTTAAAAAACAAAACAAATACAAGCTTACTGACATTTCTTGAGATGTCTGATAGAAACTGTAAGGCTACAGCTACATTTGTTCAGACGTGAAAGTGTGAGTCAATTATTTAGTGTGTAGTCAGGAAAAGAAGGTAAATTAAATGTATTTATTACATGGTTTAGTTGAATACTCTATTCTGATTGGTCAATTCAGAACACGTGACACGTTGTTGATCCAGAACAGACAGACCGCTGTTAAGCACTTATTGACCGTTGTAAAGTACGCTCACATCTGCACAAAGAAGTCAGTTTGATTTAACTGTATACAGTTTGGCTTCGCGTCGGGATCTACCTGCCTGTCAGCCTTCAATCTCGTGCACAAATTTATCTCGTGCCCTCATTGGTCATGTGCGCGTCCGTGTGTGTTGGAGGAGGGGCTCTGTAAGGAAGTCTGAAGGAAGGGGCAGATTTTTTTCTGCTGCGTACTTTCAAATTCTAGCGCACTCGAGCTGGTTTCTCCATTCTTACCTACTCTACCTTTAACTGAAATATAGTAAGAATTATTTTGTAGATGTGAAAGTGTGTTAGAGTTTGATTATATAACGAAAAGCTGTGTAAATAAAAGTCAGAACTACCCTTGGTGCTCATGTATTGAACTTTATTGACATTTTAGCAATAGAAGTGCACAATAATGTTGAATACCTTGCAATATGATCCAAATTCATTGCCTCAGACATATACATGGCTTTTAATGCTTGGGTAAAAGTAAATGTTTCTTACTAATATAACTTGTTATTTCAGTGATGGAAGTGGGGGTTATTATTTATCTCAAAAAGTTTACTAAATTATGAAAAACACTGCTACTCCAAATTCTGGACAAAACAATCTGAAAGCCACTTTTTTAGCAAGAACAGTAGTCAAATAAAAAGATGAATATTTGTAAACCATGTGACGCTTCACAGAAAGAATTTTAATGAATTTATTGTGCTATCAGGCCAGGAACTAATTAAATACTTCATCATCTGCACGGGCTTCTTCTTAGTACATTTCATAAGCCCATCTAACTAAGAGGTAGAAACACAGGCAACTTTGAGACGTTACGGCGGCACAAACATGAGATGTAACGGAAGAGCGACAGATGACGAAGGGGAAACATTACGAAGAGCACTTTTAATAAAACAAAAAAAAGCAGCTTTTTAGTAAGCATCGGTCGACTAAACACACCTTAATTCAGAAAGCTTTTTCCAGCTTATACTACTCTTACATTAGACATACTTCCTTAAATGGCTAAAGTCTTAAGTGTTCACTGTACGGGTCAATCGGCAGCCTGTATGATGTTAATACTATACTGACTAATTTCATTTGTCTATAGGGAAAACCTACATATAAATAAAGCAGTTTCCTACAGAGGGAAAGTTCAGATAATTAAAAAATAAATGTAAATGAAAAAACATGCGATACGGTGGAAAATAAGAGCTTGTGTCTGCAGCCTGTATGATGTTAATAGCGACTAATTTCATTTAATTAAGGGGGAAATATTACAAATAAATAAATCAGTTTCCTACAGGGGGAAAGTTCAAATTATTACAAATTAAATGTAAAGGAAAAACATGCGATAATGTGAGAAATAAGAACGAAAACACACATGGTAGAGCCACTTCAGATTTCATGTAGCTCAATAGGCGACACATGCTGCTCCTCAGGTGTTCTCAAGCTTTCCCTTTCATGAATTCAATGCCAGAGAGAAGCCGCTAAGTGCCACGTGGGAATGGTTACATGAAGAATGGGGTCAAATAAAAAGGAAAGGCGAGTGCACTGATGAATCAGGGAGGTCTTCTACACCATGATGCTTCTTCTTCTTGGGTTTCTTCAGTCTGCTTCGTCCTCAGACTCCTCCTCCTCCGCTGTCTCCAGCCAGGTGAGCCACTGGTTGACCTGGTGAATGGACGTCAAGGGAGAAATCAGTGGCAATAATGATTGTATCTGTACATGAAAACAAATGTGCACATTGTACTACACAATGCAGTAGTGTATTCAAGTAATATTACATTTATATAGCGCTCATCTAGGTAATCAAAAGTCTCTTTACCAAAATAAAAACATTTCTCAAAACAATCAAAGATGAAATAATTGCTTGAAAGGGTTTGGCTGCTGATGGAGAAGTAACATGGTGGTTGTGAACAGTGGAGGAAATGAGGTCAAAGTAATTACTGCAGATGTTTGAGAAACCCTCAGATCCCGCTGTGAGGGCGTCACTGTACCTGGAATAAAGATTTCCCTTTTCCAGGGAATTCTTGACTTATATCTTCTTTCCATGCGAGGAAGGCTTCTTCTTCGATGATCTCCATGTCGTAAAAGTTGACAAAGTAGCGTAGCAGTAAGCCTGAGGGGGAAAGGGGCATTATTTAATATTTTTTTTAAACAATATGGTTCTTCTAGCAACACATATAAAAGCTTTGCTGTTGTTAGTAAGTGTTTTTCAATATAAAAACAATTAGAGTACTTGTAGCGCATCAAAAATATTGGTTTGAGACATTGCTGCTCTCCTTTACACTTACAATATGTTGGGGAATAATTTGCCCTGCATGTCCTCCTTCGCCCTCTGACGCAGCTGACCAGCCTTGAGCAGCCGCTATCTCCCATAAGGAGGGGCTGCCCTAGCATATTGTTGATGTTACCAGTTTATGACCGGGCAACTCTCGGTCAGAGATAGTTATTGTTGTGGGACACCTGGAACACATCCTTCTCGGGGTGTAGATGACCCCGAGCCATAAGCGATAACAAATGTGATTCCGTGTCCTCAGCTGTTTAGTCTATCTATTGAAGAAGGTTGATTATTACACTCTGAACTAGTTAGAACCTGGAGCTACAGGAGGGGTCTTCAGAATTGATTGTGGCATCTCAACCGTGTGGTGAACTCGTAGCCCGTGACATGTCTCGTGAATTCTCCGGCCGAAGCTCCAAATAAACCGTCAGTGTTTGCCATCAGAGCTCCAGTTCTCCTCGTGTCTCTGAGTCCTGACTCCTATTGCTTCAGAAGTTTCCCCCACACAATATATATTTAAAAATACTTCAATTGTGGTTTATACCTGAATTGTAATACTTAAACCAGGGAAATCCATTATTTAACATGAATAAATTAGCATTTGATTATTTCCTTATGACCTAATTCCTTACAGAGTGGACATGTTGCTGCTGCCAGCGCCCTCTGGTGGACAAACTATAGAATGAAGAACGATACCTTTATTAGTCCCACAGGGGGGAAATGTACATTGTTACAGCAGAGCCAAAGACAGCGTCATGTTACCTAAAGCATGCATACAAAAGTATTACAATCTTTATCTGCATAGTGAAGTATGAATGCTCGCTTGAAGTAACGTCTCTCGTTTGTTTTTTTTGTATTTTTGATGGCACTTACTCTTCTCATTGTACCTGTATAATGACAATAAAGGATTCTATTCTGTTTCTAAACTAACTCTTTCCATAACGCGGTTACATTGATCCTCTCTAGTGAAGTGGCCGAGCTGTTGGGGGGGGGGGGGGGGGGGGGGTCTGTACCTTTGGGGAAGGCGCTGGCGTTGCAGTGCACCTGCAGGGCGTAGAGCGCGCTGACCTGCAGCTCGGTGTGGTCGTGGAGGAACTTCTGCATGACGGGCTTGAAGGCGAGCAGCAGCTGCTTCTCCTGCTCCAGGAGGTCTCTGGAGGGCGCCGCCAGCTGCTCCTCGGCCTCCGACACGCTCAGCTCCTGGGAGATGAACTGCAGGAAACTGGGGGGACATCACAGGACGATGGACGGTTACATTAGGAATCTTTCTCAACATGTCAGATCAAGATTCAAGGCTTTTATTGTCATGGGCACAGTAGCTACAGTTTAGTTATGACAATGAACATCTTAGGTCACAGGCTCCTCCAGCAGTGCAACACATTAAAACAGATAATAGTGCAAGTAAATACAATAATAGAATAGAAATGGTGCAGAATAGTCTATATGCAAGTAATTGGAATATTGATATATGTAAGTTACAAACAGATGATGCATGGTTTTGCCCATATGTTTATGTATAGACCTCTGCAGGAAATATGACTTCACCTACTCCTGTATATTCCTTTGTGTACAAAAATATGATTAAATCATTAAGCAATTTTAATTAACTTGCCGACTGTCATTTAGTTATTAAAGCATCTATTCAAGCAAAAAGGACAAATGTGTGCTGGTCCAAGCCTCTGCAATATGAGGATTTGTACCCTTTATTTTTTAACAATTTAAATATATTTTTTTACTGAATGTAGTTTCAAAGAATTGCCCCAAAAAATATTTTCAAATATCACAAAAATGTAAAATATCACCCAAGGTTTGAAAACATTTTAAGTTGTTCTTGTCATTTGTGGACCTTTTCAGTAATATAGAATATAAGGGTGGATGAATCAATATTATAAATAGTGGTTCGTAATTGCACCCCTAGGCATACTTATACTATGACTGATGATGAATGAATGGTTTAACTGAAAATGGTGTCCTTCGCTCACCTGGTCATGAGGATGTTGACAAAGCCTTTGTCGGTGTGGAGCTTGGGCGAGATGTTGTCTTTGATCCACTTGTAGATGGACTGAGGGGAGGGGTCTGCCTGGATCTGCTTCAGCAGCTCCTTCTCCAGCTTCAGCAGCGGGAACAGGAAGCTCAGGCCCTTCCCCTCCAGGATCTCCAGCATGCGGTCTTTGTTCTGATCGATTTCTGACAGAACAAAAGGATCAGTGCTTCAGAAGAGGCGCACGTCGTTTGAGAGAATATTAGTTCAAACTTTTGTCAAAAACATAAAACCATCTTCATTTCAGAAACTATAGTTGAACTGTGTGTTTGTTTACTAGGAAATAGGAATTACCGTGAAAAAAAACGAAATGTTAACAAGGGTCGAAATAGAAATATCACATGGAAGAGAATTGCTTTTTTAAAATTATTTCATTCGTTTGAATACACAATTGTCTTCAGTTTAGTTAACTCTGAAATGCATGTCATTCTAACCATTATTTCACATTGTTAAGTGTCTGTGTTTGTTAGATCTCACCTATTTTATACCCACGTTTGTTTTGTTCAGTCTCAAATATATGTAGCTTGTAAGTTAGCATTAACTATCTCCAACTCTGTTTGTGTTACTAAGATGTATTGTAAATACTGTCTGGTTAGTGTCTGTGTCCATATTCTAAAGCTACTCGTCATCAATTTTTTTGATTTAGGACGTGCGATATTAAGTAGGCAAATTAACTCAAACACGTCATGTTACAATTATTTTGCTGCTTGCTACAAAAGGAAAACTTGCACGGCTCTCATGTCAGGGGTACGTGAGTGACAGCAAACCACCAATCACAATCAAATCTCCAAAGCAACCGGACGCGGTGATCAAAGGTAAAAACAGTGAATAAAGTAGTTTCATGTGTTTCTCCAGGGCAGTTCGGCGCTGCTAACCGAGCTAGCTCAGCTTGTTGCTCTGATAACTTAAGATCCAGACGTCCGTGACTAAAATCCTTCATCCGGTTAAATATAGTTAGAAAAATACCAATTGTATAGCATTAAAGTTCAAGAAAGGATGGTTTGCGGACAAAAAAAACTGTCTTTTCTTCAATTCCTGTATTTTTTTCATATCGCAGGGGGAAAATATTGCAATGTCAGTTTTTTCCAATATCGTGCAGCCCTAATGAGTGTACTTGTATATTTTGAACTGTTTAAAACACACGTAATAATAATAATACATGACACTTATATAAAAACTCAAAGACGCTTACATGTGAATTGAATGTGCGTATGACCCCAGGTAGAAAAGCCAATGCTGATGCTAGTGCTAATGTGGATTATGATTAGTGAAAGGTCACATCTAAGATAAGATAAGATGGACCTTTATTAATCCCCGCGGGGAAGTTCAGTAGTTTAACAGCAACAGGGTGAGGATGAAAAACAGGACAGCTTCACACAGATTAATACAATTACAGATGAAATCAAAGATACAAATAACTATGAAATAAGAAATGAATTTCCCTGTTGTGATGTGTTGTGAAAATACTGAATGTACTCTTCCAATATCAGAGTAACATGATAACAAAGGTATCCCAACTGTAGCTGTGTACATGACAGGATGTATGATTACCTAGAAGAGCATCAGGACTGTTTTAGGCATATGATAGCTATGTGATTAACATGATGATTCAGCCTCTATGGAGATAGACATATGACAAGCATGATCATTTCTGACGTGGAGCTAATCTGAAGTAAACATTGAATACTGCTTTCTATTCCTCCATCTTGTGACTGTGTAACTCCCACTCTTGGATATCAGCATGTGAAGGACACTGTTCAGGAACTAGTTGATGCTCTGTATGTGATGACTACTTCAATTCTGGAGAGGATCAGAAATACATGGATCCTGAGATTGAAGCTCAAGCCGGGGACGAGTGATATTTTCCTAACAGGATGCATTAGGGCAGAGAGGTGTGAACAGTGTGGATCAGTACCTGGGAGCATCTTCTGCATGTTGACCTTGCTCTGCTGGAAGATGTCGGTGAGCCACTCTCGGTCCTTCAGCTTGGTGGTCTGCTGCAGGCAGAGCAGGAAGAGGGGGAAGTGCGTGCCGTTCTCCAGCGGGTGGGCCAGCTCCGCCACGCTCACCAGCTCCGCCATGACGGCCCGCGCCGCAAACTGGGCCAGGAAGGACTTCACCAGCGGGACGTCCTGCTCGATCTTAGGGCACTGGTCCAGGACGCTGAGGAAGGCCTGCACCAGAGGACAGGACACAGCATGAGAAAATATCAAAAATAAATGAATAAATGGTTTATAATGGTTTAAAAAAAACTATCAATCTCCCCTAAATTGTATTCTAAATATTAGGGAAAATAATCAAATGAGTTATTTATTTTCAAATCGTGCAGCCCTAGTCACCATATGGGCTAATCAGTCACACATATGATACAATTAATTACAGCTACCAGCAGATCATCTGCAATTTAAATCAGACAAACCACATTATTCGCTTATTTTAGATAATTTGTTATTTGCAGCTTTTATCTGGAAAGCACAAACTGAAATATTGTCACATTTATATACCGTTTACACATCTGTAAATACATTTATATTTAATTTATTCATTTCTAATTACCATCTTCTCTTTGTACACAAACTCGCTCAGATCAGTCATTAGCCCGCATGGTTTTTCATACCACTGCTTCGCTGACGACACCCAATTCATTCTGTCTTTTCCCCGCTCAGAGACCCAGGTCGTCGCACGCATCTCTGCTTGTCTAGCAGACATCTCTCTCTGGATGTCTGCTCACCACCTCAAGTTCAACCTTGACAAGACTGAACTGCTTTTTCTTCCGGGAAAAGATTGTCCCACTCTTGACCTAACAATCAACATGGGCCCCTCTGTTGTTTCCCCGACTCGGACTGCAAGGAATCTGGGTGTGACCCTAGATAACAACAACCTGTCCTTCACCGCAAACATCGCTGCTACAACCCGCTGCTGCAGATACACTCTTTACAACATCAGGAGGATACGTCCCCATCTGACCCAGAAAGCGACGCAGGTTCTGGTCCAGGCTCTCGTCATCTCACGCCTAGACTACTGCAACTCCCTCCTGGCTGGTCTACCTGCATGTGCCATCCGACCTCTGCAGCTCATCCAGAATGCAGCGGCTCGTCTGGTCTTCAACCTTCCTAAATGTTCCCACACCACGCCGCTCCTCCGCTCCCTTCACTGGCTTCCAGTAACTGCTAGAATCCACTTCAAGACACTGGTACTTGCATACCATGCTGCGAATGGATCTGGCCCTTCCTACATCCAGGACATGGTTAAACCATACACCCCAGCACGTGCACTCCGCTCTGCATCAGCCAAACGGCTTGCTGCACCCGCACTGCGAGGGGGACCCAAGTTCCCATCAGCAAAAACACGTTGGTTTGCTATCCTGGCTCCAAAATGGTGGAATGAGCTCCCCATTGACATCAGGACAGCAGAAAGCTTACACATCTTCCGGCGCAGACTGAAAACTCATCTCTTTCGACTCCACTTCGAGCGATAGAATTACTAACAAAGAATTACTAACAAAGGACTGGCTTATCTAAAGCCAGTTGAGTAGCACTTGAAATGTTTTGGCTCTATGAAACCTGATGTACTTTTATGATTCTGTTTTCTTCTAGTTTGTATCTTCTTGGTCGAATGCACTTATTGTAAGTCGCTTTGGATAAAAGCGTCAGCTAAATGAAATGTAATGTAATATTAGTTATATTATTTCTTTATGTCAATTCTTCTCTAACTTAATAAAGAAAGTTAGTTTTTTTTAAGTCAAAATGAAGCATTCTTTTAAGCATTTCTTAAGATATTGTGCAGGCTTTGATTAGATGCAATAACTACTAATAGAGTGACTCTTTGATGTTTTCTAACTAAATGTATACAGTGTAGTTTGACCTGAAGGATCTGGATGTACCTGCATGAAGTTCTCTGCGGTGACGAGGCCCTCTGAGTGCAGCGTGTGGATCAGAGTGCTGGCGTGCTCTTTGTCCTCGTCGGGACGGTCCAGGGCAAACACGATGATCTTACTCAGCATCTCCGGCAGGAAGTGCTTCGGAGCTTTCATCTCTTTGGCGCTGCTCACGGCCTCCGTCAGGTTCTTACTGTTCAGGTACTCAGTCACCAGCGTCTCCTGAGGGGGACATGCACAGAAATTAGACAGTTGCATCATCAAAAATGCAATATTAAAACTCTTTTTGTTTTTAACTGCGACACATTAGTGGTACTTTTAAAAGATAAACAGCAAATAATCCCATATAGATCATCTGAATTACTTTATCGTATTTATAAAAAAAAGCGTTACATTAATTAACTTTTTGTCACATGGTATGGTGGATTTGGGAAGGTTTGTTAAAACATGTTCAAACCAACCAGTGCAGTCAGTATGATGGTTTCTTGTATTCTCTTGTGTGAGCATAAAGAGTTTGATTTAAAGGTCACCTATCATGCTATTTTTAGGCAATAGCATAGGTCTCAGATATATAAAAAAAAATATAAAAAACATGTCTATGAAGTGTTTTGCTCAAAATACCAAACAGATCACCCATTCTAGCCATGCCTCATATCCCTCCATTTCACTTCCTGTTTCAAAAGTGCTGATTCTGGGTATAAACAGGTCTCTCTTGAGAGTGAGACCCTGTGTCTCAATGAGAGTTTCACCTGTATAAATAAAGGCTGAATAAAAAAAATTAAGTTTTCTTTTTTTTTTTAACTGAAAATAAGAGGGGGCGGAGCTTATGGCGGCTCATGTGGGACCTGACAGATACTGTCTAAAATGCTGCGGTGATGAAACGCAAGGATTATTAGATCAAGGATTATTTCTGAAACAGTATGGAGCTCAAAGGCTTTCTCTCTTGCCGGTTATACCACAAGGTGAGTTCCTTTTTATTTCCTGCTTCTTCACACACATGCTCTCCAGTACAGGTTAGCTCTGAGTGTTAGCGATGCTAATGTAAACACCGACCATATTACGTCCAAAACAGTCCGGCATTGTTTCTGGTAGCAACTTTCTGATAGGGCTGTGGGCCCACATTCCCGATATTACGTCATATCGGACGCAAATCTGGATCAGCTCCGTTGTAGCCCCGTTTTTAGAGATGTGGGTACGGAGGAAAAGAGAGGGTTTTATTTTCTGATGCTGATTTCTGAGTTCCCTGATACACCGGGGACACATCTTTATGTATAAAAGACATCAGAAATTGCATTTTGCATGATAGGTCCCCTTTAAGACATTTTATTCCAATTATACCAATTTTTTTTGATGAATTATGCAATTCCTTTTAAGATGTTTTAAGGATCTGTGGGAACCCTGGTGTATGTTAGTAATATTGCAGTGTCTAGGGTATGCAATGTTACTTTTAATGACAACCATTTTTCATTAACTGATTTTGTTTCCATATTTTTTTGTTCTTTAGATTTGTCTTTCTACCTTTTTTGTAACAAATTAAAACTATGTTACAGTATTGTACATCACACACACTCCAAAAAAAAACGATGCCTAATCAAAAGAATAGATCAATCTTCCATTGTTTATACACTGCAGGATTTCTAGACTGTGAACAGTGGAGGATTTGATTTGCCCTACCGTCATTTTAAGCAGTTCCTCCTTGGCAGGCGGGGGTTTCTTGTTGATCTTCTGAGGTTTCTCTTGGATGGGCGGAGGGTTGGTCTTCAGGCCGAGCTGTGGGGGCTGAGGAACAAAAAGGTCATGTGATTATTATCTTAGATACAGCACCAAGAAACGTTTACTGATGATTCGGTGTGGCCAGGCTTCTTTACTTCTCTCCCACGCTAATCTTTAACACTTTTAATGTTTTCTTTGAATGTTTTTTGTATTCTTTAAATGTTAACTACCCTTTTCCTACAACTTAAGGCATGTTAGACTCAAGATTTCAAGTTTTTATTTGTAATGCAGACACATTTCTCCGGATCGACATTTTTGATCAATTATTTAACCTTTTTTAAAGGTACATTTTATTGATAATGCAACACAAGAAATGCAAAGTATATTAAAAAAAAAAAAATTAATTTGTACTTTAATATTTTCACAGCTTTTAAAAAAGGAGTGTGATTTTTTAAATTCAAAATAAATGCATTCAATACCTTTTTAAATGTTTAGGATCTGTAGGAACTGTGGTGCATCTTAAAAATGATCTAAACTGAGATGAGACGGTCTCCTACCTGTCCCAGAGGGGGGGTCTGAGTGCGGGGGGGCTGGGCGCTGGGAGGCATCATGGTGGGGATCTGAAGCTGGAGTTTGGGTACCTGGTTCTTGATGAGGAGGAATGACTGAGCAGGTCTGAGGCTGATCTGAGACACCAGCAGACGGCATAAACACAAGGCATACAATACGATTAGTCGTGCACTCGCATGTCATCCGTTTATTTATTGGTAAACAAAAAAATCTGCCCAAGAGCTACATCCAAGCCCTCATGTCATAGTCGTCATCAATGGATGTTTCTTCTTTGTCCATATCCTGTAACCCAACTACAACAACGTGTAGTTACCTCGTCTGCATTGAGCTGTCCTTTCTTGCTGAATCGTGGAGGCATGTCCTTGGACTGGACTTGCTGCTGGGCCAGGTGGTTCTGGTTCTGGTTGAGGAAATGCTGGTTCTGAACCTGTTGAAAGTCACACGTAATAGTGAATAACTTTATTTATCTTTGACCTCAGGATTTGCAGTGAAGCATCCATCACTGTCAGTCTGAATAATATTCAAATGTGGCAGCAGGATTACCTGGTTGGACTTAACGAAAGACTTTTGCCCCACGTCGAACTGTGACTGTGGCGCGGGGGCGATGTGGCCACTGTGGCCGTTGAAGAGCGGGTTGGTGCGATGGCGTCCCATGGTGGGCGAGTACCGATCCTGAATAACCCCAGGGCCAGTTCCAATCCCACCGCCTGGGCACACAGAGGAGAGGTCAAGCAGGAGAAACAATCGAGCATTATAGGGTGAACATAAAACCAAATCAAACCATTTTGTATCATTTCAGTCATCCTTGTGCACCACAACAACTTCAAAATTAGTTCATCTAAAAATGACATTCAATACAGAAAGCATGAAAGGTTAATGAAAACATGATGTGGCTTCACAAGCTGTCTGTACGATTAAAACAACACAATTATTTAGATTGATTGTGCGACAACAAATGATCATGGTGTGATTTTTCTAAGAATATTTCTACCAAAAAGAAATCTCTTAAGTCTGAAGAGTTCAATTGGTCTCCCAGGACTTCTCTGCAGCAGCACATATTCAGCCTTACACCAATATTTAACTTCCTGTGAATAATATTGCGCTAGTCCATGTTGCGATAACATTGTGATTAATCGTGCAGCCTGAGTCGAGACGTCATGAATGAAAGTCCATACCTGGCATCTGCCCAAACATATCGGCCAATCCCCCGAGAGTCTCCCTGTCCAGTTTCATTCTGTTGGGCATGAAGGGGCTTTCCAGGAAGAAGTCCATCCTCATCCCCTGAGACATGGGTGCTGGGATGAAAACACTCAAATCCTAAAAGGAAAACACAGAAAAAAGCAGGGGTCCTTACATTTAATATCCAACATTAACTCAAGGCAGTTCCATACTCCATACCAAACTACACGATTGTTATCGTCGCGGAAAAATTATTACTTTTTGTTTTTTGTCAAAACAATATTCTTTCTGACACACTTTCCTACACCTGGTACAAAATGCAGCGGCCAGACATTCATGCACATATATTTTTTTAAAAAAGTACATTATACCCCTTTGAGATATTGATTTCCCTAACATTGTTTTTGTTTAAAGCCATGTGCTGGCCAAGAGCTGTATTAGAAAAGTGTAACTCTCAAACAGTTGAAGAAAATATATATTTGTGTAAGTAGCTGCATCAAGACTCTGGAATAGCCCCCCTAAAGAAATAAGAAAAGCGAAATCAAATGACTCCTTAAACTGACTCTGCCTTTAACCACTTTCTGGGTGATTCTTTACACGATTTGCATCTGTACCATAGACTGATCTGTACGCATGAATGCTTCTTCACCTGTGTACGTGTGAATGTGTGAATGCCTTTAAGCCCTGAGTTATCGTTTGGCTCAATGGTGTTTGTTGTAAAGCTTTGTTTGTTTTAAAAGCGCTATAAATTAAATGGATCCCACAATATGTTAATTGCTGATGTGGAGAAAGTAGCTCATTGTTAAAGAGAGCGGGTTTTAATACGTTTATTTTTAGGAGCCTTTTAGAACCTCAAGTGCCTCAATCTTGGCTTCTTAGCAACAATATTGCTGAGTGATGCTCAGATAACAACCTACTGCTTAACATCAGCAAAACCCAGGAGCTAATTGTTGAGCTTTTGTAAAAAAGGAGGTGAAAACACACACGTGTCTACATAAAATGGGCAGAGTTAGCAAGTGAACCGTTTTTAATTTCCTGCTAAGCATAAAAACAACATGATATAGTCATCATGTATCTCAATCCTGTTGATAAAATTGCTCAAAAACCTCCGTGTTTCTTCAGTAAATTAAGGAGACAAAATTCCTCTACCAAGTTTTTCTTAAAGGTCACCTATCATGCTATTTTTAGGCAATAGCATGAGTCTCAGATATATACAAAAATATATAAAAAACATGTCTATGAAGTGTTTTGCTCAAAATACCAAACAGATCACCCATTTTAGCCATGCCTCATATCCCTCTATTTCACTTCCTGTTTCAAAAGTGCTGATTTGGGGTATAAAGCTTTAAAATAATAATAATTGATAACTAAAAAAGGAGGGGTCTGAGCTCATGCGGGACCCGGCAGCTACTGTGATGAAACACCATATCATGGATTATCAAGGATTATTTCTGAAACAGTATGGAGCTCAAAGGCTTTCTCTCTTGCCGGTTATACCACAAGGTGAGTTCCTTTTTATTTCCTGCTTCTTCACACACATGCTCTCCAGTACAGGTTAGCTCTGAGTGTTAGCGATGCTAATGTAAACACTGACCATATTACGTCCAAAACAGTCGTGCATTGTTTCCGATAGCAACTTTCTGATAGTGCCGTGGGTGTAAAGCCAGCCTACATTTCCGATATTACGTCATATCGGACGCAAATCTGGATCAGCTCCGTTGTAGCCCCGTTTTTAGAGATTTGGGTACGGAGGAAAAGAGAGGGTTTTATTTTCTGACGCTGCGTGAGTTCCCCGACACACCGGGGACACATCTTTATGTATAAAAGACATCAAAAAAGTGCATTTTGCATGATAGGTCCCCTTTAACTTTTTAATATGTTAAAGGCTCCTGTCAAACATTGTCATGGTTTGTGCACGACTCGGGACAGAAGGGCCTTGCAGCAGGTGAATAAAACGGGTTAAACTGGTACCTATTTACCAAGGATCAGTGATATCAGGAAGAAGATGTTCCTGTGAAGAGCCCAGAGGATATTTAAAAGGATACTAACCCTTGCCCTGGCCTGTTAAGAAGTATCTAGTAGTACAACCAATCGCCATTTTTCTTTGTTTTCTTCTCTAGCAGTATGGGACTACAATAGCAGTTCATTGCAATGACAATAAAAGTATCTTTGTATCCTTGCTGTTGGACATCAACAAATAATTATCCTGAAATGTGGGCGATCTACCCAAAGACCCCCGTGATGTCACTGCACTCACTTTCACTGCCTCCTGACGGATCTGGTGAATCATCTTTGGTCCGTTGTCAATGAAAGCCTTGCGGGGGATCCAGTTGTTTTCTCGCAGTTCCACTGTGTCTTGGAGCAGGAAGCGGATCCTTGCGGGCAACTCCTTGTTATTCATTAAGGATCGGATACGGCCAAAATACTGATCCATTAAAGACTGGAGAGAGAGAGAGAGAGAGAGAGAGAGAGAGAGTTGATCATTCAGTGTGGCAGCAGCAGGATTTACGTTGGCACTGGCTGGGAGCCGAGTGGGGCTTTAGGTGAGACTGTGAGCTCAGACAGGACTCGAGGTGACACAGTAAACCAGGCAGGACCACAAATGCTCACAAAAAGAGACTGGCAGGGTAAAGAATAAATTAAAAGGCCAGCTAAAACCAGTGTAAAATGTCCAAAAATTAAGTTCTTAAAAGCTTTTACAATTGTACTTGTGCATGCATTCTCTGTGTAACTAACCACCGTATGAACAGGTAGGATCAATGTTTCCGTGTATTGAATTTGACTAGGGTAAAATAAAGTAAAATAAGTAAAATAAATGTCATTGCAGTTTCATGATTGGGTGTTTTTGTGATATTGTAAATTCTCAAAAACCCTATTGATGTTATTTCATTAAAATTATTGTGTATAGTTTACAGGCAAAAACTGTCACTCTTGCTTTCAACTGTTAATAGTCTACCGTCTCACCAGGATTTTCATTTTGTATTTGCTTGTCAAGTGTTTTTTAGCACCAGGAAAAGCCGGTCATTGTAGGAAAATGTAAAAAAATATTAATAATCAGACAGTATGAAGATTATTTGTTTGTAAAAATATTAATCCGTTATCATTTTATAGCAGTTTTTGGAAGTGGACATTTGTCCCGAATGACTAATGTGGGAGTTTTTTGTTTAATCTGATTTTGTGCAAAAACTAATAATGCAAAAAAATACATTTTGTTGCTAATCTTTGACATATCCAAGACTGTGATAAAATAAAATAAAAAAGCCATTTCCCAGATATGTATTATATGGAAAATAAATCATTTTCTCTGTTTTTATCATGAAAAACAACAGCGATTTCATTCAAAATGGCATTTAAAGGGTTAATCATCCTGAAAATGATTAAATATTTGGTATGTTTGATTAGGGCGGACGTTGCTTTAAAGATTGAACCCAAAAAAGTTGAGAAAAAAAACTTTTAATATAATGTTTCTATCAAAGTTTTTGGCAGTGGACATTTTTGTCCCGAATGACTAATTTGCGCAGTCCAATCGAATGATACCGGAGGGTTAAGTAACTGGCAGCTGTGATGATAGTTGTTTTTTTTTGTAATCGCAAATTCTTGCCATACACATCCTCTGCAGATGTTGCAGTGCCAGTAAAAGTCTGGAGCAGTTACCTTTGCTTTGTTGTGGTCGAGTCTCGGCCCCACTGTTCTCATTATCTGACAGAGGCACTCCAGATCCTCCCCCATGTCCTTGAGCTGGACTCTTTTCTTCTTTTCCAGCAGCTTCACAAAAAATGAAGGGGATAAGTAAGGTTCAAACAAGGTACTCTAGTCTGGTTTCATGAAAGTATGCAGTAAATGAGAAAAAGGAAGTGAGTTGAAACCAAACACACAAAAGGGCACATACTGTTTTGATGCACTTGTGAAGGATAGATTCGTGGATGAGGTCGAGTTTGCCAAGTTCCCCGATGAATTTGATGTTGCCAAGCATCTTTCTCTTGGCAATTGAACGCTGCTCCTCCTCCTCAGAAGTAAGAGGGTTGTCATGTTTGTCATAGACTGAACAGAGAGGACGAAAAACAGAAGTGAGTTGAGGACAGGCTGTGAGGAAATGAGACAACAAGGTAATGCACAAAGACACAGACTTACTTTCAACATTTCTGGTGCGGTTTTCAAATTCATCTTGAAGTTTGGAAATGAGCAGTCGTCTGAAGGTCTGTGATGCAAAAATAAAAAAAGGTTAGATGTTAGTCGACCAAATGTTAGATTAAAAAAGTCTTAGTCCAGCAACTTTTGTTTGTAAATAAAAACAAAAACTTCATCTGGGCGCTGTGCTTTGTCGCACCTAATTTTGAACCGCATGCTAGTAGAGTAAATTATGTTTGGGGCAGAAAATCCAAAGTTTGGGTTATTATTTTGAGTGTGAGTTTTCTATTCTGAAAATAATAAATTTGAGTTTTGATCCTATGATCAGGGCTTAATGTTGCATCTTTGCAGACGTGTATATTTTCCGTTTGCTTTGTATTATTTATTTGTTTGTTAAAAGGTCCCATGACATGCTTTTCCGGTTATTAACCGTCCCCTTGTGTGTTATGTAGCTTGTTCTGCATGTAAACGGTCTGCAAAGTATTTTCTCAGCTCCGCGGATTTCTCAGCCTGAACTCAGCCTGAGTTCCGTGGTGTCTTGCTGTCTCGCAGACCCCACGCAGCAACCAGGAAACGACACCAGTAATCCAGCTCACACTGTCCGCTCCTCGATCCTCAAAGGGCGGAGCAGCGAGCCGCGCAACGTCCCGCCAACACGGCACCCAGACCCCACGCAGCACTCTCATCTGTTTGTCATTACTGGTGTCATTTTCTGGTTGCTAACAAACGCCATTGTAACACATAATCACTGATGTTCTGCTGTAACGGTGGTGGACTCATCAGAACATAGTGGGCGAGCTGACCAATCAGAGCACAGTGGGCTCATAGGGAGGGGGGGGCAGGAGCTCCAACAAGGCGTGTAGGACAGAGAGTGAATACACATACTATACAGAGATGCTGTATGAGAAACCAATGTGAGTTTCGAACGTTGAACAATGTAAATCTATTCTAGTAGACCTCAACTTTTGAATTATGATCAGTAGAAATGGCCATGACATGGGACCTTTAATTGTGTCCTTGCAGCTTGTTCTGACAAACATTTAGAATCATCACCGCTGTTCTGCAGTTTGCAAAGTCACATATTCGTCCGTGCGCTGTGACATACAATCCCTTTGCATGTGTAACATTTAATTTATATTTATATCAGTCTCATTCTTACAATTGTATAATATATTGTATATGCACGCATGCTAGTTACTCATAATGTTCTCTCTCGGCCCTTGAAATGAAACCATTTTCAGAAGCACAAATAAATCAATAGTAGTAATTATAAAATATTATAAAAGTGTGACGACTAATCACTTGAACTGGCAACTACTGATCGAGTGGGAAAAGCTTAAGTTAAGGGCAGCCCTGAGCTCAACCAATTTAAATCAAGTCACCAGCTTACAATTAAATGAAGGGACAAAACAATCATTTGGAGAAACCATGAGCTTTTATCAGAGAGTGGAACTCATGGCTTAATTATAGCCCGCTCAGTAGAACAGAAATGACAGCAGTGACATAAAGGAGGAGAATAAATGTTCTCAAGGCTGGAGCATTTATTTAACTACACATCCACACTTACTGTGCTCTGCTTTTGGGATGTTTGGATCTCAGATGAAGGGCCATCAAAGTTTGGTGCGTCCTCTGCCAAGCGCAGACATAGCTGAGCATAGAGCGAGCTATACTTCGGCTCTTCTAGGGCTTTGTCTACAATCTGAGGGGGAGGAGGGGAGGAGGGAAGGAGGGAAGGAGAAAGAGGGACCACTCGGGTCATTAAAATGGGTATGAGTCACTGAGAGCACCGTGCCAAGAAATGGGTGAAGACATTTCCATTCAGCAGAGGACTGAAGGATAAAAGAAAAATGTTTCATTACCAGCAAGATGATTCCTTTAAGGACGAGTTTTGAATCTACGCCCACGTTGAGGAGCTCGAGGCATAGCTTGTCAAACCTTTCAGGCGTGAGTTTGTTGAGTATGCTGGGAAAAATAAAAACAAGAGAGGAAGGGAGGGGCGGCAAGATAAGGAAGTCAGTACGCTTATACAAGATCAAGATGTTGGCATGATACAGTTAGCAAGAAGGTTTTCTCATGTTTACTTTCATGTGGCTTGTTAGGACAACCTCAAACAAACAAACACCATCCTGAGTTTTAAAAGATTAGATTGCCCTCCCTCTGAAGGGTTTCTGATCTTCTCCTTAACCCAGATGCTGACACTCTGAAGAAGGAAGTTATACCTCTCTTCCAAAACATAAACCCTGTTGTTGACACTTGTTCAACCAGCTAAGTTACACAAGTCTCCTCAAGAAGTAATCCTTTAAAGGTAGGGTAGGTAAGAATGGAGAAACCAGCTCGAGTGCGCTAGAATTTGAAAGTATGCAGCCGAAAAAAAATCAGCCCCTTCCTTCAGACTTCCTTACAGAGCCCCTCCTCCAACACACACGAACGCGCACATGACCAATGAGGGCACGAGATAAGTTTGTGCACGAGATGGAAGGCTGACAGGCAGGTAGGCCATCCAGTTATTTTAGCCGGGCCGGCTCCGATGATTGGTCGTGCTTTTTACAGCGCCACGGCTTCCACAGATGAAATATTTTTGATGTATTTATTGTCAAAGCATTTAATTTATTCATTGCTATCGGGATGTTAAGAGCATTCCATGGAATATAACAAAAAGTGTTTCTGAAGTGAATTACCTACCCCACCTTTAAAACATCAGACGAAAATCCAAGAAGCCAGAGTGCAGGTTTATTTGAGGTCAAACTCAATAGTCCATTACATCTCAGTAAGTCTTCTAAAGAGTATCTTTCCACTATGTCATTACCCATCAGAATGAATTCACACACCTGGAGAAAGCTGCAGCATCACTTCACTTTCTGTGACGCAGTGCAACTGAGCCCATTAATAATGATTTATAAATCCACAGGCTTTGTTAGAAAATCTCATTATCCACATCGGCTTTTTCATATATTACTGGCTTTGTTTATTTAAAGCGAGAAGAGTTAATGTAACACACGTTCATTTTCAGATGGCGGGTTAAGGAAATGCACGTTAGCAAGAGAAAATCAAGCATTTCAGTATAAAAAACAAGGGAAACAATGATTACATAAGAATGTGGCTCAATGATTGTACAGAAATGAATTATCTGCCCCGGGTGGATGCCAGGAGCTATGCTACATTCCTGAGGAAACTGTCATCTATTCATCTTATGTAAACATGAACTGACAAAAGGGGAAACGGGTTAAATTGCAATTAGCAATGCACATGCCATCTCAGTGACTGCAGAACTACACAACGTAACACTCTGTCCTGATTGCCCCATAAAACAATGTGTACATCAAGAAATGTATCAACAATACACGAGAAACAGAAAGTAATGCAAGGACAAACTGTTGGTTAACTTCAGATTGGGAACTAATAGATTCAACTTTTATAGGAAGCAGACATTTATTTTCCGACAGCCCTTTCTTTTGAATCAACCTGGTTTAACGAAATCCTTTACATATTCACTGATCCAAATGTCAAGATTGTTGCTCAAACATCTGCAGGCCTTTTTTCTTGAGTAGAGCTCTTCTTGCAATCCAGACCACACTAACTGTTAATCGGATATACATTTCGCAGAACGACTGCACAACTGAAATGGTAGTACCAACAATCTTTAAGCCTCAGGCGATAAGAATTCTTGCACACTATTTCCGGGCAAGTCTGGATAAAAGGGAGAATACAAATGTTTCTTGTCCCTGGTGATGGATAATTAACGATAAATACACATACGGGCTTGAACTTACCCCCTCACTTTCCTGAAGATTGCATCGTGTCGCTCTTTTTCGTTGCTGGAGTTGACATCTCGTCTAGTGCTTCGTGAAGGAACCCATATCTGAACGCTTTGCCCTGGGGTTTTCCCCAGGAACTCGCTGTAAAAGTGAAAAGAGAGAGAGAAAAAAAGAGTGAATACCACAATATTTGCAGACTACATGGCTAGCACAGAAAAATAACAAGTGCACTTGCAATACATGCATTGTTCCAGTAGAAATATTTTAAGGGTAACTGCACATTTTATACTACAAGGGCTGCACTACCAGGTATATCAACTTATACAGAAGGGGTATAATTCTCTCCCTATCTTATTTACCTAAAATAAAAATTCAGGTGTGGATGTAAATGATAAGCAGTAGAAAAATATGTGCCCTAAATGTTTCGTGGCCAATGCTAGACCTTTTAACAATTTCCTTTTCCACCCTTTGTTGTAACACAATCCCAGACGGCACGGTGGTTAGTAAACAAGCCTGTGCTCTCGGCAGTTGACTGACATCATGTAACAGCACTTCTGGGTATTCAAATAAAAGCTTCCTGTAATTCAGGTCCTATAATAAACAAGGTTGTCAGGTTTCTTTAGCAGTGGGGTGATACAACTAGTGCTTTAGTGTTAATATATTAGATAACGATGCGTTAAGTGTGATCTTAGAAATGTTCAAATGACAAACCTGTTGCCGACAGTCTTGGGATGGTGCTGAGGTGCGCCCCTACCACCTCCTCCCCCCGAAGAAGCACTGTGGAAGCAAACATAAGGATGCATTAGCTTCACACAGCACTGAAGAGGAAGGAAATGAGCCTGCATCTTCACCTCAAAAGAGACTCAATTCAAATGCATTGCATGTGTATTCATTCAACCTTTATTAACACCAAACACACACTAAGAAATAAGAACCCTGCTTACAAGTTGGGTGAATTTACATTTTAAAACCCCCCAAAAACTGTAAGCACACAACACAATCAGCCAAATTAATAAAAGATTAAAATCAACTTTGTGTTGCTAAATGTTTTCCCTAAAAGCATTAACTGTGAATCTAATTCAGAAAATGACTCTTAGTAATCAGTATTGAAAAATCACCATTATACATCTCTCATGATCTCAGATAACAAAACGTGATGCACAACAAGCTAAGGCGACAAACTATGTGTGATGGAAAAGCAGAACAGGGTGTTCACACTGACTGCTCTGCTGCTGCGGTTTGAGCATACACATCATGCTCTATTAATACGGAAATGCGTGTTGAACTGCAATTCCCTGCAGTGGGAGTGATTGACTTGTAAATCAGGAGACGTGCAAAACTTGTAAAGTCAGTCAAGGCATTTTAATGATCAGCCAATTAGCAAACTACTTATCAACATGTTAAAATTGACATGACACCAAAAAACGACTACCTTAACTCCCCTTTTTCCAAGTTAGAATACAGGCCCGCAAAACATTTGAAGCCTTAATGTAGACTGGTTCCAGGGTGAGCAGTCATGTTGACAATGACTCTCTATACGGTGAACAGACAGACTGCTGCCTCTATCAATACTCCATAAATCCTCTCAAGGCTTATCATGTCTACGCAGCAAAAGGCTTCACAAAAGAGAAATGTCTGACAGCCATTTTGAGCCTTCCCACATCCTGCTTTGTTCTAAAGGCCGGAAGTTCCAGCCCAAAAAGCTAGCTAAGGGGCTAACCATGGGGAAAAAAAGATAAGAAATGTATTATTTACATGTGTGCATCTTTTGGGTTTATTACCTGAAACGAGAAGCACCCCCTTCTGCAATCAAACTCTCCACTTTGGCGACTTGACAATGAAGAATACTTAAAAGAATAAGAGTAACAGGAGGGGATGGGGGAAACGGTGCTGAGGAAAGGGAAAAAAAAGGAGTGCAATTAGTAACTGGGAAAAACAAAGCATATTTATATGCTACATCATTAGCTACAACGTTATTAAAAATGGCACGACACTTCGCAAACTAGGATGATTAGCCAGATCTTTGTTATGAGCTTTGCCAGTAATAACAGATCAAATTACTAAAGTAAACCTGGTACTGGAGTACATGACAAACACAATTTATTACATAAAACAAAGTAATATTTGAGCATTGAGGAAAGAAATACTGTCACTGGAACTTTGTTTTCCACCTGGATTTGTATTCTTATATTTGTATCTTTAATATATGCCTCTAAATGAATATTTCTCTATTTTTGGCTCTTTACTTTTTGCTGTAACAATGTAAGTTCCCTCTGTGGGATGAATAAAGGTATTCTGATGAGAGACAATGACAACAAATGCCAAACAAACATGTGCTTGTCTTTGCTGAGCTACAACCAAGTGTCTGTTGACTAGCAAACAGCTGACATGCAATAACTAGCTGCTTGTTGCTATGTCCATTAATTAGATACGTCACAACACTCTGGTTGGATGTTTACAAGGCCTGAGCACAATTGTTTTTAGATAGATAAATACTTAAATTGGCAAATTATTTTAGAAACAGCAGCAGTGTTGTCAAGCATTGCACACGAGTTAAACAAAATATATATATATATATATATATATATATAATAAACATTAGCAGCAAATGCATACATATTAAAAACAGTAGGAAAGATCACTAAAGTATCTAAAAAATACACAATACACAATACAAAGAAAATACATTTGAATACTCTACAATAGACAATTTCACAAGCAACCAAACTACAGAATCATAAAGACATTCGCTAATACATTACAATTGTTATCACTTAACAAAGGGTTCAATCGGTTGTGTAACCCAATAGGAAGAGACATATATGCAGCTTGTGTTTTATCATCATCTTATCCTAGGTTTTGCTGTGTTGTTTGCTATTTATAACAAAATCAAGTGTAGTCTGAAAACCTAGCGCTGCACCATTATGCAGTGAATTGTGGCAGGGCGGCGTAGTTAGCTGCTAATGTTTCCAGTAGAGATTGCTTTTATATAATCAGAAACATAACCAGAAACAGGTTTATTTATTATAAGTAAGTCTACACATACTAGGACATTTCCTTAGTGTATGGTGGTGCATTCATATCTGCACGGCTTTCCACTTGTCATACCAACACTGCACATATTTTTATTTTAATGTATTTAACTTTGTACGGGTATTTCATTACTACGTGCTGTTTTAAATGTTATAATAGTTTTCTTAAAATAGTTTTTTTTCCTACAATTTATCCTAAAAATAAAGCTATTACAATCAAATGTAAAAAAACAATTATAACATTAAAATACAGAGCAATATTTACAAGGAATATAGATATACCTAAAAACCTACGTACAGTAGAATATGACAAAATACAGATAAAAAAGCATAAAATAAGCCGATTTATCCTGGCTTGAAATACATTAGGCCAGCTTTAGGCGATCCCCGTCAGAATCCCGTGCAACTTAATGGCAAACACGTCTTATTAAATTACATGTAAAACATGCATTACACCCTACATTAATCTTCCTGTACACATTACTTAGATACAGTAACTAGGCGACGACGGTTAGTCCGTGTTAGACGTTGGTGGTATTTTTAGCTTTTCTTAGCTAGCAGAAGGAGCCATTTTGGATGAGCCGGTGCAGTTATGAAAAGCAGAAAAAAACCTTACCTTTACTTAAGCAACTTCAGTTTTATATTGTTGTGTGACGACGAAAGAAGAAATAAAACGGTAGTAGGGGGGGAAACGGGGTGTACGAGGGGTGTCAGGATAGCAAAAGAAAAGCAGATAGATGACAAACACACACATCAATCCGCTACTTGCTGTTGTCTGGCTTGTTTTCGTTAGCTAGGCTGGTAGAGAGCTGAAGCTGGCTGCCTTATGGGAGAATCAACGATTTTAATTGGTTGGGGTTTCTGTTGTCACGTCATTTCTGGCCAATCACAAGACAAACATGTCAGAAAGGCGTTTCCATTAACACTATTGTCCAATGAGAGACATCTTCAAATAAAGGATGCCGCCCCCATTATGTGATTGACATACAATTTAACATCTGCAGTGCAGGAAAATATAATGATAATTTGCTCAAATTAAATGAGGGAAAGGCATTCAGAGGTGGGAAGTAACTAAGTACATTTACTCAAGTACTGTACTTAAGTAACATTTCTGAGGTACTTATTTACTTGAGTATTTCCATTGAATGCTACTTTGTACTTCTACTCTACAATTGAGAGGTACATAGTGTACTTTTACTCTACTACATTTATGTTGTAACTTTAGTTACTTTGGATTGATGATGTTACATATAAACAACACTTAAATAAGACTTTAGTTACACCTGGAGTAACATTCACAAGCTACCCTGCAGTATACAAAGTCATTAAAACTAGCTGCACCTTTACCAGCTTTGATAGCACTTATAAATAACACAAAACATATATAAATAAGTATATTTTGATGGTAATACTTTTGTACTTTAACTTGAGTAACCTTTTGAATGCAGAACTTTGACTTGTAACAGAGTATTCCTACTTTTGTTCAATATATATATATATTTTTTTGTATTCGTCTGGATTGTGGGAAACAGTATTTCGATCCCTCTGTCTGTACACACAAACTGAAAGATTGACAATAAAGTTGACTTTGACTGACTTTGACTACACTTTGGTACTTCTACTTTACTTAAGTACAAGATCTAAGTACTTGTCCCAACTCTGAAGGCCATAAATGAAAGTACAAGATTAGTTTTTTTTTATTATTTATTATTTAAACATAAGAAACATACTTAATCCTAAAGTGTGAAGAATATAACTAAAATTGAAAAGAACATCCTTGCAAAGGTTTTCATATGAGCTATTGCTTAAGAAATAATTCATTGTTAGTTGCAATTGCAAATGATTCCTATAAATGAGTAAAGACTTAAACGGAAAAGCGACTGAAATGACACTTGATGATAGATAAAAGGTTTTAATATATCGTTGGAATTACAAGAGAGAGGCCGTAGAGACAGTCTTTATTGCTCTCTCGGATTCTCTATACTGATAAGACTGTAATGAGGGCTTTCCATTCGGTTTATTTTGAAAGATATTGATGGATCAATGACTCTAAACGTTCCCAAAACACAAACATTTTAACATCCATAGTAGCCTATGGTAGACAAGGAGGTTCGACCTTAGTTCTATCAAATCAAAGCTGATACAGGCAGTCCTCTGAGTGGGGCTGGGGCGGTATGACAAAACACTAATATCACGGTATTTTTCCAAATTATAACTGTATCACGGTATATCATGGTATTTATTAATGTTTTCAATGATTGGAAATGTATTTACATTTATACGTTTTGGCCCCACAGAAAAACACCTGATGGCCCTCATGAGTCTTATGTGGGAATCAGATTGCATGAAACAGCTGCAACATGTAAACCATTTCATTGTACAAACTTTGCGTACCACATACAAAAGCACTGTTTGAAAACAAATCCCCCCTTCCCTGAAACTGCATTTAAATACTTATTTTATGATTTATGATTGACCTTCAAACTTAGGTTCGGAATAAAAAAAATGAATTGCAACTTAACAACTTAATAAACCTTGCTTCAAGCCAAGGTACACAGACAATATTCAAGTATTCAAACAAATACAACTAGTGCAACTTGGCTGGCACTGCACTATTATCCCTCAATATGTAGAGACTTTGCCACTTTTTCAACGGTATTGCAGTATGGAAAATGTACATCCTACACAGTATAAAGTTCATGGTATTCGATATGAAATTAAACATTATGAAACATGATTTCCCTTCCCTGTCATAAATGTAAATGTAAGTTCTGCGTAAATTAGGTTTAGAAAAACCCAAACCCAGAAGGTAATACAAAAAGTAATGGAAAGTAATCAAGTTACATTACTTATTAATCACATTGATATTGGGATATAGGTAGGTTACTTACAGGGAATAGAGTGGTGCAGTGTTGACATGTTTTTGTAGGCCAGATCTAAAACTTAGCATCACAAGGGGTCCCACGATTAAAAGCCAATGGGATTTCCCCAGTCATAGAACAACATTGCGTAAGTTTGTGTTAACCACAGATGTCATTCAGACTTCTAACCACAAACATGTTCAAAAAACCATTGACTTCCAGACGAGGGAACCCTGAAGTGGTGAAATGCTACGTTTTTTGGGGGGGCTTTAGGACTCATTACTGCACCATTCTATTAGTCATTCATACAAAAAACACATTTTTAAAGGAACACTTGCAACCCTGCAAATACATATCATCATATGATAAAACAATATTGCCATAGAAGCCACAAACATAATTCATAATTCAGAGGAATGAATTGGCATAAATCATGTAAATTAAAACAGTAAGTGGGCCGATTTCAGGGTGACACATTTAGCAAATGTTCTGCTATTTTAACATTAAAGGTGGGGTAGGTAAGTTTGAGAAACCGGCTCGAGATACACTTTTTGTTATATTCCATGGAATGCTCTTAACATCCCGATAGCAATGAATATATTAAATGCCTTTAAAGGTGGGGTAGGTCATTTTGGAGAAACCAGCTTGAGTGCGCTAGAATTTGAAAATACACAGCCGGAAAAAATCTACCACTTCCTTACAGAGCCCCTCCTCCAACACACACGAACGCGCACATGACCAATGAGGGCACGAGATAAGTTTGTGCACAGATGGAAGGCTGACAGGCAGGTAGGCCATCCAGTTATTTTAGCCGGGCCGGCTCAGATGATTGGTCGTGCTTTTTACAGTGCTATGGCTTCCACAGATGACGTTTTTTTATGTATTTATTGTCAAAGCACTTAAGATATTCATTGCTATCGGGATGTTAAGAGCATTCCATGGAATATAACAAAAAGTGTTTCTGAAATAAATTACATACCCCACCTTTAAATGTACA